GCAACAAGAACGATATCCTTGAGAAGCTTCAAGCCGGCTTTGACGGGCTCCATACTTTGATGGGCGAGAAGCAGACTGCGACTACACCTAACGACGACATGCTAGCATCACTGAAGGAGGAGTTCGAGCATCTTCGGGAGACCTTGGGAGGCTCACTGATGAAATCCGGTGGCGGAGCCGAGAAGGATGACATTGTCGACGCTATTCGGGAACTCATCGACGGGTTGCACACATCCCAAGAGACTACTTCAAAGGACAACATCGCGCTCATTCGTGGCGAACTGGAGGCCTTGAAGGAATCATTTGGCAATGCCCTTGTGCCATCCGGTGACAACGACAAAGCCGAGATGATCATGGTTGTCAAGGCTGCACTGGATGATATCAAGACCAACCTCCAGTCTGCTGGTGTTAACGAAGAACTCCTAGAAGCTTTCCGCGGAGAGCTGGACCTTCTCCGCCAATCTGACAACGTCACCAGACAACACAACCGGGCTGATACCGAGGAAGTCCTGGAAGCCCTCAAATTGGGTCTCGACGATCTTCAATCGCATCTGGACAAGAAGCTGGATACCCCCGACCGCAACGCATCTGCTACTAGCGAGATCATGGATGCCATGAACGAGGGTCTCGATGGCCTGAGGGCCGACGTTTCCAAAATGGCAGAGAAGACTATCGACATGAGCGTATCGTACGAGATCTTGGATACGCTGAAGGAAGGGTTGAACGCGTTGCGTGACGACATTGACATGCTCAAAGGTGTAAGGCAGGAAACTTACGTCGAAGAGTATGTTCCTCTTCCTCCTGCTGGAAACGAGATTGCTCTCACGAACGAAGCAGCAGGTGGAGAGTCAATGTCACGTGAAATTGTTGAAGAAGCTACGCAAGCGGAGCTCCCGCCGTCACCAACCCTGCCTCCTCAGCAATCGGCCGACTTGTCAAGAATGGAGCTTATGCTGGAGCAAATTCAAGATAAGGTCGAAGCCATGGACGTTGCTAGGGCGGAGCCAGTGCCCTCATCCGGACCAGCTGCCGTGGCAGCCGGATCCGCTATGAAGGAGGACCTGGTTGCTATCGAAGAACTCTTGAAAGACGTGCAAGCTGCTGTCCTTGTCATGCAGGATCGGGAATCCGCACCACCTGCACTGGAAGGTGTCGCTAGAAAAGAAGACACTGATGCCATCGAGACTCTTCTCGCGAACACCAAAGCCAAGATCGAAGAGCTCGTCCTGCCTGACCCAGCCACTACTGTCACCAAGGAGAACTTGGAGGATGTTGAGATCGTCGTACGTACCACATCCGAGGCCTTGGAGGCGCTGGCGAAGAAGTTCGAGGATGAAGGCGCGACGAAGGCCGACGTTACAGTCATTCAGGTCATTGCCGACGATATCAAACTTGCTCTTGACGAAATGAAGACAGCTAAGGCTGATGACGAGTCCAACCCACAAGCAACCAAGGCGGACATCGACGCTGTAACCCTGCTCGTGGACGATCTCAAGGTCAAGCTCGACGACCTGAAGATCCCGGATCCAGAAGAGCTTCCCTCCAAGGCCGACTTGGAACAGCTCACTGGCTTGATCCACGACTTCCGCGATAGCCACGACAAGATGAAGGACACCTACGAGGAAGACATCATGAAGACCGCAACCAACTTCGACGAACGTCGCGCTGAAGCTGCTCAACTCGTGGAAGATATCACTGGGGTCAAGACTGCCTTGGATGAGATGCGAGAGGAGATCAAGACCAATCTCATCGAAGGCGGTCCTATTGAAGGCCTCCAAGCTTCCTTCAAAACGTTGGAGGAGACTATCGGTGCGAACAACGTCACCGCTGATGTCAAGGAACTCATGGAAATTCTTTCGAGAGAGTTCGAGCGCGCTCACGGATCTATCGAGGGCCTCCAGAACGACCAAGCAGAGAAATCGGCACTTCATCTTGAAAAGCATGATGAAGTCAAGGACGCCATTGTTGCAGGCTTCACAGAAAGCCTAGAGGACAAGTTCAATACGCTCATGGCGAAGTACGACGACGCTCAACTCCTGGCTGACGAACTTGCGAAGGTCATGAAGGAGAAGTCAGAAGAACAAGAGAAGATGCTCGAGAGCACCAAGGCAACTGCCGACGAGCTTCGTCTGACCATCGATACTCTTGGCGCTACTATCGCGGGTATGAATGATCGATTCGAAGGTGCCACTTCCCAATTTGAAGGTGCCTCTACCCAGTGGACGACCGACTCCTCAGCCGTAATCAGCAAGGTGGACGAAACTCTTGCGAAGTACGAAGAACAGAAACTCGCATTGATGGAAAAGCTCGATGAGCAGAAGCTTGAAACCATCGCAAAGCTTGAGGAACAGAAGATTGAGTACATCGCCAAGCTTGAAGAGCAAAAGAACGAGACTATCACCAAGTACGAGGAGCAGAAGCTCGACGACAAGACTGAGCATTCTCACACTCGTGACGAGATCAAGAACGTCGAAAACGTCTTCAACAACATCCAGGATAACATTACTGAGTATCATCCCAAGTTCATGGTTGCCCTGCACGAGATTGAAGCGTTGGTCAAGGCGCACTATGAGCACGCGCAGAAGGCCAAGGAAGAGGCGGACGAGAACGCTCGTGCTTGGAACGAGGAAGCTAAGGCTCGTTCCGAAGAACTGCAGACGCACTTTGCCAATCTGCCGAAGCTTCTCCCTGCGCCAGCTCCAGCTATCGAGCTTCCAGACAAGTACGACGATGCACCTGTGCAAGAGAAACTCGACAAGCTGCTTGCGATTGAGCCGTCGCCAAATTATGATGACGGCGCGGTGCATGAGAAGCTTGACAAGCTCCTTGGTCATGCTGATGAGGCAGGTAAAGCCGCAGGAAACCTTGAGAAGCTAGACGAGATCCACGCTCAAGTCAAGATAACCGCTGCAGAGCTGAGCGAGTTCGTTGCCAAGCAGACACAGTTTATTACCGACGGTAATGAATCCAAGGAACGCGAAGCTGAGGAACTTGGTCTGCTCATCGAACGCAGGACGACTCAGAAGGAGCAGCTAGAGATTGACTTGGAAAGCTTGCGAGCTGAGAAGGCGACACAGAAGGAGCAGCTCTTTGCGGACATCCAGGAGATGAAGGCCGAAAAGGAGCGTGTTGTGCAAGAACTGAAGGAAGAGAAGGAACGCGTCATGGCTGAACTGCAAGAAGAGAAAGACCGCACCATGGCAGAGCTCAAGGAGGAGAAGGACTCCCTCCTTGCTGCCGTCGCAAGTCTGCAAGCTGAGCGCGAGAACCTTGCGAACCAAAAGGTGCGCCTGACTGGCGAGGTCTCGTCTCTTCACACTGCGCTCGACATCCGTCGAGAGGAACTGCACTTCATGGACACCAAGGCCGATGCACTGGAGCGTCGCATCTTGAACGGTATCATGGATCACTCCCGTGCTCTGATGATGACCAAGGGTGGGTCGAAGAATGCTTCCAAACTCAAGAAGCGTATGAACGCAGAAGCTGGGAACGAAGACGCCAGGGCTATGCCCCCTCCTAGCACTGCAGCTAATGGACTCTCTCTTGCGCTCAAGCCTCGCCCTGCTATTCGCCGTGGGGCGCCTGCCAACCCAGCACAGCGCCGCATCTTGTCTCTCAGTCAAATCAGCGGCAACGCGCCAACTGGAGCTCAAGCTTACCCGGCAACTTCTACCCCAGCTAATAGCAAAGCTGGCGGACTGGGCCGCAGTCACTCGGTCAAGACTAGCAACTACTCTCGGAAGGGGTCTTGGGGTGGTCGTCCCAGCGCCGCTATCGCCAACAAGGAAAACGGTGTTCTACCTGAGGAAGATGAGCACGAGACGACGCCAATATCTCACGATATCATTGAGGAAGACGCACAGAGTGAGACCGGCACAGAGCGTCGCTACAGTCTCGACAGCCGCGACTATGCTGAAGGCGAGACACCAGGCTACGATGGACGCTCCAGCTTCGGCGGCACAGGGAGCGAGTACACATACGCTTCTGGCTCGTCGTACATGACCGGTAGCGACATTGATCACGACCGCCGCACCTCATACGGTGCGCAGTCAGCTCACTCTGCTGCTCGTGGTGAACAGCCCATCGACGAAGAAGGGTCGGTGTATTCCGATGACGAAGAAGACAATGAGCCCACGGCTACTATCAACCCCTCGGATATCACTGGCTCGGAGATCTCGACCGCCACCGCTGACCACGACGTCGACCTGCCAACTCAGTCAGAAATTGTTCGTGCTGTTGATGCCGTCAGAGAAGAGATGAAGGAAAACTACTCTCCACCTAGCGACTCCGGAGTTGGCACTGATCTACCTACCGCCGACCTCAGTAACTCCTTGGTTGATGCTGACTATTTCCGACGTCAGGCTGAGGAGGAGGCGAGCACTGTCGGTTGAATCAACACCTACCAAATCTGTTAACGATTACTGAGTTATCCACGCTCTAATGTCTCGCTCCGTGTCTTTTGGTTTGAAGCTTCGACTCGCCCTCCTAGGGTTTCAGAGTTGGCATCGCCGATTGACATGTCGAGCTTGATAGTGGCGTGTTTTCCAGAATCGCGATGCACGATTGATGGCTTATGTGTATATGCCCCGGCACGATGGAGTTTGGTTGTCTTCGGTTGCTGTTGGCCCGATGAGGGTTCACGAGGAACGATGAATTCGACGAATGTTTAGGAGTGTTGAGTTTTCCACTCGGGGTTCTCTAGTTGAGGTTACATAGGCGTTAGGGGAAGCCATCGGCGGATATGCATTTGGGTTTATCGGCCTGGAGTTTGTTTGGTTACCTCAATTGAGTAACATTGCTGATTACATACTTGTTCTTGTTTATAACTTTAGTCGATACGTAGGCTCTTCCTTCTATGAGCGTAATGAAACGATCGCCTTCGATCCTTGTTCCATTGCCGTGACCCTGTGTCTTTCGACTTATCCAAACCACTGTTGCATGACCATATTTGTAGTCGTGTGAACAATAGTGCAGCAGTGCGCCCGGAGAATGTCTGGACATTACTCCTCATCGTCATCATCCTCGTCTTCTTCTTTCTTCGCATTCTTCTCATCGTCTCCTTCTTCCTTTTCTTCCTCTACCTTTTCATGCTCCCTAATCTTGGCACCCAGATCAGCCCCATAATCCGGTCTTACGACTTGTATATCCTTCTTCGCAAGCGCAGATTCGATAAGAGGTGCTGAAGCGAGCAAAGCGTTGTATTGATCAATTGTAAGTGAGATGCCCTGTGTACAATAACCGTCAGTGAATCTATCATCATCTAAATACGTAGAGGGGAACATAGGATCGAAACAGCTTAAATTATCAGCACATACCTTCTTGCCCGGCTTCGTCTCTCCAGAATCGGTAACATAGTACTCTCGTATACTAACTAGTGTGCTCTTGTTGAAGTCGCTTACAGTCACGCGTCGTTTTTCACTGGTATTTAGCTAGGATCACCTTAGCACTATCCTCTCCGTTCTTCTCTTTGTTCCCATTTCCTTGTGCAACTCACGCTGACATATGCATCGCCATTATCGTCTGTCTTGAGCTCGGGTACCACTGGTACAGAGTCGTCATCGTTGTCGTCTCCGGCCTTGGTCTTCTTGCTCGCGCGCGCCGCGTTATCGTCATCAGCGTCAGGTGAGGAACGTTTCTTTGGGAAAGTTTTCTTGAATGCATTGCCCCCTCGGGCACCACCACGCTTGAAGCCGGCCATCTTGTTTTGGGACGTGCAGATTGGGATGTGGAAAGTGAATGGTTGCGGTTTGACGCGCCGCGCTGCTCCTGGCGATGACGCACGGCATGCGTTTCGCGCTAATTTGACGCGCTAGAGACACGGTCATGTGATCAGGCGTTGCTCCAAGTATGCTCTATCACAACAATGTTCTGTCTTTCGATCATTCTTCTTGTACTACCGAAACGAGTGTCGAGCTATCTAAGGGTGAATGGTTTGATCAGATCTACATGGCATGTATCACTCCGTCCGCATTCTGTACTGCATGTGCTTCACTCCATGGCCGTGAAGGTCGCATCTGCTGCACTTTGGCTGGCTTCTCCAAACTTAGTGGCCCAGATATCTCCTTTTCAAACTCATACGAAATTCTGCCCTCTTGACTGAGAACTGAGTCTGCACGCCCCATCTCAATATCTTTGCCTACTGAGGCTCGCCCATGAGCATTTTGCTCAAACAAAGTCGATGGTATACGCGGGTCGTACATAGTTGGAACGCGACTACGTGAAGGAGGTGGTACGACAGCGGCATACCCGTGCCCCATGCCGAGTGCAGATGCTGTGGGTTCAAATGAGCAGCTCTCCTTCTCTCGAGCGCGACGACATGCGTCAATCGTCGCCGTAATGAATGTGACCAAGAAGAGGAACCATCCTGCGCCGGCTGCGATAGTGTAACCTCGGCTGAGGTCAACCAGCATCGCGAAGTTTGTGAGATCTGGGGAGGTAGCGGTGTCGAGGCGTGTTTTGCTGAAAGTCTCGAGACTCATGTTGAAGCTGAGAGACACGCCGAGGGCTGCGGCCATTGCACACATACAGAGACTTTCGACAGGAATGATGACCGATGAGGCTATACGCACACGTTGGATTATATTCGTTGAGACGATAATAATTCCGGCGAGTGAAGCAAAGGCGGCCTGAGTTATTAGCACGGTCTGATAAACTGATGGTTGAGTTACGCACACAAGCGATCGATATCCAGATCTTAATGGCGCCCGCTAGAACCGCAATGAAGTAGTCCTTCCAAAGCTGCGCCTGCTGCGGTTCTGGCTGGACCATCTTGAGTATGCCAGTACCACGGCGATTGATATCGCGAATGATGAATTGTGCTAGATAAATTGTTTAGGAACATTCGATGATACATTCAATTGAGGAATTCGAATGCTTACACCAAGCACCTAATCCTAGCGACCCCAACGCTATGATGAGGGCCAGGACCCTCAATGACAGTAGGATGGATTTGCCATATCCCATTCTTGTACATGAAGCCAACGAAGCAAGTAGCGTGAAATGAGTGTATAGTATAAGCACAGTCCAGCTGGCAGCTGCTCACAGAGCGCTAGATGAAAGCAGGTGGTGTCTAAACGAGTGAGTGGTAGACACGGATAGAAATCCCTTGGTCAAGAGCGGACGAAGCATAGCTATTGAGCAAACGTCATATCGTACACAGAACCGGAGTCTCAGGAGCCGAGTGCCTTGTTGTGATGCCTTGCGCAGCTGGAGGGGGGTGGAAACAACCTAGGTGGCTGGTTGTGCCTGAGCATGCAGGCACACCTGATTCAGAACCTTCGATATTGACGCGCCACAGCATATCCCACGCGGGACTCTGTTGACCGACGCGTACCGGGACATAAGGTAGAAGATTCTGCTGAGGCACTGGTCTCTATCTGTACCCTTGCCTCCAGCCTCGCAGCTCATTGTTCAAGCATTCGAGCCGTTACGGCATGGTGATTGGCTAGTAACCCCGAGGATTCTCCACGGAATGTTGTGATCCGCTATACAAAAGATGCGTTCTCGCGCATTGATGGTGCTGACGTCCCGATGATTAGGAACGGCTGGGGTTATGCTTGTCTCTCCACGTGTTGAAGGTGTTGAGACAGAACCTGAGGCACCAAGGCGTCGCCGTTGCCAGGCTGAAACAGGCGTCAGACCCAGGAACTGAACCAAGGCCTTCCGGATCGTTCCGTCATTATATTGCTAGGCTGCTCTATAATAGGTGAAATTGACTTTGACGTTCGGTGAAGCTTTCAAGCACGACATCATGTCGGATACACTAAATCATTTCGGAGTTCGGGCAATTGATATCCGGAGCGGTCCCACACGCCAGCCCCCGATAGCGCAGAGCAAAGGGGAGACGACTGAGTCGTGTACATACGTACTAAATGAAGGCATGGTACTCAGGCCATGCATCACGATGCTACGACCGCTACAGTGATTTGTATTTGTCCTGCCCCCGAGTTGGAAAGTTCAGATAAGAGACGGGTCTTGGGGCGCATCTCTACCTTTTGCAACTGAATTCGCTTTGCGCCTCTGGAATACTTTCAGGATCGAAGCAGTATGCTCATCAGGAATAGAGATGTTGTGCATTCAAGAAATGCAGAGCGGGGCGATGCGATGAAGAAATCGCCGCCGAGGCTAGCCTCTCGGCAAAGACGCAGTCAGGTCGGCCATCCTTCATACAGCAGCCATCGACACTTGTATCCGCTCTCCCCTCTCTGCCAAGACGAAATGCGGAGAACGGTTGGAGAGAACGGTAACATTGCGGAGGGCTCGTCACGAGGTCGTGATGGAAGCCCGGTGTTTTTCCGAATGACGCAGGTCAATTGCGAAAGCATGTAAAATTTTCGAGAGTATTTAGCTTCGCGTGATTCTGAGAGCTGCAAACATTTTGTCGAAGACGAGTGATTTACAAGATGAGGTACTCTAGTGCCGTCGCAGCGAGCTTTGCTCTATTGCCAAATCTAGTAGTCTCGCAAGGATACACCAATGAGTCCGAAGTACCGCTGTACGGACTTAGTCCACCAGTATATCCCAGCCGTAAGTGTTTTGCTCATGTCGAGGAATCAATAAACTGACCGTACGTAGCTGTCGGTAATGGGACAACTTCGTCGGGTTGGGCATCGGCATATACTCGTGCGAAAGACCTCGTGGCTCAATTAACACTGGAAGAGAAGTCGAATCTCACACATGGCGTCTCTGGGCCTTGTGTAGGCCAAACGGGCGCTGTTCCCCGTCTCCAGATTCCAGAGTTATGCTTTGCGGATGCTCCTGCAGGTGTGCGAGGACAGGAGTTTGTGTCATCGTTTCCTGCTGGCATTCATCTTGGAGCAACCTTCGACAGGGGCCTGATGCTCAGGTATGGTCATGCTCTTGGTAGAGAATATAGAGGCAAAGGGATTCATGTTGCTCTTGGCCCATTCATAGGCCCTATTGGAAGAGTCATTCGCGGTGGCAGGAATTGGGAAGGTCTTGGTGCTGGTAAGTGTCCATATACGAACTGCATGTGACACGGATACTAAGTCCGTACATCTACATCCAGACCCGTACCTTGCCGGTATTGGCGGTGCGCTTATCACCAGAGGTACACAAAAGGAGGGCGTGATTGCTACACCAAAGGTATGCAATTTCATCATATTCATACGAATCAGAAGCTGACGGCACCAACAGCATTGGCTTGCGCAAGAGCAAGAGTATAGGCGGCGCCCCGGTGACGAAGGCGAGGCAGTCTCCTCAAATGTAGACGACCGTACACTACACGAGCTCTATGCGTGGCCGTTCATGGACGCCCTACGCGAAGGAGCAGGCTCGCTGATGTGTTCATACCAGCGTGTGAACAACTCATACGGATGCCAGAATAGCAAGCTTCTCAATGGCATCCTGAAGGAAGAGTTGGGATTTGAGGGCTTTGTCGTATGTACTATACCGACTGTTACCAGGACGTCACTAATAACCTATAGGTATCTGATTGGGACGCACAACATGCTGGTGTTGCTTCAGCGAATGCAGGCCTTGACGTAGTGATGCCAGTCGCTAAATTCTGGGGCGGAAATCTTACTGACGCTGTCAACAATGGATCCGTAACAACGGAGAGACTGGATGACATGAATACACGGCTTCTTGCAGCGTGGCTCTATCTCAACCAGAACGAAGGGTTCCCAGAAAACGCTGTATATCCATACAACGTAGAACACGAGATTGTGGATGTACGCGAAGACCATGGGTCACTCATCAGAGAAATTGGAGCTGCCGGAACCGTGCTGGTCAAGAACTTCAACAACACCCTACCGCTTCGCAATCCTCGTTTTCTGAACATCTATGGCTATGACGCTGAAGTGAAAGCTCAGCCTTGGAACAACCCTTCCCGCTTTGGTGGCGGCTACGAAGAGAATTTCGGTTGGAATACACTCAACGGCACTCTGATCACAGCAGGTGGTTCGGGCTCCAGCACTCCGCCATACGTGATCAGTCCCTTCAAGGCCATCCAAGACCGTATCATTGCAGATCGTGGAACACTACGATGGGACTTCTTCGGTGTAAACCCAACTGTATATGCCAACGCCGATGCATGTCTCGTCTTCATCAATGCCTACGCATCAGAAAGCTTCGATCGCACTTCACTCACAGACGAGTTTAGTGACCAGCTCGTCAACAACGTTGCTACCAACTGTTCAAACACGATCGTTGTGATTCACAATGCTGGTATCCGCACCGTAGACGCCTGGATCGACCATCCAAACATCACCGCCGTTCTCTTCGCCGGCGTCCCTGGCCAGGAGAGTGGCAACGCCATCGCCGATGTCTTGTATGGCGATGTGAACCCTTCTGGTCGCCTGCCATATACTGTCGCTCGGAAAGAGTCTGATTACGGCCACTTGCTGAACGGAACTGTCGATCTCTCCATCCCGGCTTTCTTGCAATCGAACTTTACCGAGGGTCTGTATATCGATTATCGCGCTTTCGATGCGCAGAACATCACACCACAGTATGAGTTCGGTTACGGCCTCTCGTACACGACATTTGATTATTCAAACATGACAGTTGAACGCGTGGCGAACGCGAGTCTTTCTGCTTTCCCGTCATCGTCTGTGCCAATTGTACAAGGAGGTCATCCATGGCTATGGCAAGTGTTGTACCGCGCCACGGTCACTATTACCAACACTGGCAAGGTCGCTGGTCATGAAGTGGCGCAGCTGTACTTGGGAGTACCCAATGCGCCACAAAGGCAGCTGAGAGGTTTCGAACGCGTAGGTTTATTGCAGCCTGGCGAAAGTCGAGAGGTTGAATTTGCATTGGACAGGCGCGATCTGAGCGTCTGGAATGTTACCGCGCAGTCATGGGAGCTTCAGCGAGGCAGGTATGCAGTTTGGGTGGGAGCAAGCAGTCGTGACATAAGGCAAGAGGGTGAGATTGTAGTAGAATAGGTTGGTAGAACGAGTTAACAGTATTCAACATCGTTTTATGACATCCTCGAGGCTGTTGCGTTTGCGACATTTTGATTCGAGAGCCTCTTTTACATGTGGAGAATATGGATTTTGGGATTCGTGAGTGGCTAGTCGTCGGTTCGGGTCATCGCGATACCATGGCTGAATTGGATAGCAACCATGGTATTGCGATTGCGCGCACATCTGTCATCATCAAGATTTCTTATAAGGTCTATAAATTGTTGTTTCTGATTATGCACATGTTAGCATCTATACAAGTTGGCCAACGAGCTTGATGTAAACAAACTTACAAGGTAAAACTCACATTATACTCGAACTCCCTTTCACTTTTCCGGGAATTATTTATTTCTAGTGCCTAAGCCGTAGCAGGCAAGAGTGCACTGACGTACATACTGTTCTGTGAGAATCAACAGCTTGCACTCGCTGTTGGTGGGTCCTCCTTTTCCAGGCACCCCCTTCTTGGCTCTATATCGATCCCAGCTTTATAGTAGTATTACTCTTCTGCAGGTCCAATAAACTCAACCTGAAGGTCTGCAACTCTCTCAACCCAATATATCTAATCTGCCAATGGTCAAGAGCATTAACTACCCTTTATCAGTAAGTCTGTTCCAGTCTTCCCCTCTAGTATGGTTGCTGATGAATCCTAGGAGGATACCCAAAAAACCTACATAGATGTTGTACAAACGATCGAGGATAAGTCCGCTTCCAAGGACCAGTTCGAGAACATATCCCTGCTTTTAGCCTTCCGGGAGCTTGGGAAGATCGCCAAAGGTTATATCGAGTACGCCAACGAATACGGTTATGTGGAAGACTGGGTAGAAACTCGCTTCAACGATGACGATGTCTTCCAACGTCTAAGTCATGCATGCATAGGTTATATCGAGTATGAGCATCAGAAGACGTCGGCTGACGGCGAGTTCTTCAAGATGATGCGAGCTGGATTGAAGTCAATAGCACATACCTACAACCCTCCTTCTGCCAAAGGAGAATTTTTCGACATGGTTAGAGCTGGCATGAGGACTATGAAGTACGCCTACAATCCTCCGCCGATGGATCTGCTTTCCTACCCGCCCTTGCCAGACGCACTGCAAAGAGTATATCGCCATATGGGATACACACCATTCGAAGACATAGTCTTTCTGGATATGGTAGCCTCATTCGAGAATGCTTACTTCTGGTGTGCTTGGGGTCATGTCTGGACCGAACGCTGGGATGACGAATGTTTCTGCGACCATAAGCAGAACCAGTACTGGTGGACACCCAACATACTCGACTACCGCGATATCCCGACAGCCGTCACGTACATGTACGAAACTACTAATGGCCTCGGTCGCGTTGAAGATATCGTCTTTCGAGATCTGGTTGAGACGTTCGAACAGTACATGGAGTATACCAACGACTTCGATAATTGGAATGACCCAGAGATTACCACTTTTCGCGAGTTCTCGGAAGTAGCTAACTACGTCTCGTATGTTTGCCCAGACTACCAGTGGTTCCAGCGATTTCTCAGCCTGCCTGGGGAGATTCGGGAGAATATCATGCATGTGTATCTCTTGCTCGAGCGTGATGCTGGTCGCCTGAGCAAGCATCAGCACTACGATGAGTTCAATAACCCATGCTGCACATGGGAGTATCCCTGGGAGCTTATTGCTTGCGACAACCAAGAGGCGAAAGCATTCCCAGAGGCTAGTACAGGTCGATGTCCCATGGGTTGGTTGCCAAACCTTGCATTTGCAAGCCATCAAATGCACGAGGAAGTCCTCGTTATGATGCTGCGACGGACCAAGCAGTTCAATCTGAAGTATATGTTTCGCAACACGGATTTCAAAATTGCGACTTGGTTTAGCAAGTTCCTCAAGGCGATTCCAGGTAACGGAGGTGAAGAGGCGGTGAGGCATCTCAACTTTCCACACATGCACTGGTTCAATCATGGACGCAATTCACCAGCTCTGACCAACCCGAGCTTAGACTTGGCCGTCGTCTGCAAAAAGCTGCGCAAACTCGACATGACCTTCCATGTCGACAAGGTAAGCATATGTAACGAATCCACAAGCTATGTGCGCAAATCGCTTCCCCTTCCTGAGATTATTCATCGCTTCAAACTGGAGACAATCTTCGGCTGTAGTAGCCTAGAGGAGGTGTATATTGACGGCATATACGTCCGACCAACGCAAGGAGGCGTCATGACGGATTTGGACGTGCTAGAGGACCTTGGCAAGTGGATGATGATGGGCTTCCTCGTTCGGCGAAACTTGGAGCACGGTATCCAAGTCGAATTGGCGCGCCGATGGGGTGCTTGGAGAGGACGTGCTGGTGGGGTCCTGGTTATCCTAAATAAAACCGACATGGCACACGTCATGACGCGCATCGGGTTCAGAAACGCGTATACGAAGACTCTGGCTATGGCTGGGCCTGCTCCGATCATATAGACGAAGGCTGTAGTTACTTTAGACAGATATTTGTTGGTCCGGGCATGCCAAGTCTCTAAACTCAGCTCGACAGATAAAGCTCAATCGCATATCGTCCTCTATTACAATTACCGCTGTCGCGTGGTGATTCTAGTATGTGTTGAGCTTGTAAGATGGCTGTCTGTGGTTCGTCGTCTATATGCTTCTTCGTCGTTCATAAGCTAGGTACATTCTTGCAATTCCGGGTTGTTTGGTTGGATGGTGCCTCCGCAAGTGACTTACAGGATCACGCTGGAAGGTTAGCTGTCCGTAGAAGCTTCAAAAGGCGCGCGTTGTGGGGCGTAGAGTCAAGGCGTGGTCCAATCAGCAGTAAGGTGAAGCAGCTGACAAAGGCGCTAGTGGCATGACCCCTGCGAATCTGGGGTAGCTTCGAGGCGGCCGTGCAAGCCGCAGTAAGAGTCTGGCGCTTGCTAACAAGTCCAGATCGATTGTTGATACCCCTCTTCACTTCTTCTCGAGCCACAACTTTTGCCATCCGACTTTGTAATCAACAACAACAGCAGTTTATCAACATGTCTTGCCCCGTGATTGGAACCACCAATGATGTCCTCCCACCGAACCATCCTTCTATCGATCTCGCAAAGGATGGCCAGGTTGTACGTACTCGAAAGTACTTTCCTTGTGTTCGAACCAGACTGACATGACGATAGTGCCCTGTAGTAGGAGCCACAACCGACCACCACCACAACCTACACTCGCACCCTCCCGTCCCCACCCAAGGCAACGAGGCTACATCATGCCCCGCTCTCAAGAACACTGTCAAGGAGACCAAGGCCCAGGAGATGGATGATGCCCTCTGCCCTGTTGTAGGCACCGCTACCACTGTTCTTCCTCCCGACCACCCAGACATGCTTAAGGCGAGTGAGGGCGACGTATGCCCTGTCACCAAGGCAACAGTTGGACACCATAAGAACAAGGTGGTTACACACCCAAGCGTAGACGGAGCAGCAGATGGTGCTGTATGCCCAGTCACTGGCCAAAAGCAACTTGCATAAGGGTGATATGGATTGAAGGTCAGGTGGCGTGCGTATATATACCCAAACGAATATAGTGGGTCAACAACCCGACATTGGATTGGATATGGGCCTCTCTGCATGTCTTGTCGGCTTTTGTCTCTGTAACAGCGTAACCATGATACAGCAATTATGCCTCGGAGACGCAGTGTAACATTGAAAATTTGGGGGTCATAACAGCAAAGTTGGTATCTGCTATATGCTGCGGAGCTCTTCTTCTTTCATTTCTGGTCAACGGCATCATCATGTGACTCAGTATTCTGTTTCTTGTACTCTATTGGATCCATCTATCCCGGGCAAGCAACATTTGTTACTATCCCAATGGCGATACAAGCACAGACGTTCCGTGCGACCCCGACGCGCCCATTACACCATGTTGCGAATCACGTTCTCCCTGATGACAGTGCTTTTACAGATCCAAGGCTTAAGATTTGTGCCTATACTCTCATGATGTAATCTAGACGTTCATGAAGATGGAAGTCAATAACTGGACGGAATAAAGAGAACATCAGAGGTTCATACGTGTGGGATTATAGCGACCAGGTCCGCCTATCTTCGCAACCTAATTTTCAAATTGGATAATCGCTGCAGACTCAAATTTTCGTAAGAAATGGTCACAGAGGGCTAGGGGCGGCTCGGAAAGGCGGGGCTGCAAGACTGAGCCTTGCAATGATAGCCAGGGAATATTGGTGAATTGTACTACGGGAAAGGGCCAGATTCTTCTTTCCATAGCTGTAGACACACCGATCGTCTAAATATTAAGGAGAACGAGCCCGATACGGCAACGGTGAGCGCGACGGTTTCCTCCGAGATCGCCCTGTGCCATCGCCTTCAGAATCTGACCCTCTTCGCTCGCGCCTTCGATGTCGATCGCGTCTGTCTCTAGAATCCTCGCTTCGATCTCGGGTTCGTTCCGATCGATGGCGACGCTCTCTGTCTTCCGAGTTGTCCCGTGGCTTTGACTTGCGATGTCGACGGTCGTCATGCGGGCTTTTGTCGCGACTTCTACTCCTTCGCCGTGACCACTTATCACGCTCATCGTCTTCCCCTGCATCCTTGATCCGTCTCCTATCCTTGCCATGGTCCCGGTCTCTCGACCTGTCTCTCCGGCTATGCCTGTCCTTGCGCTTTGCCCTCTCCTTTTCTTTACGCTTTTGCTTCTTCAGCTTCTTGAGTGCATCGTCTACCTTTTCTTGCTGGCGCTTGATCATAGAGTCACGCATCGGGTCATCCTCGTCCAGCTTCTCCAACAGGCGTCCTAATTCGATCTCTTCCGGTAGCAGTGGTCGGTCGTCGTCCGAGTCGCTTTCGCTCTCTGTCTTTCTCCGCTTCCTTCTGCCACCATCAGACTCATGACCAGGGTCGAGATCGAGCTCTCCCATAGTGTTGTCCCTCATGTCTTCGTCGTCCTTGGGTTTGTATCGCGCATGATCTACCCTGATGATGCGATCCATAATACTCGCTCCACCTAGATTGTCCACAGCCAAGTCGCAGCTTCTCTGGTCTTCGTACTTGATCCATGCGAAACCTCGTGACTTTCCCGTCTCCTTGTCGCGCGCCAGCTTGATCCATACTGGCTCGCCGTACTGGGAGAATATGGTGATGATGTCACCTTCTGAAAGTTCGAAGGGTAAGCCGCCGATGTAGACAAAGGCCGTGTCCCGGTAGTCGGTATGCCATGAACCTTCGGGATTGATGCCTGCCTCGAGTTCGCGCTTATTGAGCTGCTGGATGGCGCGCACCGAGTTCATGGTGGGCGTAGTGTAGACGGAGCGGTGTTGGAGAGGTTCCTCATGCGGGTGAAATGCTGAACATGGCGCTGAGGGTGTATTGAGAAGTTGTTTTGGCGTGGGCGGAGGTAGCAGGAAGGTCCGCTGGAACTTTTGAAGCTCGGGCTTGGCCAGCAGCAGCATCCCTGCAGAAAAGGTACCAGCGAACAATGCGGCCAAACAAGCACACCGCAACCCCACTAGACATTCACTCGGGTGCCGCACTAGCCTTTCCGCCTCCGTCGCATATCTTGTATACAGCATCCACACATCACCGCGTAGTCGACAAAGCCTCGTGTCACCGGCGACGAAGCTCCGCACCACCTCCGCAATGGCGAGCGCGCGTCGGACCTCCAACTTCCCCACACGCGTCCCCGGAAGCCACGACCGCCCGGGGAGCAGAGACACGGACAAGGAGGAGATATGGAAACCCATGCTGGATAACATTTCGAGTGGGAAGCGACTGCCAGAAAAGAGTCTGCTCGTGCTGGGTGAGGGCCACAATAGGCAGAATAGGGGACACAGCTAATGCTCAACCCCAGGCGGAACTCCAGAAACACAGCGAGAGTTCCTCGAGTCGGTGTCGACAGACTCTGCAAACAACCGAAGACCGCCAGACCGAGGCAGGAAGCCGCCAATTGCCAACCAATTTGCCCTGGGCTACACGTACCAGGATGTGCTGGATACCGATCACGAGGGTGTGTAGCGTCGCTGGCTGTACAACCAGCATTTGCTAACAAAGCCAGACACACTTGCTCGTCTTTCGCTCTACCTCCTTGCTAACCCCTCGCCCTCCTTCACCCCCCTTATCAAGCCCTACCTCAACCCACGAACCCTCCCGCACATGCTTATCGTCATACTCCTAGACTGGAATCACCCGTGGCTGTGGATACGGCAACTTCGCGACTGGATCAGAGTACTGCGATCACTCATCGTCTCCCTCGATGATAACTCAAAGGTCGTCTTGGAAGAGAACATCCAAACGCTGCAAGACAAGGGACGCAACTTGCCAGCTGAAGGCAGCAGCATGGAGAACGTAAAGATACCACTTGGGCCCGGAGAATGGGATGAGCCACTCGGCATACCGTTATGCGTAGTATGTCAGAATGCTGACAAGATCGAGACGCTTGAAAAGGAGAGGGGCTGGAAAGAGGAGGAGTTCGACTTCATACTACAGTACATGCGCACTATCCTTCTCAAGCACGGCTCAAGCTTGATTTACACCATGCCTACAGCACCGGGGTCGTTGCAAACACTTATCCACTCCACCCTGGGCATCAAGTCTCTGCTCAAACAAGAGCAGCTCAGGCACAACGTTACGGACCGTGACCGAGTATTGGTCCCACCCAACTGGGATTCATGGGCCAAGATTCGTATTTTACGAGAAGGGTTTGATGTCGAAGGCATCAGCGAGAAATGGAGTGTTGACATTGATATACCCCAGTATATGCGCCCAACCAACGGCCAGGTATCTACGCCCATCGAAGGAGAAGCGCAGCCCAACGGCGAAGACACACAGGTTGCGGAAGAAGAGGACGACGGCCCCTCAGCGACATCAATCTATGAGGAAACGATCCGCAACCCAGAGTCAGATTACGCACTTTCCAGCTTATCGAAACAAGCCGACGGGCTCGAGGTCTCTAGCAAGGATCCGCAGGCCTTCCTTGCTGATCAAGTCAACGTCCTTGAACATCTACGGCGGGAAGACGAAAACGAAGCTGCCATCAAAGCTGCGCGCAAGGAACAAGACCCTTCGGCTTCTAGAGCGTGGACCGAAGATGCATCAGGAGTTGTCGAAGAGCACATCGGACCTGTACAGTTCAACATGGGTGGTATTCAAGTCAATGCCGATGAGATGGTGAAGAGACTGCAGGTACGTGGAGAATTCATGCGTACTGTCCGAAGATTTGCTGACTTCAATCCAGGACCGGCAAGCCAGCCGATTAGATGAGCCCGAGACACCACCCCCAAAGACACAGGATACCAACATCAACGACAACGAGAAGCTGAGGTCCTTCTTCTCAAGTCTGGTCAACAAGGCGCCTTCAAACAGTCCGAGGGGATCATAGAATAAATCTACTTTGAAATGAGCGCTTTCCAACTATTCTGCTACATGTACTACACACATGTTGATTCGACTTTCCGATAACAGAGGCTTTCTTACTGGTTCACGGTCGTCATTAGCATGGCTCTATACCCACAGTGTATTTCCGTACCCAATACAAGCTTTTCATTCAATGTCTTCGCTTTGAGACTATGCACTACACAAGTACTGTCATTGAGTCTGCCGCCATCAGTTTCGTCGCGCTGTGATGGTGAATGTTGTACAGCGTGTGACACATCAGCTCGACAACTCAACGTCTTGATGGCTGAAGACACGCATGAAATACTTCAAATCTCGATTGCACGCCTGCGTCTACTCGTTCCTAATCTTCATGTATTTCTACTTTGTCTCTCTAATCAGTATTCTACTTGCACCACTATCACCGTACCACCAATACAACTTGACTAAAGATTCGATTGCCTTGTCGAAGTCAGCCCCATCTTTGCTCATCAAACCCCCCATCATGACAGGGAGACGGATCCGCTGGGCTGATTACCGCCGCCCCGACCGCATTACAGAAAACAATCTAGCTCAAGTACCCGAGGGGCACTTCAACTGGGGACAGTGGAGGCACATGGCTAATCCACAAGGTATGCAAGGATACTGGAACGAGAGGAGAGGGCAATGGGGCTGGAGGAATGGGTATCAGTGGGGCGATGCCAGGAGAGACTGGCGGTATCGCTGAGTGGAGGTTAGAAGTCATGGAGTAGGCAAGTAATCGTCATATGTGGATACTAGCATGCTGTAATGTTGAATGATAAGATCCAGAATCCCTTCTATTTCTCCAACAACCACTTTACACCATTCAACGTATCTATAACAAACTTCTCGCTCTCCTCCAGCTCCGGATAGTTTGTCCAGAACATATGTCCATACCCGGCGTACAACTCAAACCTCGTCAGTATTCCCTTCTCTCTCAGGATTCTATCGTAAAGCACCGCTTCGTCCCTCAACGGATCCAAGCCACCGACCTGGAAGAAGGCTTTTGCCACACCTTCATGTCCATCTGGGTGGTTGAATGGATCCCATAGAGGAGATTTTGGGTCAGGAGTATAAATCTCCTCAATCATACCCGGTGGAATACCTTTCAAGACTGGATCGTTGGTACTTTGCGTCCGAGATAGGTAGAGTGGAGCTAGGTTGTGCGGGACGTTTGTATCAGGGAGCAGTGCGGGGACGCATAGGTACTGGCCGGTGATGGGTGGACTGAGCTTTTCGTCTCGAGCAAGGAGAGCGAGGACGGCGGCAATGTTACCTCCTGCTGATGCGCCACCGACAAGGAGACCACGGGAGGGTGTTGCGTTAAGTTTAGGGCTGTTCCTCAGACTCCATAGCAGGGCGTCATAGCAGTCGTGCACTCCAGTGGGAAACTTGTGCTCGGGTGCCAGACTAGAGTGAATGGGTAAGCATGTACTCTTCTCGTTGAACAAGCAATGGTAAGAGAAAGTAGAACAAACGAGAAGGGACGTATATGTATCCTTACCGATACTCAACGTTCACACAAACAGCCCCCAGGTCTCTGGCAAACATCCTGCAATTCAGATCTTCGTCTGTCAAGTCGCCCATACTCCAGCCTCCTTCATGGTACATCATGATGAGCGGACTACCATCTTCCGGGGGACCGGCAACGGGTTGGTAGACTCTAACGCGGATGGATGCTCCATCCCGAGTCGGTACATCATGTAGACTTTCTTGGACAAGATCTGGGATGGGGCCGGGGATCGGGTAGAGATGGCGTAGGCGCGAGAGGTGGTCTGCACGAGATGCGCGGTGGGCGAAAAAGTCGTCGCCGGTGATGTCTACAGGGCGAGACTCGAAAGCCTGGGAATCTGATGAGATGATGACTTATGGTTTTTGTTTCTGTTTTGGAAGAAAGCCGTTGGAGACGGCGACAAACTATCTCAGGGAAGAAGTGGAACTAAACTACCTTTCTGTATACCTCGGATACCTCACCTGACTTGATGACTTCATCGCGTGTAAGATGGGCCATGTTTGCTGCGGGATCCTATGAAGCTTGAACACAGCGAGATGGGAAGTGACAAATGCTCCGAAAGTATTGTGCTTGCTTTGTGAGGATGTTGACGGATGCACAACCCATAAGCTTACGTCATTCGAAAACAGCTCATTTCAGCTCACGGTACGGTATGAGACACGCATTCATCACATCAACTTTACTATGAGGATCAACCTCCTACACATTGCTGTCGAGTAGTGAGGTCACTCATGGATACATGAGTGAAGCTCAAGATTATGTTACAAGTCAAGAGAGGTATCAACATCTGGTATCTACGAGGCTACTTCGGAAGAACTGTAAATTACTCTCGTCACCATACATTACTGGACTCGTCATGCCCGATCCTACTCAGCATCGACAAGCACAGTACTATCCTCGACCCTCTTCTCGTTCTCTCCTCCTGCCAAACTAGGCTGAGCAACCTGCCTGCCTTTCCAACCCTTCATAAGTCTACCCAGCCTCTTCCTAAGGCCATACTGCATCCACAATGGCCAGCCCCTTATCCTTGGCAGCATGAACCAGGCAGTCTCGGGCAGAACAATATGCTGACTCTTGCCACTCAAAACGGCCTTGACAATACTTTCGGCAACTGTCTCGGGATACAAAACGCCCCTTGAATCGAAGCCTTCGAAGAGAGCGGTGCGTGTATAGTTTTGGGCCATGAGTACCGTCCTTATCTTGGGTGCGTTGTAGCGAGCAGTGAGTTCGGCGGAGAGACCTTCGTGGAAGGATAGTGCAGCGGCCTTGGACGCGGCGTAGTCGACCATGGAGGGGGCAGCGAGGTAGCCCGCGACAGAGGCGACGGTGACGATCATGCCGTGGCTGTTGGCAATCATGCTAGGAAGGAACTGCTGGGCGAGGTAGTAGTGGCTGAAAGTGTTGACCTTGAAGGTCAGGTTGATGTCCTTTTCGGTCGACTCGAGGATGGTCTTGCCGCGTGCGACACCTGCATTGTTGATGAGAACCGTGGGGTTTCCCAGTGTGGAGCGGATAGACGAAGCGGCGTCGGCGATGGCGTCGGGGGAGCTGAGGTCGCATTTGAAGAAGCGGACAGACGGCGGTGCTGGTGAGTGTGAGCATCTCTTTTGATGTGTCTAGCAGCCTCAAGAAGCAGAAACATACCTTCATACGTCAAGTCCTGAACGTCGAGGACTGCAACCTTGATTCCCTTCTCGGCCAGCAGCTGTACTACGACCTTGCCAATACCGTCACTGCCTCCCGTCACAACGACAACCTCGCGACTCCACACATATTCGTCTTTGGTCCAGTTGTTGGTCACTCCGCTGTTGAGCCACGCGTTGACGGTACTGAGCGCACCCAGGCCAAGCAGTGTCTTCAAGCCCTTGAACACTGAGGCATGGTCTTGAGCGAGGAGGTTGCCTTGCTGTGTGTAGCGCGCGAGGAGGACAAGGGGAAGCGTAAGGGCGGGATTGAAGGCCGTGTATCTGATGATGCGACTGATGGTATCGCCCGTCACGCCTGTGTACCGCGTCAGTAGAGCGCGCCAATTGACAAAACCTTGTCTGTGACCCTTGAGAACGGGAGGCATCAGCTATAGGCACTTACCTTCGCGCGCAAGGGTCCAGTCGCTTCGAATCGGCATGGCGACAACAACAAAGGTTGTTTGGTGCCTGGAGTAGTAGTGGCGGTAGCGCGTGTAAACTGCGACTAGCAGACAGATACACTTCACATGTCGCGCGTCGGCTCCCTTTAAACGGTCCGTCTACGATGCTCCTTCTCCGTCTTGGTGCTGTGCCACACGCCAGGTGGAGCGGGGTCAGCCAAAACTAGGCTAAGGCGTTCCTCATGGCACCAACAGCCGAGGAACTGGCCCTGCCTATCGTGATAGCCGTGTCGCCAGGTCCAAGTGATCATCGCAAAAGGGATAAGGACACATGTCTGCAATAACCATTATTATTCGCAGCCTCTTAGCTGTCGTGACTAAATATACAATCGTAATAAACACGTTCCAAGTAATACTGTATCCAAATCACTGTCGCTGCCCAAACATAGGAAACATCGTCAAGTAGCTAAACGATCAACTCTCCCATCCTGAACGCCAAATACAAAATCCTCCCACGCTACACAGACAATACAAAAAACAAAAACGTGGACAGTTCAATCACTCCTTCATCTAGAACATGTTCTTTCCACCTTGCTCGTAGTCCATGATGGTACTCTCAGGAGGCGCGACGCTCGTTACCCGGCTGATGCGACTTGATCGTGAGTCGGGACGATTGATCGACATGGCTCCACTCATGACCCTGACTACCTTTTTACTCCTAGTTCCTGTCACTAGCACTTGCGCTGGACAAACCACAATCTCGTCCTCGCCCTCGCCGAAATCGTCGCCCTTCTTGACAACTAGTGGGAATAGTACTACCTTGACTACTGCACCACGGGCTTCGAGCTCGTCATTGGACGTTGTTTCGCCTGACCGTTCATTCATGAGAGAGGCGTTGAATGTGACCTTGGCCACAAGATCGCCCTTGGTATCGTACTCAGGCTGTAGCGGCGGCAGCATGATGTATTCCGCGCGTTGGGTCCGCATTTCGATTGATAGTTCGACTGCCAAGCGCATGACGTTGCGCAGTGATTCCTGAATCTGCTTCTGCAGATGCGATGGTGGCGGAAGCAGTGTCGAAAGCGTGCTGTAGATTTCATGTACCACAGCTTCTGTGTCCTGGGCGCGCTGCTGCATGAAAGGCTCTCTCCTCGCAAGAAGGGTAAGTGTGATAGCTCGCCATTGTGCCACAGCGCGAGGTGGGCCAACTTCCGACAACGTCTTCTCCAACGCCTTGAGTTTCTGGCGCTGTTCTCTGTCCATACCGAAAAGGTACCTAGTAAAGACGTACTCCCAAATCATAGTCATGACCACTGACATGAAGACATCTCGACGCCTGACGCGGTCCGCCAGAAGTGCGTCGACATCTGAGCCATCAAGAATGGCATTGTCTAGCCTAGTGTCAATCTTTTGGCGCGTTGATGCGTCCAGTCGAGTATCGGCTGCGATCTCGGACGAAAGGCGACACGCACGAGTATCCGAGAACTTGGAGAATCGAAGTACCCATTGCTGGACATGTTGACAAAGTTGTTGGCAGGCGCTGTCAAAGTAGTCCTCATCGCGGACAGTGAGGAAGCTTTCGCTTGGCTTCTTGGAAGCTAGGATCTGCTTCTGGAGGTTCTTGATCTGTTCGCGCGCGGTTGCGAGTTCTGCAGTTAAGCGGTCGATTTCGGCGTTGCGTTCATCCAGTGCTTCGCCAACTTCGTCACGAACGGCATCTGCCAAACCTCGCTGCATCTGGGTATGCTGGCGGCGAAGTTCTTCCAAATCTCGTTGCGATGTTTGCCATTGTTGTTGCATGGCTTGGCCTTCTGACTGAAGCTGACTGTATTGACTGCGAAGGCTTTCCAGCTCCCGCTGTGATGATTGCCATTGCTCATGCACCATTTGTCCCTCGGACTGAAGTTGCCCATACCGTTCATTCGCATCGTTAGTCAGGTTGCGATTGGCATCTGTCAGCGCATTGTTGAGTTGATTCAGGCGTGCAATCTCTTCTTGTAGTCGCTGAAGTGTATCCTTGAGTTGCGCAATGTCAATATCCCTTTGGTGAATCTGGCGGTCACGTGCTTCTACTTCCTCGGCTACAAGCTGCTCGTCAATCTGTCGCTGACTTTGTGCAGCCTGTAAGGCCTCTTCAGCCTTGGCCTTAGCATCCTCGACAGCTTGATTCTGCGCGGCTAATTGGTCGAGTTGGGTCTGCAGATCCATGATTTGCATGCTTTGACGTTTGCGCACGCTTGGTGGTCGTGAGGGCGAGCTAGGGGACCTTTGGGCTTCACCCCATGCTTCCTGTAAATGACAGTCAGTAACAGGAAACGAGCTTTACAACAAGATCAGACTACTTACAAAGGTTTCAGCCATACTGGTCCGGCGACCTCTACCTGTACCCCGGACTGGGTCGTAAACCGGTGGGGCGGCGATACCTGCGATGGCTGCTGCTCCTGCCGCGAGCGCCGTGCTTGAGAGATTAGGTTGCACGCTCTTAGCGTCTTGCGCACTGGCCGCGCCAAGCCTCGAGGCTGATCTCAGGTCACCTGACGTTTGCCGGTCTACTCTTCGCAACGAACGCTCCGAATGGTTACTCAAAGAGCTCATAGGCCGCTCTTGGTCGGGAGACCTCAATCTTGCGATATTGCTCAGAGAGCGTTGACTTTGGACACTAGGTGACCGCTGCTCAGCAATGTGCTGCTTCAATGGGTCTGCGCTTGGGGATGATCGTGGCATACGGCGCGCGGGACTGAGGGCCATGGTTCGATCGATGCTTTCGTTGACCTGTTGCCATGGCGAGTCTCTTCCGCCTACATTCTCGACTGTGGATTGCACACTCCGGCGACCTGTAGGTGTTGGTGTGCTAGGCGGAGGTGATCTTAGACGATCAGAAAGTTGCCTGAGACTCTCAGTGCGACGAGCTGACTTCAGTCCTCGACCAGACACACCCACATCGGCTGCTGACCGTGACTTCTTTTTTGTGGTGGTGTCATCTGGACTGACTTCTGTGATAGATTCAAGCTGCTTTGCGCCTGGAGTGCTAGTCCGTTCAGGCTTTGCGATATTCGATGAAAGGGTCTCGCTCTTCTTCTCATTCGGATCTCCAAACAAGGACTGGTATGGCTCCTTTTGTGTGAGTTCCTTAGTAGGCGATGCCCGGCCGTGGTGCGACTCGACGCGCGGTTTCTTGCCTGCCCGCGACGATCCGCTAACATCTTTTAACGGAGTTTCAACGACCATGTGGGTATCATGAGCAGGCGTTTGCGGTGCTGCTGCTGGTGAAGTGCCATATGCGCGCGTAGATGGCGAAGAATCGAAAAGATGGGAGGATCGCTCCTTCGTGGCGTACTCGTCGCTTGTGGTGGGCGTGCCTAGAGTCATTGGGTGCGTTGGCAAAGCAGCGCTGTCCGTATCATGATCAGTTGCGATCGAACGTTTTGGTGCGCTTAGAGGAGTTTTCGGTTCCTTCGAACGCCTCAGTTTACGTGGTACTGTTTCGATAGGCTGCTCCGGCTGAGCCTTGGTGGTGGCTTGGTCGACCCTGTCTTGAACTCCGGCAAAGGACCACGATGGCTCATGAGCTGGTCCTACAACACGGGTCGACGATTGAGCGTCGCCTGTACTAGGCATACGCTCATCGGAGTGCTTTTCAAGATGTGCGAGCTCTGGCACGACAAAGCGCGACGGCGATGCCGACCTCTCACTGGCAAATTGAGGCTCTCGAGTGGACTTCAATGTGTGTAGGCGCTTTTCGTCGGGTCGCTCGTCGTCAAAAGATACAGGATGTGTTCTGCGTTTGTGAACTTCACGATCGGCAGTTCGTGCCTCAGCTGGTAGTGCGTCTCTCATCCTGGTCGTAGACTCCTCATCAACCTTTTCTTGAACATTCCTGCTCTTTTTGCCCTTCTGTTTTGGCGATGGTGCCCACGAGTTCATATCCCTCTCTTTCTCCAACTCCTGCTTGTGTGTTTCCTCCTTCGACTGCTTCAAGATTTCCTGTGACACCACTTGGGGAAATGGGTACTCCCTCGGCTCTTCAGCGGTCAGTGAGCGGGGCTCCTGATCGAATGTCACAGGTAAGACTGGGCTGTCCTCCTTGCCTGCAGGTTGCTCTTCTGTGACTGTTTTTTTTGATTTTGCCCTCTTATCTCGCCTACTTGAGTGTACCTCGTCGAGTTCAGTAGGTGTGGCTGATACGTTTGTTGCTTGTGCTGGTACGTCCGGAAGGACAGCAGTAGTGGTCGACGCGTGAGGCATGGACCGGGCAGGCTCAACCTCGCGGACCGTGGAGTCAACTGGAGTCTCAACAGCAAGAGGCACATTTGGAAGAGCCTCAATCGCCGGAGTCTCTGCAGCTGCATACTCAACACCGTCTTGCTGACGTGGAGCTTGTTCCATGTCCTTCGTTGACTTCTTGCCTTGTTTGGTCTGTGCGACCCCAGTGTCCTTTGTGCTTATCTTACCGACATCTACTGGTGTCTCTGGTAGGGGATGACGTCTCTTCTTGCCCTTGGTTCTTCTGAGACTTGAAGACCCAGCCAACTCATCAGGATCAGCCTCCTCAAGAACACCGGGGGGTGACTTTCGCGCTGCAAAAGCAGGGTCATTGAGCACGTCTAGGGGATCGAACGATACGGTGTCCGTAGGTGCCATTGCCACTTCGATAGGTGGTAAGACATCGGGCCCAGTAGGCTGCGTCGGCCGCAGTTTTGGAGAGCCAGAGACCGATGAAGAACGGCTTAAGCTTCCGAGCCGAGATCTACTGGCTCTCTCTTTTGCGGCGGTAATGTCGTCATCTGGTGTGATATCGCGAGCTCCTGAGATAGAGTTCGAGCGATGGAATGACTTGTCGTTGATGACATATCCAGGGTCGAAACCAGACTCTTGCAAACTGGCGGCCACGGTGGCAGCGAAGTCTATCTCTCTTGCTGGCGACTTCGAATCCGATCGAACTGGCGACGCCAAGCCAAGTTGACTACGGGACGCAACTCTAGCTACGTGGCGCTTCTCAGGCGATGGAGGTAGGACCGGCGTAACCGATCGAGATAGACAACGCTTCTCAGGAGATGGGGGTAGAACGGGTGTGACAGATCGAGACTGACTCTCGTATCGTTCGGCGAGATTTCTGACACTGCCAGAACCTTCCCTGCGCAAGTTACGTTCCGCGCTAGGGCCATCCTGCGATGCGCCGCGCTCGAACAACGCTGCTAGCTTGTGCTTCTTGGACGACTTCTTGTGCAACAGTGGTTGCTGAGGAGTATGGTCGGGTTCGGTGGCTCTGAATTGAGCACCAGCGGTTGAAACGTCGGATATGGATCTAGAATGCATACCCTTAAGCTTGTTAGGAACTTCTTCGACATTCGGCTCGGACGCTGATGGCGTTGTGGTCGTGTTTTCCGCAGGAGGTATGCCATTTTGAGTCTCCCTCTGGCGAGAATTCGATGTAACTCTCGACAGGATGTTTGCTTCAGGCATGGCAACTCTCTCTTCGACTGGACCGGTAGGTGTAACATTGGCCGGCCCCTCCGAAAACGTGGTAGCGATCATTGACTTGCGCCTCTGCTTTTTGTTGTTCCTTGTGGTTGTTTCGGCCTTAGGCGTAGCTTCGATCGTTGGGTACTCGGCACTCAAATGCTCCTCTGCGTTGCCATCCGGGACGATGATCTCTTGGGGTTCGACCTCTGAAGGTAGGTCACGCTGACTTTCGGTTACCGGTGCGACAGGCGCGTCTTCAATGGGATCAACTGGGGCGTCTATGGGGACTAGGAGCTGAGTGCCAATGAGTTCTAATGGATTGACCAGCGGCTCTTCGTCTCGAACTTCTTCGGCTTTTCCCACATCCTCTTCGCTCTTCTCTTTGTCCTTCTTGGTCTCTTTACTTGCTAAAGCAGGAACAGTCGCAAGCTCTTGTTCTCGCTCCTGGGTGCTCTCTGAGACATGTGTAGAATCGGTGTAGTTGGTCAAGATAGGTTCTGGAAGAACTTCAGTGATCTTGACACCTGGCTCCGCATGCAGTCGTGATATAGCAGCCGGCTCGCTGGCTTCGGGAAGCGATACATCCCTCGTGGCGGATGCTTCAAGGTCCTGCGCGGCTAGTGCGTCTTGTTTGACTCTGTGCTTGTCCTTTTTGCTAAGCTCCTGAGATGGAACGGGTGACTCATCGATGGTCATCTTTTGTTGCTCGGGAGCCACTAGCGGCAGAGTATCTTTGATTGTCTCTGTTGGCACGACGATTGAGGTATCAATTCGTGTTTCCTCATCTTGGCTTGATGTCTGCGGCGCAGCGACAAGTTCTTCCACAGCGAGCTCACTAGGTGTCTCAATGCTCAACATGGGGGATTTCTCGACGACAGGTGCTAGAGATGGAGCAGCTACCCCATAATCAGGTAAAGCTACCTCTTGAGATTCAGCCACAGTAGCGGAAGAGATATCCTGGGACAAATTCACTGGCGTATCTTGGAACTCGATAGCTTGTTTGAACTCCTTCTTGTCTTTCTTGTCAAGGTTCCTCGACAGCACTGGCTCATCTTCTGCATTGGTTTCTTGCATGTCCTCAGTGACGGCGGACGGAGCTAGGGTTTCGGCTGTGGCTGGCTCGATAGGGCCCATTCTCTCAATATCCATGGGCGGGGTGGGTTGGAGAGTGTCGTCTGATATGGTGGCGCTAGCTGAAGGTTCAGTGGCAACTTGTAAATCTTCCCTTGGCTGCTCGATGGCTGGCTTTGGGATATCGCCGATCTGCACGCTCGATTGCGTTGGTGTGTCGTGAAGCTCATCAAAGCTGATCGCAGGTCCGTTAGCCTTGGCCTTTTTCTTTTCTTTCTTGCTCAGGTTGCGGGAAGGCACATCGGTCGGGACGAGGCTCTCCTCTACTGGAATTGATGTGCCAACAGCTCCCGTCTCCTCAATGACCTGCTCCTCCACTAGAGTAGGCGCAGAAACAGGTGCAGGCATTCTGGAGCCCTCCTTCGTCTCTACCGCAACCTCAGTTCGGGTCGCAGGAGTCGTCGATAGAGTACCAGAATCGCCCTTGCTTTTCTTTGCCTCTTCTTTATCCTTCTTTGTAAGCCTTCTTACCAGATCTAATATAGAAGTCGGCTCAGTGGCAGAGAACTTGTCAGCGTCTCTTTGTGTGGCGAGCTCTGCGTCGAGGGCTTCGGCACGAAGTCGCAGTTCAGCAGCATCATCTTGAATCGCCTTGAGGGAGGGTGATAGCTCGTTTGGTGGAACATCATCGTCTTGAGTAACAGGACCCGCTCCATGGTGTGCAGTGAAAGAGTCGGTGGGTTCGATAGGCTGCTGCTCATCAAGGCTTCGCTGGGTCTCTTCAGGAGCCGCATCGAAGACATGAGATACTTGGTCTTCATCAGCCTCAGTGACGGTCGGTACCTTCCCTACGATTGGTGTCGTAGGTCGTTCGATATCCTTTGTGACCTCGGTATTCGTAGGTAAACTGTCATTGTGGTAGATCGAGGCATCAGTGGGGATTACAGGCGAGACCTCCTTGTCGTATGCAGTGGAGCTAGGAGTTTCAAAGGACACTTCCTCTGTGATGATTGATGGAGATGGGATATGTGCCTCTAGATTGGATGGCTCGACGATACTCGGCTGGGCATCGGTGTTTTCTGATGATACCTTTGGCTCATCCCTGTTTTCATCCAAGATAGTAACGGGCTCAGCTGACGCTTCAGTTAGGTCCTTCACAATATCGCTACGGTCGTTTGTCACCTCTCGGGTCGCTTGCGATCTGCGAGCTGCCTCATTGACGGGCTGAGATGTGGAAGATTTGGGAAGTGGTTCAACTTCCTCGGTCTGGTATTTGAGGTCCACAATAGCCGGCGCGACAGTTGGGAAATCCGAGGACGGCTCTTGCAAGGGCTTTTGCTCGGATTTCTTCGCATTCGATGGCGATGATGCTTGAACTTGAGGAACAGAACTGTCTTGCACCTCAGAAAAGCTTGATGGGACGCTGTTCGGCAGCACTGCGATATCCATCTCTTGTGATGCAGTTGATGTTCTAGGCTGTTCGGCGGATTCCGGAGCATCGCTGACGGCAGGAAGAGGCTCACCCTCAGCTTTTGTTGCCATCTTCGATGGCTCGTCAATCAGAATCATCACTGGCTGCTCCGTGTCCTGAACGGTTTCCTCTGGATCCTTTGAATCGGTAGACTGTGGTCCGCCAGTAGTGATAGGCTCGATCTCGAGCGGTTCCGATGCTTTTGTCTGTCCAGGAAGTTCAGAGGTTTCGCTGACGGGTTCATTTGCGACATCGATAACAACAGGCTGGGCCGCACTCTTCTTGTCTCTCTTAGCCTTCTTGCCCTTTTTGGGAGTCACGGAAACCACGCTCTCTACTTCTGCGACTTCAGGCAATGACTCGCTCGTCCTTACGGTTGGATCCTCTCGTACAGATTCGGATACGTCGCGAGAAGCCTCGCGCCCGACGACAGGATCTCGAGCCATTAGGGTGGGGTCTTGTGTAGATTCAACCAAAGTGGTGTCGAGAACATCAGCCAGAGGTGATGGTTCTGCTGACGCATAGTCGGTGGACAGCTCGATGGAAGGCTCGACGGCAGGCTCACTGTCAACCTTGAATTCATCAACCAGAGCAGCAGCCTGCTTCTGTGCCTTCTTTCGCTCTTTCTTGCTCAGCTTGCGTTCAGGAACCGACTCCCGCATGTCTGTCTCACTCTTGGCTTCTTTCAGAATCGCTGTCTGTGGCACTAAATCTTGTTCGCTAGCTGCAAGCGCAGTCTCAGTGGCAGGTGTAGTGACAGTTGTCTCCTGCAGTGGAAGATCCTCCGGTTGAGTTGCAGCTTCCTCTATCTTGGGCTGCTCATCCACGACTGGTGCGAAAGAGACACGAGCCTCGGTTGTAAGAGGCACTACGCCACCAGTAGCTGTGATAGTGCTGTCAGACTCAGCTGCGGGTAGAGCTTCGATTGTTGGCGTCATGACATCTGTCTTCTTGCTCTTCTTGCTCTTCTTCTTCTTCGAGATCGTTGGCAATGCTGGCTCCTTCGCTTGAGATTCAACGGCTACTGCTGGTACATTTATGGGCTGCTCTTCGATGAGTGCTGGCACGGCAGTAGGAACTGACGCATCGTAGCTGACAGCTTCCTCAGTCGGCTCGTCAATCAAGATTTCTCGTGCAACCGAGGCATCTTGCGTTGTAGGGACTTGCTCGTCTTTGTTCGATTGCTCAACAATAGACTCTAGGGTGACAGCCGGTGGAACGGATGGGACGTTCTCCGTGGAAGGCGTCGTAGAACCAGACTTCGTGATTTCCTCCTTGGCGAGCTGCATCGGAAGCAATTGGAGAGCGCTATCATTGAGTGAAGGTTCTTGGTTTACTGGGAGCGCAGGTATCTCGGCCACGGCTTCGTCGTAAGGCGCGTCAGTCAGTGCGTCCTGGATAATTGGCTCGTTGCTGCGAGTGCTGACATCTTGTGCGGCTTCAGCCTTGGGTTCGACTATATCTTCATTGACGGGTGTGTCCCTACCCAAAGCTTTCGCTTTCGCCTTCTTGACTTTCTTCTTGTCTTTCTTGGACAAAGGTGCGGCGTCAACTAAACTAAGCGAAGACTCTTGTTCTGCAGTAGGGGTCGAAAGCTGCTCCATCTGGCTATGCGGCGGGATCTCGAGATCAGATACTGCAACCGGCATATCATCGACTGTCTCAGCTGGCGGGTCGATAGTACGGTCTTCGAGCGATGGTACTTGAGAAGCAACTTGAACAAGTTCAGCAGCCACCTCTAGCTCGGGCTGTGGTTCTGTAGGATTTGACAGCTCCTGAGGATCTTGAGTGACGGGTACCTGGAAATCGACAGATATTGTCGGCTCAACGGCTCTGCTCTCTGAAGCCGACTCAACATCATCTGGCTTTGATACAAGTACGTTTTCAAATGTCGTTGATTCAGGGACTAGCTCAGCAACCTCCTGGCTTTGTTGAGCAGGTACGGCTTCGGTGATTGGATCGTGTGGTGGTTCCGAAACAACGTCTTCGGCAGGTGTTGTAGTGTCAGTTTCCTTCTTCGCCTTCTTGATCTTCTTCTTGTCTTTCTTTGACGGCGATGGTACCGGAAGCTCCTCGGTGCGCAACTGTATGTCACCAGAAGTCTGCAAAGCAGGCTGCGATACCGCCGATGAGTCAGATACAACCTCTTGAGCTTCGGTAGGTGCTTCGCGTTTGATGTCGGCTAGCGGAAGCTGTAGTACCTCCTCCAGAAGCGTGGAAGTGGGTTCCTCTGGTACAGTCACCATCACATCAGCTGGCGTATTGCTAATTGAAGTGACAGATGGTTGAGTATCCTTGTGTTGATCAGAAACAGGCATCTCACGTGATACTTCAAGCTCAGTAACCGGTTCAGACGCCGTCTGCGTTGGTTCGAGCTGTACCGAAGGCGGTCCCTCCGGTTGTAAAGGCTGAACCTCAAAACTAGTCTCGGCAGGCGCAATCATGCTAGACGCTTGCTTGGCCCTCTTACTCTTCTTTTTACTCTTCTTAGGAGAAATAGGCTCATTGAATTGTGGCTCTCGTGTTTGCTCAGCTTCCGAAGCAGCAGTTACAGGCTGTTCGATGCCACCAACTACACGATCCGTGTCCTTGATTATAGATTCCGCGCTAGTTAGCTCGTTATCGAAACCAAGCACAGGTGTGGAAGTGTCGAGCTGTGCAAGCACGTCCTGGCGCTCTTCTACCGGGACTGGCGAAAGGCCAGACTCGTGGATATCGGCGACTGCCTGACCGTCATTGAAGGTAATTTCCTCATCAGCGGGCTTCGCATCAGCCTCCGGCTCGGGAGTGTTTACTACCGCCTTGTCTTCGACGAGTACGGAATCCTCCAGAGGTTGGACATCCTCAATGGTAGAAGCGATTGGCTCCTTGGGTTCTGGAGCTGCGATACTCTCGCTCAAGTTGTCCGTAATGTCTTGCTCAGGTTTGAGAAGTCCAGTCTGCTGTTCCGGTTCTTCGGCAGTGGATACGCGCTTAGCTTTCTTGTTCTTCTTTTTCTTCTTAGAAGGAGCGGCCACATCATTGGTCTCGTCAGGTAGACGCGATGGCTGTGCAGTCGATGTAGAACTAGCTTCTTCCACAATGTTCTCAGTCCCTTCTTGTGGATGAAGAACAGTCGGCTGGTCTGTCACAGAGTCCGATGGAGCGGAAACGTGTTGCTGTGGCAGCTCTAGGGCAGTAGGGACTTCTGGCGTGATTGCTGGCTCGACATCCACAGCTCGAGATGATTCTACAACTGTGGATATGTCCAGAATGGTTGGCTCCGGCGCAAGTTCTTCCACAGCGAGTGTTGGCTTCTCGATCTCCGACGCTGCAGCATCAACTTCGGCAGCTGCAGGCTCTTGCGAAGGAATCGGCGCAGCTTGCTGCTCGACAGCCATTGGTTCCAATCCAGCAACGCTCGGCTCTGTAGTCATGGTCTCTGGGACCTCTTCCTTCACGACCGCAGGCTTTTGCTTGCCAGCTTCAGCTCTAGCATCTTCCATCTGCTCCTCTTGTCTCTCACCTACCCCTTGATCTTGTACATCATCCACTACCCTTTTCGCCACCTCATATTTGAAATCCTCCTCTTTTTTCTCCTCCTCATGTCCACCCTCCTCCCTTGCATCCTCAATCTTCACATCATTATCATCAACAAGCTCATTATTCGTAAAAGGCTGGGGATAGGATGTCGGTATCCCCGAGAAAGGTAGTTGGGTCTCCGAAAGTGTAGGGATCGACAGAGACGGCTGAGTATCAGAGTTGGCTGCCTCAGGCGTCTCATCCGCTAAAAAAGGCACCGCCTTCTTAGCTTGCTTCTTCGCCTTCTTCTTATCCTTCTTGGAAGAAGGTGAAAGCGGATCTGGCTCTTTGTCTGGTGGCTTGGGGTCGCCTGGAGGTTGCTCTGGGGTAGCGACGATAGTGGCTTGTTCTTCAGCTGGCGTTGGGTCGGCTGTTGGCTCACTGGTCACAGTAGATGGTTCAAGCTGCTCTTCGACCTGCTTTGTCTCACCAGTGGATGCCTCACCTGGAACGGTGGACTGGCGGGACGCATCTGTCAGTTTGTGCTCGTCGGTGGGCTCTTGAGCTGCTTGACTATCGGCTAGTTGAGACTCAGAAGTAGGGTCGTTGAGTAAACCTTCAGCTGGCGTTGCAGACTCAGATTGTTCACTTCCAACAGCCGACGCGCGTTTGGCCTTCTTCATCTTCTTTCTTTGCGACTTCGATAGTCCAGCCCAGTCTTCTGGCTCTTGCTCATCGTCTTGCTTGGCATCTTTACGGAGAGCTCCGGTGCTAGGCATAGTTGGTACGTCTGATATAGCAGTCTCAGCCGCACGTGGGATGATGGATTGCGTGCCCTCTGTGAGAACGTTTCCATCATCGCTGGTGATCAGCCCCTCGCTTTCAGTTCCCTTCTCAGCAACGGCAGCTGGCGCAGCCGAGTCTATGACCTCTGTTTGCAGCGCCTCGGTGGTTGCAGTGTCAATTGTCTCTTCAGGCAGCTCCGCAGAAGGCAGCTCATCCAAAGGTGGGTTAGCTGTTTGGGTCGGCGCCTCAGTGGAAACAAGAGGTTTAGAAGATGTGGCCACGGCGGTGGAAGTTTGCTCAGCTGCTTTCTCCACTTTCTCCGTCTCTTTCTTTGACGACACAGTATCCTCTTCTTGTGTGGCCTTCGAGGGAATCTGTTCTGCGACAGGTACAGATGCTGCTACTTCTTCGGAGGGTGCGCGTACACCAACCGAGGCCTCTGTCTGCTCGACAACTGGTGCTTTAGGCTCTTGATCGACAACGGCATCATCGTTGACTTCTTCCGCAAGCTCTTTGACAGGCTCATCGATTGGAGTGGGAGGAACGGATGGCTCAGCTTCTGCGACTGAACCTTGCTTGTTCTTCTTCGCTTTCTTCTTCTTCTTCTCCTTCTTGGAAAGCTTTACCGGCTCATCAGTGATCGAAGATGTTGTGGGCTCTTCGGCAGGACCCTCGGTCGGGACAATTCTAGAAGGTAGCTCAGTTACTACTGCGTCAGATGACTTTCCTTCCACAACAGAAGTCGAAGGAACTCGCTTGTCTTCGGTCGGTACGCCGGAAGAGGTCTCGTCCTTGTTGGACCCCTCAACAATAGCAGATGTTGCATTAAGCTCGGCTGATGCGACTTCGGAAGGCTGTTGCTCGACGCTCGCAGCAACAGTATCAAGAGAGCGTTCTTGGGACTTCTCTACTGGCGTCTCGACTGAGATAGCATCAACAATAGATTCGCGCTCTGGCTTCTTCGCCTTCTTCTCGTCTTTCGTCGAAACAGGCCCTGCGGCCTCTGGCGCAGCTTCGACTTGAATAGGCACCTCAGAAATAGGCGAAAGTGTCGCAGCGGGCTCTTGGACAGATGCAGGCATCGTTGTCCGCTCTTCAGCAATATCGGGAAGGGTAATTGGCGTTTCTTCACTGACAGGGGTTTCAGAGATAAGTCCCTCAGTAGCTGGAGTCGTGGACTCGATCTGCTGTTCCAGCACCGGCTCATCCTTTTCCTCAACGGAAGTGGGCGGAATAGAAGTAGGCTCTTGGGTGGTTGAAACGCGCTTGGCCTTCTTAGCTTTCTTCTTGTCCTTCTTCGAGAGAGGCGCGGCAGCTTCTTCTGTGGCATCTACTATGTTGGGTTCCTCAGGCACGAGTGCATCGATAGTTGGCATCTGCTGACTTGGCTCGTCGGATGCTAGCGTTTCGTCTTTCTCTACGATAGTTGCTTCAGAAACGGGTGGAGCTGTGGCATCGGAAACGGTATCACGTTCGACAAACACATTCGAGGCGGGCGTAATGTCGAGATTGGGCTCTTTGCTTGAGGTAGTTGCTCTTGCAGATTCTGCAACTTCGACAAAAGTCGATGGTGCTTCTGCAGTAGTTTCGGGTAACGACGCCGATGGCTCAGGGTGCAGGATCGGGTCTTCAGCGACAGAAGCACGTTTGTCCTTTTTAGCCTTCTTCTTGCTCTTCTTGGAAGCTGTCTCCTCCGCTTGCTTCTGCTCAGCTGTGGATGCGACAACATCAGACTGTGTAACCATGGCGTCTTCTTGGTCTCTGGGCACAGGTGTGGGATCGTCCGGGGTACTGGCGATGACATGTTCAGCCGGCGACGCGGATGGAGGTACATCGTCTTGAATGTTACTATCCACTGGCGTCAATATCGGAGATGCAGTCTCGGGAACGGTCTGTGTCTCAACGACAGATTCTTCTGTAGATTTTCGATGAGCATTGGACGCGACTGGCTCTTCGATAGTTGGTTCTACGAAAGCTCGCATCTTAGCCTCGGCAGGCGTAGAAGATTTCTTGGGCGCCTCACTCTTGACTCCGGCCTTTTTAGCTTCCTGGCCTTTCTTGTCTTCGTTCGAGAGCGGTGCAGCCTCAACGCCTTGCTCCGGGATGGGCTCGTCGCGCATTTGTCCAACAACAATCGGTTGGGCGTCTTCCTGGAACTGGGTGGGTATCGTGGAAGTGATGACATCCTGCTCGGCAGTAGAAGCCTCAATATGCTCTGGCAGAAGTTCAGTGGCACTAGGCTCACGAACAACGTTTTGAGTGGTTGGTTCCTCAGTTGCTGCGATAGTGGTCTCGGAAGTGATTGGCACAGACTCGGCAACAAGAGTCTCAGGCTCGGAAGCCGATGCTCCCTTTCTGGCCTTCTTCTTTTTCTTGTTCTTCTTGGGCGTGCTAGGAGCATCTTCGTCTTGCACCGTTTCTTCGGCACGCGGAGCGTCGGCGACTGCTTTGTTAGGTGGTGCAACGTCATCAAGTGGTACGGCAGATGAAACGGGTTGTGTAAACTGGTCAGCTACCAGAGCACGATCCGTCTCAGCGATTGGGCCAGCGGGAGTGTCTAGTACAGGCTGCTCACCCGTAAAGCTGGATCGGAGAGGTGTCACCGGAGTAGCGACATCAGCAACGAAGCCAGTTGGCTTATCAGAAGACACATCGCCAGGCTCGGGTTTGAGCGCTGAGATGTCGGTGTGGTGCTGATCAATAGGATCTTGCGTAACAGGACTAGATGTAACATCAGGCTTGACAGCTGTAGCAGTATCGTCGGTGATAGGCTCGTGTCTAAGTGTCGCTGAGTCCTGTTGGAGCTCGACATCCTGGGTGGCATCCTCATTTGCTTGCACCTCCTTCGACGAAATCGATGGGATTTCCCTGGAGCTCTCCTGCGGCAGCGGCACATCATCCTCGGTGCGTTTGGCATCTTGGGAAGGCTCGGAAGGGATATCGAATTGTGGTGCTGGGTCCTCATCAACCAGTGTGCTAGGCTCAGCGGTATCAATGGATTTGCCCTTTTTACCCTTCTTCTTGCTCTTCTTAGAGATTGGCTCGGCTTCTAGAGCAGGCTGCGTGGGCGACGTAGGGACGATATGATCTCGAGTGATCTCCTGCTGTGTGCCAGCAGCGTTATCAGAGATGTCCGCAAAAGTTTCATGGACGACTGGGACATCCTCAGGAACCTCAACTTCGGGGACTACCGGCTCTTCCAGATCTTTGTCATCGGTGTCGGGAAGAGCTACAAGCTCAGCAAATGACGCAGCTTGCTCTGACTTAGCGGGCTCAGCCTGTGCTGAAGGAACGGATTCAGCTATGGGTTGCTCAGGTTGGGCGGAGTTCGTGAATGGGTCAGGCTGAGAAGTAGCTACTTCAGCAACAGGCGTACTTGGCTCGGTTTCGGTCGGTTTTCCCTTCTTAGCCTTCTTGTTCTTGCTCTTTTTAGATGGCGTAGCAAGCTGATCATCTGCGATGGGCTCGTCGATCTCTCTGGCAGGCGTTTCTGAAAGAGGCACTGTCTCTGGTTCAATAGCCAGTGTCTCTTGTGATGGCTCGCGTGGGGGATCCTCGGCAGGGAGTGAAGGCTGAGAAACTTCCGTGACTGACTCTACAGGTAGCTCGGGAGAAACATCGAGTGCTCGGTCACTCTGTGTCACTTGGGACTCGACCTGGGGCTGTTCAAGTGGCTTAGGAGACGTAGCCGGAATGTGATCTGCGATTGGTCCGGATCCAGCGGCTTCGATAGAAGGCTCAGTCTCCGCTTTCACACCGGCTATGTCGGCAGATGTGGGTTCGATCTCGACTGGTTTACTCTTTTTGGCTTTCTTCTTCTTGGACTTTTTCGGTGGCGTTGTAGGCTCTTCTTCCAGTAGCGTAGCAGATTGTAAATGCTCTTCGACTGGAGCCACTTGCGAGATAGTTGAATCATCAAAGGTGGACTGCGTTTCGGTGACTCCTGGAGTTGACTCAAAACCGACCATAGGTTCAGGGAGAGCATCGTCCAATGCTCCGCGAGTGGATCTTGTTTCCTGTTGCGGTTCATGTATCGCTTCAGGAAGGTCTTGACTTCCAGCGACTTCTGCCTGAAGCCCCAACTCGCGCTGAGCAACAATGGGTGGAACGCTTGATACATCCTCATCGGCCTGATCCTTCTTGCTATCCTTCGAGGATGTTTTGACTTCTTCATCTATGACCGTTACAGGCTGTGGCGATTCCGATTGCTCCGGAATGACGGGGATTGCGCTCTCAGTGGAAGGCTGTAGGGTCTCCGAGTTGAACTCCTCTTGCACAGGGATCACGTCGTTAACGATAGGCTCCGACTTTGCCGCCTGTTGTACAGACTGTTCCATCGCAGGTTGGGAAGCGGCGACAACAGGGCGAGCTTGAACATCCTCTAACTCTGGTTGTTCCTCGAGGATCGGTGTACTGGGCTCCTCAACCGAAATCTTTGCCTTCTTGCCCTTCTTTTTTTTCTTGTCTTTCTTAGAAGAAGGTACATCCACAACGTCATCAAACACTAGATCTGCGACCTGGCTTGGTTTAGCTGCCGATGAATTATCTGGCCCAAGATGCGTTGGCTGGATCTTTTGGGGAATATCGTTGGTGTGCTCCGCGGGTCCCTCTTTGGGTGCCTGATCAATGATAACGTCGAGCTGTGGCTGCTCTTCGAGAACAACCGGTCCGGCCTTCTCGGCATCCGAATCCTTCGCATCAACATCCTGAATCCCATCTTTGAGCTCTACTGGCGCTTGTACAGCGATAGTGGCCTCGTCTTGGTCGATCTCTCTATTCGTGTTCTCTTGCTCCACGCTTGGCTCGACACTAGCACTTTCCTCTTGCGTAAAGACCTCCTCCACGGAGGGTTTGACATCTTTGGTCTTCTTGCCCTTCTTCTTCTTGTCTCTCTTCGAAGTGGGGGTTGATGGGGTATCCTCCGTCTTCGATTCGATGGGAGTAAAGGCCTCAGCTGTAATTGTTGGCTGTTCTGATGGCGTAGACAAATCCTCGTCGAAAGCAGCAGTCGGAAGAGGTACAGTGGCAGGATTAGTTACATCGTCAAGCTTCTGCTGGGGAAGAGAAACCTCTACAGCATCAACCTGTTCGATCGATGGAGGTCGCTCAATATCGCGGGTCTGATCAAGAAGTTGTTCTGTAACAGCTACCGGCTCACTGGCCGGTGTAGACGTTTGAAGGGGAGCTGTAACCTGCTCAGGCGCAACTTCGATCTCAGGCAGGGGCGTCGCGATACCACTTTTCCGCTTGCTCTTCTTGCTCTTCTTAGTTTTAGGCGTAGTAGGGAGCTCAGCTTCTATAGGCGCCGACGAATATTCGAGTTCCGGCTTAGTCTCCTCAATAACGTCTACAGAGGTGTCCTTCTCGGAAGGGTGCATGAGATCTTTGTCGGATTGTTCGTCAGGCAAAGGTATGTTGGCAGCCTCAACTGTGGTAGACTGGTGTATGTCCTGGGCGGCAGTCGGCTGGTCAGATAACTTCTCGCTTGCTTCGACAAATTCAGAGACAGTATTGAGTGAGGGTTCCTGCGCGGGAATACCACTCTTCTCACTCATCTTCGTATTGGGTGTATCGTCCTGGACAGAGGGTACGAACTCGGCTGGTGCTTCTTGTTTTGTCACAGCCGCCAAGCCCAGGGGAAGAGAGGATTCTTCATGTGCAACCTCCTCCATGGTTGGTGTGACTTCGGATGCGAGCTTCAAACCCTCGCTCTCTGATGGCGCAGTCCTTTCTTGCACGGTCTCCGCGGTCGAGCGCTCGTTGATGGAGATATCCTCGGTTGTAGTCGTCAATGCACTTGTGAGTGTCGCGCTGACTTGTCGACTCGGCTCCTTCTCGCTGCGCAGTGCCGGATTCCATGATGCATCAAACGAACGCTCAGCAGAAGGTACAACAGGCCCCGTGGCAGCCGATGTCTCAGCTTCAGTGATTGCGGGCTCAGCAGTCTTGCTCTTCTTGTTCTTCTTAGCCTTCTTCTTACCAGCAGATGGAGTGACCTCATCAACGGCTGGAATGGACGATTCTGCAGCCACTGGCTCCTTTACCTCAACGGCTGGTTCAACAGAAACGACGGCAGACGGCTCTTCGCTAAGAGGCGTAGCTTCAGGTGCTACCTGTTCACCTCGAGGCTCGACCGCACTTCCCATAGAAGTCTCCTCACCTCTTTCGGCTTCGAGCTGGCGCTCGATAGGCCCAGTCGCTGGTCGCTCGTCTAAGACTTCCGACACAATACCAACAGGAGCATCATTGGTCGTATTGATAGTGTTTACAGGCTCGTCCAGATCAGGAACCTGTACGCTACTCTTCGTCGTCTTTTTCTTCGGCTTGATGATCTTCTTCTTTGACGAGCTAGGTTCAAGCGAGATCCGATCATAGGTAGAACCACCAGACTCAGTCGGGACTGAGTCAGAGATCTTGCTGGTAAATTGCCCATCATCAGCGAACAAAGCATTTCGAGCAAGAGATAAAGGCTCTGCAGTCTTCTCTTCGACGACTGTGCCTTTGTTGACCGACACCGAGGACGCTGTGGGTGTAGAGACAGTTCCAAAGGCGAATGGTGGCTTTCCGTCATCGGTGAAGAAGGAACTCCGGGGTACAACGAACGCAGATGATTCTTGTTCCGTTTCGATCTTCGTGTCGGTGGAATTCGAGGCGGCCTGCTCAGCGGGTATAGAGATTGATGGGAACGCAAACGATGGCCTCCCATCATCAGTAAAGAACGTACTCCGAGGCGCAACGAAGGTGGATGGCGTTTGTTCCCGCGGAACCTCTGTTTCCTTCCCAATCGATGTAGCTTGCTCGGCAGTAGCAGATGGTATCGAAGGGTACGAGGACGAAGGCTTTCCATCATCACTGAAGAACGTGCTAAGCGGTGAGGCACCCACAGAAGCTGTGATCTGTTCTGTGATGGGGATTTCGTTAGCTGTGGAGCTGGGTTCGATGGCAGGAGAAGACGACATCGTCGGGAAGGTGAATGATGGTTTCCCATCGTCGGTAAAGAATGTGCTGCGCGGGGAGACGTAAGCAGGGCTCTTTGCCTCCTTCGCAGCAGGCAATTCTTCAGACTCTGTTGTCGTCGACGTAGCTGCAGGTATGAAAGGTACAGGTGGGAATGTAAAAGATGGCTTTCCATCGTCTGTGAAGAAGGCAGTAGACGGTGTGGCTTCTTCAGGTTGCGACGCAGTTTTCTCTTCGACAGCAGGAATGTCCTTGGGAGTATCGAAAGTCTGCTTCTGAGGTGTCGCTGGCATCTTAGGGAATGCGAAAGAAGGTTTACCGTTGTCAGTGAAGAACGCAGTGTGGGGTGTGACAGTGGAGCCTGCTTCGTCTTGAACAAGATCGCGGGTTGCCTCGGCTGGGCGCTGATCAGGTATGGCGGCTCTTTTGACTTCAGTCTCGAGCTGTAACTGCGGCTTTGCTGGTTCGTCTTGTGTACTCTTTCGGGAAAGAGTAGGCCTGATCCCGACTGTGGCAATCTTCTTGTCAGGGACAATCGGCGGAGATGGCAATCCTTTGCGTTTAGCCTCTTCTCTAGCAGCAGCCAGCGCAGCCAGGACGGCAGACTGGGGTTTAGGTGAGGATGGAGGCGAGGATGTTGGTGATGGCGCCTTTTTCTTGCCCCATCCGAGAGCACCCCACAGGCCGGAACCCCAGCCTGATCCTCCCGATTGTCCTTCGATGGTGGAGGCTCGACGTTGTTCCTCGACGTTGGCCTTGTTCTTAGCTTGTTCAGGACCGTCGGATGTGCTAGGACGAGCTTGAAGCTCGGGTGTAGCAGGCCCAGCTGCAACCTGCATCTCAGGCTCTTTAGGGTTCGTAGAAGCGACAGGTGCAGGTACAATCTCCTTTGACCCTGCTTCATCAGCCGAGGCGGCTGGCACGTCTTCTTGAACCAAAAAGTCCATGACATCGACCTTGTCATTCGTCTCAGTGCGTTCAAAAGATGGCTCAAGAATATCGCGCTTAATGGTCTCCTGTTGTGGCTCTGACGAAGGCAAGATCTGGTCATCTTGAGGTGCGATTTCGGGTAAAGACGATGGTTCGGGCTCAGCTTGTTTACTACCGCGTTTTCCCTTCTTGTTCTTCTTTCCCTTCTTGGCCTTTGGTGGAGGCGTAACCTCCTCATCGATAGTTGGCTCGGTAGCTGATTCGGTAGGTGGCTCAACGACTGGTTCAGTAACAGGTTCATTAATAGACTTAGTGCCAGGCTCGGTGATGGACCTAGCGGTTGACCCATCGGCGGACGTAGAAGAACTAGGTTCTGCAGGCGCATCCTGTGAAGATATTGATGTCGCTGGGGCGAAATCGGTTGATATTCCAAGCCCTGTCTCTGCCTTTTCAGCTTTTTCGATTGACCTCGCGGCTTCTTGAGGAACGTCATCAAAAGTAGCGCGCCTGACTTCAGTAGACTCGTCTTTCCGCGGTGCAGTACTATCCAGAACTTTCTGTCGAAAGTCCTTGGCATCTGCAGGTGTAGCTACAGGCTCACCAACAAGCGTAGCATCATCTGTGACGATAGACTCGGACCTGTTCTTGATCCAATCATTCTCGTCCTCGACGAACGTCGGAGCGAAGCTGAAAGAGGGCGAAGGCTCTACCATTTCTTCAGTCGGTGCAGGTATTGGAGACTCAGCTGCGGCAGCCTTCTTACTCTTCTTGCCCTTCTTACCTTTACCCTTACCCTTTTCCTTTGGTGATGGCTCGACGACGTTTTCCGCGGTCTCAATTTCAGGCTGCTTTGACTTTCCGACTGATGAAACCTCGTCTTTGAAATCACCGCGCTCAGACCTAGTCGGCGAAGGGGAACGCTTTCGCATCGCAGTTGCTGTCAATCCTCCCACTACAGCACCAAGAGCAGCATCCTGGAGTCTTGTCGAGCTACTTGATGGCGCAGAAACAGCATCACGAGGTGTAGGCACGTCACGCATCATCCTATCGTCAAGCGGGGCACTTGTATCGAGAGGCGTCTCTGGCTGTGGAGATGTCAAGGTTGACATGAAAGCATCATCGGTAGACTCATTCTGTTCTTGTGCTCTTGCGTGTTCCAACGCCGCAGTAAGTGATTCGTAGTTTGGACCACTGGATGTTGACGACGTTTCCTGCGCACCTGTAAAATAGTCTGAAGCTTTCGGTGTAGCTTGCCCGGATTCCTCGATCTCTTCAGCCTCACGGTGTGCAACCTCAGGCTGTTGAGGTTCCGCTCCATAGCGAGGCGAAATGAGGTCGGATACGGCACTTAGAGGATCATAAGATGGATCATTGGACGATTGCCCAACGCTCTCGTACGGCGATTCTAGAGCGGACTCGAACTCTTCCTCTGAGTCTGCGCCGGAGACAACTGAAGATGCACTACTGGGTGGGAGCGCTGGAAGTACCTCGTCGATCTCATCGGTTTTGCGGTTGCGCTCCACCAGATACAGCGGTCGAAACTCGCGAGAGTTTCTGAACTCTGTAGAGTGGGTCTTGCCATGGCGAGAACGAGTTGGTGAGGCAATAGAGACAGGACTAGTTGCTAAGCTTGGATCAGTGGTAGACGGGACAACGGGCTTGCGAAAGCGTATAGGAACTGCAGTTGAGGATAGCCGGCGTTGAGACGTTGCAGTAGTAGGACGCGAGACATCTGGTGATCGGGTTGGCGAACCTGGCCTAGACAGCGGCAGGGGAGGAAGCTCGTCTGGGAAAGCTTCCAATTGCCAAGGTTGAAGACCTGTAAGACGGGTTAGTAACGCGCGGCTGTCCTCGAACGACAGCTCGGGTGGTGTTCTGGGTCGGTCGGTGTCTTCAGAGGCGGTGAGGCGTTGGGCATCGTCTGATGTTGAAAGAGGAAATTCGGGCCGATCTCCAGGGATTATGCCACTACCCTCGTGGGCCTGATCGACAGGCTCACCTCCGGGCAGTGGACTTGGAGTGGCCGTGGCCACTGCCCGATCGCCTAAAAAAGACGGTTGTTCTGGTTGTTGTTCATCGGCATGCGAGGGCGGGGTTCGAGGGTGTAAAGTATCCTATATACACAACATCAACATTCATTCTAAATACATTGCGAACCACCGCGCTATCGCACATGTGAAGAACGATGTACCTTATCGTCATAAGCATCCCTCCTGTCTCTATCTCCTTTCTCACTGCGACTGCGACTGCTCCTCTTCTCGCGTCGACTACTGCTTGAGATCGTGGAGCGCATGTCATCATCGTCTGAGCCGCCGTAAGTGGAACCGCGATCCGACCGATGCTTCCGTCTACGATGTTTGCGTTCTTCGTCGTCGTCGTCCTTTGACTTCGAGGACTTGCTCGAAGCTTCGGCCAGGTTCTCCCTCGACTTGCTGCTGAACAGGCCTAGCAAGCCACTTGGACGTTTCTCCTTCTCTCTTCTTGAACTACGATCCTCGTCTAGGTCTGGGATAGAAGATACGACAGAAACCATGTCGTCGTCTCGCCTAGAGCGTCTTCGTGAAGATTTGTGGTCATCGTCGTAGTCGCCGTATTCGGAAGCTGCTGACGAGCGCGACCTTCTCTTGCTCTCGGGTGATATGTCCTTCTCGCTTTCCCTCCTCTTGTGCTTACGTCGTCGTTCGCCAGGAACTTCGGAACGAGTGTCGGAGACGGCAGACTTCGTGTCCCAGTCATCATCACCATCTTCAGTCTCATGGCGTCGGTGACGTCGCCTTCGTTCACCGCCCTCCTCAAGATCGTAACCGCGATCATGGCTCTTCTCACGAGTCTCAGACTTGGCTTCCCGACGTCTACGGCGTCTCTCTTCACGATCTGGATCCTCGTACTTGTAACTCAGAGAAGCGATTGAACCGATGTCATCGTCATCATATCTACGTGACCTGTCGTCGAAATCATCTTCGTATCTGTCATCGTTGTCCTGATCACGTTCGTCTCGAGCATAGTTGTCCTTCCCTTTGCCGTTGGAGCCTGTGGGAAAGAATCCATCGGATTCCTTATCATTGCTTTCCCTTCGTGGCGTGTCGTCGGGAGCATAGTAGCCAGAGTCGTTTACGTTATGAGTGGTGGGTGGATCAGGTGCCGTGGTGAAAGGTGACGTAGTGGGAACCTTTGGAGCCTCGACCATAGTCTGATATCTTGAAGGATCAGGAATAGTACGAGCGCCAATATAGTCGTCATACTTCGTCTCAGTCCTGAGAGGAGAACTAATGCTTGGTGACCATTTGCCGCTGCTATGTCTTTTCTGAACCTTCGGTCTCGGTGTTTTGTCGGCTAACTCGTCGATACCTTCGAATGCGTAGCTTGGAATCGTTACATTCTTCTCGTGTTCTTCGAGTGCGCGTGCACCGTTTGTCGGAGACACAGGGGAGTTGCGAGAATCGTTCTTCTCTGTAGACTCCAAATTCTTCCTGGCACGCTCAAGGTCTGAGGCCATCCTGTTCTGATCCTGGTTCATAGTCATACCCATCAGAGCAGCGAAACCACCGGCCATTGCGGCAGTAGCAGATTTACTGCCGCTGGTCTCCTCCTGACGAGAGCTTTTCTTGGGAGAAGTGCTGGGTGATTCCTGAAATGCTTCTCCTAGCCGTGGTGGTTCAGCGGATCGAGATGGCTCGTTGTAGCGAGATGATTCAAGGGCACGCGAGGCTTCAGCACGTCGAGTAGGCTCGATATCTCTGGGATCCCGCGATGGCTCAATGTCCCTAGGGTCCCGCGATGGCTCGATGTCTCTGGGGTCTCTGGAGGGTTCGATGTCCCTGGGATCACGCTCGATAATCGGGCTTGATGGTGGACTGGGTTCGCTCATCTCCCATGTGTCTACACTAGCTCGCTTCGATGACTTCTTGGACTTCTTCTTCTTGTCCTTCTTGCTTGTCTTGGTCTCTGGCTCGGCTTCCTTCTCTTTGACTGGTGCGGAAGTCACGGTGGGTGTTGCGTCCCCACGTCGAGAGACATTCTGCATAGCTACACTTTCATTAGTATCCTTGGACTTGTCCTTACCCTTTACGTCCGTCTTCGTCGAGTATGCTGAGGGCCCCTCTGCTGGTACTTCAGACTCGGGCATGTCATCCCAACCACCAGGCATGTGCATGATCGCTGGTGGTGTGGAAACCTCTCCTTCAACAAAACCGGGTCCAATTGGATCCTGCTGGGGAGCTCTCCATGCGTTGTGCTCTGGTTCAGGCTGCCAGTATGCTGTCTGCACACTGCTCGTAGATGGTGCAGCAGAGATGATCGATGGAGAGATGGTGGAAGACGGTGCCGCCGAGATAGTTGATGGAGACATAGTGGAAGGCCACGATGGCGCTGCTGAGATGTTCGACGGAGTGATAGTGGAAGGCCACGACGGTGCTGCCGAAATGGTTGATGCCGAAGTGGTTGATGCAGCAATGGTGGAAGGCGCCATATTCGCATCGGAAAACGGGTTGCTTAAGCTGGACGCGGTGGGTCTGAAGTCACGCAAGTCGCGTTCATCATTTTCTTCTCTAGAAAGAACCGCTGCAGTGGTGAGAGCTGCTGCCGCAGCGGCGGCCGCGGACTTCTTTTCCTTGGTCTTGCTCTTCTTGGAAGCAGCATCCACGACACTGTCCCACGTGGAGTCATCCTTGTCACGAATATACTGTGTACTAGGTGCGGTCTCCTTGCTCTCTGGCACTGTTGACATCTCTGGGCGATAGGGTGTATAAGTAGACGTAGTTTGATGAGACTTGGACGTCTCCCGCTCAACTGTGGTCTCGTCGGCAGGTTGCTTCGATTCACGCGACTTGAGGTCGCCGTCAGAGACGAACTGTTCGCGGTAGGACTCTGGAGTCGGGACATCAAAGTGGTGGAATTGGTTCTCGCCCCAACTCACTCTAGATCTTGCTCGATTTGACTCGTCGTCCCTTGGCTCGCGCCTGGTTTCCCTGATAGGCTCCACTGCTGGCGATGGACTACGCACGGAGGGTGCGCGACTACCGGGGGGTGTAGGCAAAATGAGGTTCAGCGAAGGTACAGGCGGCGGTTGTGGTTGAGAAGGTCGACCATTCCTGGTGGCCGTGAACGAATACGATGGAGGATATGGTGGAATCTTGGGCTGGCTGATCGGGTAGTCTTCATATGACTGGTACACAGGAAGGTCAGGAGCACCCTCGTTCGGGTCTACGGGATGAACCTTTGGTAGGTTGTCGTTGGTCAGAAGCTCTTTCGGCGCGAAGAAGTCAGCTTGAGAGACTGGCTCGGCAGAGTACCTGTCCTCCCAGTCTTGTAAGACGTCGCGAGCTTGTTGGCGAGAGTTATCCTGCTTGAAGATGTTGGGGTCGAAGATCTCATCGTCGAACATGTCCTGCTCGATTTTGCTAGGTTCAACCGTCTTGACGCTGGTTGACTCCCGCTTCTTGCTGCTCTTCGAAGACGACGACTTCGATGAGGAAGACTCCCGCTTGCGCTCGCGCTTCTTCTCACGCTCCCGTTCTTTCTCTTGCTCTCTCTCTTTCTCTTTGTCCCTGTAGGACGAGATCGCCGCAGTCGCGATTGCTGCGGCAGCGCCAGCGGCTACAGCGCCAGCAACAGAAGACTTCTTGTCGGACTTGGATGCTTGACGTTCACGGTCTTGCAGCTCCTGCTCCTTTCGCTGGGCACTAGTGGTAGGTAAAGCAATGGAGCCTCCCAGAGGTTGTTGTACAAGCTTCTGCGCTCGGTTGCTCGGATAGCGATCGATATAGTCCCCTTCGCGTTCTCGGAGACGTCGCTCTATTTCTTCTTGCTCAGCTTCGCGTCGAGCAGCCTCAGCTCGAGCAGCTTCTTCTTGCTCGGCTTCAAGTCGCTCTCTTCGTCTTCGCTCAGCTTCGGCTGCCTCGCTTGCAAGCTGGCGCTGGTGCTCCAGTTGGGCTATCCGTTGCTGACGCTCCCGGTCTTCTGCTTCTCGAGCCTGGCGTGCCTGAGCCTCTTGTTGTTCACGACGACGTTCGTTCTCAAGCCTAGCCAAGCGTTCGATATCCATGAACTTCCGGGCCTCGTCCTGCTGCCGTTGCAACTCTTGGCGACGCCGTTCGTCTTCCTCACGGCGGCGCTCTTCTTCTTGACGTGCTGTTTCCTCCAAGCGAAGCAGTGTCTGCCGACGGTCTTCCTCGATTCTACGAGCCTCATCCTCTCGCAGTTGCTGTTCTCTTCGAACGCGATCTTCTTCTTCCCGTCGCGCGATTGCTTCTCGTCGCGCCTCCTCATCGCGTAGCTGTTGCTCTCGACGAATACGGTCTTCTTCTTCCCGTCGCGCCTCATCGTCTATTCTTTGTTGTTCTCGACGACGATTGGCTTCTTCGTCTAAGCGGTCTTGCTCCTTACGTCGTTCACGCTGCTCTTTGTCTACTTGCTCTTGCGTTAGGTTGAAGCGGACATTGCTATTCGCGGATGGTGGGCGACTAGGAGGGCGATCAGGGTGTTTCAGTGCGGACACTACGGCAGCCCCAGCAGTCGCTGCAAGTCCTGCCATAGCCGCATCCCGCTTCCACGATGAGCTCTGAATGGGCGAAGAGTTCGCTCGACGGAATTGAGGATGCTGAGGGCTTTGAACAATGATGTTTTGAACTTGAGATTGCATGGGGTACGGAGGTGGGTATGGTGCTTGTGAGAAGACTGGTGGGCCTGCAGGGGCAGTGTAGCCAGATTGTGGTGGCGCTTGTGTTGAATAAATCGATCCAGGGACTTGTTGCACCGGCTGAGGGTGCTGGATGGGGACAGGACCAGGGCCTGGGGTGACTGGAGGTTGATTGGTGACGATAGAGCTTGTGCGGCGTGCATCGAACGACGCATTGGGGTCAAGAGGTGCAACGGGGTAAACCGATTGCAGTGTTTGCGCGCTACTAGACTCACTGTCGTGGTGTCCATGAGTAGCTGCAACAGCTGCGCCAGTCAAAGCACCTGCGGCACCAGCTGCGGTAGGTCCAATAAGGGATGTACTGGCGATGTTGTCGTAGAGATTATTGGACGACCTCCTCTTCTTCTTGCCGAAACCCCAACGCCAGCCCCATTTGTTGGTCCCTGAATCATTGGATCCGATGGAGTCGTTGCTCTTGGTCTTCTTCAGGGCGTAATCACCGTAAACGAGACCGCCGTCACTTGAGGAATCTGAAGTACCATCATCCGGCAAATCCTCCCACTCGTCGTCTCCGTAACGGGAGCCAGGTCGTGGGGTTTGGCTTGTCTTGCGACCGAGTCGGTTTTCCTTTACAGCAACAACCTCATTATGGCGTTTACCTTTGCCAGCCTTCGCTGCGGTAATAGCAGCGGCGGTGGCGCCAAGACCGATAAGAGAGGCTTTCAGTCGCTCATCCGAGTTCCGTCTCTTAGGTGATGACCGTCCTGATGTTCGTCCTGATGATCGTCGGCGCGTCCTCTTCACATAGCCGGTGCCGAACGCCATCTCAGAGTCGGATGAGGACGACGAGTTGTTGCTGAAATTGAAAAAGCCCTTCTTTTTCTTCTTGAGACTCGTGGTGTTGACTCGCTTCTCTTTTGGAGGGGGTGCAGCGAAGAAACCATTGAAGAAACCACCCTGGGATTCGTGAGTGTCGCCAATCTCGATGACAGAGGCGCCAGATGTTGAGCTTCGAGAAGCTTTCCGTCGAAGTTGATGAGATCTCCTCCTACGGCGCTCATCATCGCTGCTATCTCTCCGAGGGTGTATAACCTGTACCCTCTTAGGCGACCTGGATCGGCTAGATTGCTTCTTCCTTGTAGCCGCTCCAAGGGCGGCGCCTGCAAGACCGGCGCCGATAGCAGTGCCGATCAAGCCAGTCTTGCCACGTCCAGAGTTGTTACTTGAACTGGAGCTCGATCGGGAATGACGGCGAATCTTATAATCCTTACGGTCCTTCTTGTCGTTCGTGACGCCCACTGACATGATGGACATGCGATCAGCAGAATTGCTCCGATGACGGATGCCAGAGCTGCCATAGCTGTAACTCTTGCGATCCCTCGATCGGCTGCGACTGCGGCGTGAGAGTCTTGAGCGTCCAGACTTGATGCTATAGGTATCATCAAAGTCGTCGCGGCCGGCAGTCAAAACAGCCTTTCCAGCCTTGGCCAAGCCAATCCCGCCTAGGCCTGCAGCTACCCAGCCTGCGGCACTGCTTTTGGTCTTTCGGCGCTCCTCGCCCGAAGAGATAGAGCCGTAAGACTTCTTCTCCTTGAGCGAGTAACGGGATTGTTTCTCGATGCCACCAGATGGCCGCATGAACTCACTGGATCGTTTTCTATAATAGTGGTGCTTGCGTGGAGCGTCCAAGACGGATGAGCGAGGATCAAAGCAGCCTTTGCAGACTCCAATGTACTCGGTGTATTCCTCCATCTTCTGCACGTCTTCGTAATCCTTCCACCAGTCGACAAACTTGGAAACGGGCCCAGTGTGCTGATGCTGTTGAGCCATGCCGCCAGAGCTGTACGAACTATGTGGAGCACCATTGTGCTGATGCCCATTGGGTCCGTGTGTCGAGGTGTAGTGGTGAGAGGTGCTGTGCGAGTGTGTGTTGGTATGGGTGTGGTTGTGGTTGTGAGAATGTGAATGTGAATTATGTTGATTCAAGCCATAAGCCGCCAATCCTGCAGCGCCAGCAGCGTACAACCCAGCGATACTGCCAGACGAGTGCTTCTCTGGTTTGGCCGGCCGAGGTGGCTTTGGGGGAGGCGCGCCTTCCGCACCGTAGGCGGCGGCTGCAGCATAGGGTGGGAGGTAGCTGCTGTCGTTGGCAGCGGTATTAGAAGTATTAGGAGCCGAGCCGTACATGTTGTACGTGGACGCGGAAGCCGGGGCAGGCGGGGTGGTATTATTAGTGTAAGAAGAGTAGGATGTAGAAGGACGAACATTCGCTGAGCTGTAGCTCGTAGAGTGTTCATGATTAGACGAGCTGTGGCCCATGGCGTATCCAAGGGCAGCTCCGCCAGCCACAGTAGCAGCTGGACCGAACGTGCTTGGCTTGTCGGGCCTCGACGAAGATGCAGGCCGTGGTGGCTTCGCAGGCGTTGGGGCGTCGTCGACGAAGGCACCGGGCATAGATGAGCTCGATGGCCTTGGGGGTTTGGGCGAAGGGACACTCGTGCTGGGCCCGTAGAAGTCTGCGGCAGCGCCTGATCCGGTGTCGGCAACCGGGTTGGGCTGCGCAGAGGCAGACATGAGATGGGGGGTATCCTGTCCTATTATGACCGAAGGCGGCTGAGGCCTCACGCCTGGCTGCTGGTGCACAGACTGGCCCTGGTCGTTGTAGAACTCGGCAGCCGCTCCAAAGGGATGGCCGCCAGGCAGCGCACTCGAGGTGTACTGCGCCGGGTTCTGTCCAGGGAACTGGCTTTGCACGTGATTGTCCATGTCTTCGGGGTGCGGTGGTGGGTGGTGGCTTCCCACTGGCAGAGCGCCCGACATCATGGGCGCTCCTGTCTGTCCTGGGAACTGCGAGAAGCCGTCGCTGCCAATCTGGCCGCTGAAGCTGCGCTGTGCTTGCTTGGGGCTGTCGACAATGTCGCCCCTGTAGCCAGCGCCACTTTGCGACAAACTTCCCGATCGCACTGAACGCGTCGAACGGCGCTTCTCAAGCTTCTTTTCCTTACCCTTCTTCCGGTCCTTGTCGTCGCGCAGTGTGGAGCTGGTCGACTCGGCATAGCTGCTGCGGCGATCGTCGCGACGCTTGTCGTCGTCGTAGGGATCGCTGTTGGGGTTGTTTGTTGTGGCCCGTGAGCGCGGCATCTCGTCGAAGGCAGTCGTGAAGGAGGCAATCGACGATGATGACGGCGCAGTGTCGCGTCTGGAGCTCGGAGGTTTGCGGGCTGTTGACGACGACACGACTGAGCGGGCGTCTGGGTCTCGGTCGCGCTTGGAACGCGTGGAGTCGCTAGTACGGCGGCGGCGACTTTCTTCTTCCTTATTGCTGTTGGAGGCAGCAGAGCTACCAGTCAATCTGCTCCACATGATGCTGGGAGGATGCTGCGTGTTACGCGGGGCGCGCGGGTGCGTTGTTATTACAAAGTAGTGCTGGCAATGGGTCGGGCGCAAATGAGATGAATCTCTTGGTGGGATATGCTGGGTATATCGCTGTAGACAGTCGCAAGTGATAGAGAATCGTTCAAATCGTCATGTCGTGATGATATAGTACAGGTTTCCGATGCAGAATGGCTAGGAAAGTATGCGCGCAATGCCCAAGGACAACCGAAGCAGCCTCTCACGGTACTAATCGCAAAGATTGGTGTGGTGCAACAGCAGCTGAAGTGCTCGGCCTGGGTCGTAAGCCCCAGCAGCCGAGTGAGTTGGCGGCAAGGGTTAGCTCGATCCACACGGGATGGAGGCGAGGCTGGGCCAATAGCTGCCCGATGGCAAACGCTTCTTCTGCGGATCTTTACCGGGGCTTCTTCCGGGGCTGTTCTCTGACGCTCAGAGTGAACATGTTGATCCTGATGGAAGCGAGTGCATCTTGCGAAAATAGACCCCGACTGTACTTCTAACCATCTCGTAGTCATATCCTCAGTATCGCACAGCCTACAAACTTGGACCGGCAAGCGCGAGACACGCGGAAATTGCCGAAACAGTCAATGTAGTTATCTTGCATGTTCAATGTTGGTTAGGCCGCCGAAAACATTTAAACCCGATTGTGATAGTCCAAACACCACCCAGTCTCATCGACAAGGATTATTTTCAAAAGCAAGGCGTGCGTGTGACATGATGTGCATTTTTTGCATTATTCAAGTGTTGTGCGACAAGTCCATATCTGATCGCGACTGTGCTATGCAGCCTTCTTTGAAGAGCAACTAGTTACACTTCGACAAGTTCTCTCAACGTTCCAACCCGTCTAAGTCAGAATCGCTTCCATCGCCTGAGCTGTCTGAAATAAATTCAGATTCTGTAACCTCGACCAAATACTGAATCAGGAGTTCCCAAGTTTCCTCCTCCTCTGGAAGATGATGTCGACTGTACAAATCGTGTGCGAACATCTCCACTTTCAAGTTCTGCGCTCTTTCACGGCGGTCGGGATTATTCATAATTTCGAATAAGTCCCGTGCTATAGGTGTAAGCTGTGTCGTACTCACCCCTACATGGAGTAGTATGCCTCGAAGAATCTCTGTGCCCCGCTTGTCGAACAATCGGTCCTTCAAAACAAGATCAAAGCGAGGCTCCGGATTCTCGCAAAGTCCCCATCGTTGCCGGCGTAACTAGGGCCGTCCGCCAGCCATTAACATCTGCCGTATTTGCAGGATCTGCGCGCGATATTCTGGTTGCAACTGGTCAATCTGCTGCTGCGACAGAGCCATGACCTGGGCATATAAGGCTTGTTGGTCCGTGGGGGGTGCTTGTGGTTGCTGTGGAGGCTGCGCATATGGCTGTGGAACAGGAGGTGTAGGCGCGACTTGCGGTGGGTATCCGGGGTAGTTTACTGGTGGTCGCGCAACTTGCGGTGGTGGTTGCTGTACTTGCTGAACAGGTGGAGCCTGCGCAACTGGGGCAGGCGCCGCCGATGTCTCCACAAGCGAGGTCAGGATTTGTGGGTCGACCAGCTGGAGGAGCAGCAGCGACTGGAAAATGGCGTAAGCCAGCTGAGGCGCTTGTCGCAGGAGCTCTGTCGCCTTTGCCGGATCCGTCATTACGAGGCCCTTCATCTGTGAGAGGATGTCGAGGAGCTGGTCTGGAGGGAGTGTAGAGAGCGTGCGCGAAATGGCATCGGGACAGGTAAGGTTGGGCGGCAGCTCGACGCCCGGTGGAAGAGGGCCCAGGGTGCTCGATGGCTGCGCCGGTGCTGGCGCTGCTGGCTGCTGGCCGTTCATGCCCATGTTTGGCGGCGCATTCTGGTCGCGATTCGACGGCGCATTGTCGCCGGAGCCGCTCTCGTTGGACCAGTCAACCCTCAGCTTCCTTCCCATCAAATCGTAGTCGTTGAGGTTCCGCACTGCGGAGGCTGCGGCATCAGCGTCGGCGAACTCTGCGAAGCCAAAGCCTTTGGGGCGCCCGGTTTCCTTGTCGTACACCAAGCGAAAGTTGAGAACCTGGCCGACGCGACCGAGGGTTTCGATGATGAGCTCTTCGGTTCCGCCTGGTGGGAAGTGTTAGCTTTGCGCGTGCGGATGAGAGATGAATAGTCGCGTACCATAAGGAATATTGCCGATGAACACGACCCTGCCCGCTTTATCGTTGGGCGCCATGATTTTTCTTGGTATAATTCCACAATAGGCACTGCGTGTTTGTTGGTGGACCGCAAGGGAATGTAGAAATGTTGTGCGAAGAGAAGAGTGGTTGGAGTGTGCCTTTGAGGCTTCCATGAGGGCATGAGCTTTGGACCAGGGCTAGCGCGAAGGGCTTGGCGCGTCCATCAGCAAGCACGCGACTACGAAGGAGCTCGTATTTTTGAACTCGCTTCCAAGTACTAAAAGCTACTCTGAATTTGTATATAGTATTCTATGCTAGGGACCTATCAAAAGGACAATAATACACATTTCTACGGATCATATCAATATCTAGTGTACTACTTAATAAAAACGTTTTTCATCGTAGACATTCACACATGAAATACGCCTAAGCATAGAGAAGTTGTTCTCACGAAAATTGCATCCTACAATCCAAGATATTGTATAAAAACAGTCCTACAGCTTCGCCGTCGTCGGCGCACAACATTGACCATCCTCACCAATCGCCGCAGTCACACTAGGTTGCTGGTGCTGCTCACTCAGCAAGCTACTCTTGTTGAACGCCTGCTCGCTTGGCGGTACATCCAACGCAGGGTTCTTGTCGAAAAAGTTGACAGGCTTCATGTGGATCTTGATGATCTCACACGGCATCACAGGAAAATCCTCGATCCTGCGGATGGTCAGTATGTATCTTACATGCATTTCGTAAAATTACGACTTACCTAGGAACGTGGTTGATTCCTGCTTGGATGTAGACCACAAAGTCGGTGTCCTTGACATTCTCGTTCCTCTCCGCCCATGAACGTACACCTGCATACTATCTTAGTATATGTCTCACGTATATCTCGTTCATTCACAGCTTACCAGATCCGCCTCGAGATTGATTGGTGTACAGCCCACCCGCATACAGCTCACCGTCTTTGTGCTTGACGACATATATATTGTGGTCCGAAAACTCGGCGCGCTTGTAGTTGAATGAGTCCTTGTCTGATAGGATCTTCTGGAATGGTGGCGCTTGTATTTTATATGCTACTGGTTTTCCATTAACAGGATTTCGCACATTGGGGTTCTGAATCTTGAAGGTACGGTTGTTCTCGTACGCAATGTCATAACCGCCAGACTTCTCCACGACGGTCTCCTGGACATAGTAGCCAGTACCATGGGGGTTGAAGTCCGAACGCGGCATCGCAAACGCTTCGTCATATACCAGACGATTATCGTAGCCGTCGAGCATGGGATCAACACGCAACGAGAATATGTGCTGGTGGTGGACAGCCAACACACCTGGATGCACAACTGTACCAAAGGGCACTTCTACACCCTCGTCGATAGGCTGGGTGCTCAGAATACCAGTAGCTCTGATCTCATAGTCGATTTCTCCTGCCTGATTGAAAATGAAGGCCAGGATGTACTCGTAGTTGCTTACGGTGATGATACTCTGTAGTACCAGCTCGCGATTTCGGGCGACGACGGCACGGCCTGTCCGATAATTGGTGTGCTTGAAACCGATTCCGGCGTCTTGCTCGTGAACACAGACAACATTGGGCATTTCAACAACACCACCCTTGTTATCGGCCTAAACGTTGCGTGCACGAAGTCAGTATAAGTCTCACATGCAGTTCGTACGGGGAGATTCCTTACCAACACTGCGCTTAGATAGTAGATGGAGCCCAGACAGTCGCAGCCCAGCTTGAGGTTATTCGCCATGATGCCGGCACCAACATCGCCCAAATCAAACGCACTCTTTTTATGAAAGGGGTGCCTCGGGTCCGCATACTGCAAGCGTGAAAATGCGAAGTCAATTTTTGTCTCATATGCATTTCGTACAGGCACAACTTACTGGAATGTTCATGTCGCTCAAGCTCAATCGGTAAAACAAACTACGATTATCGTAACGGACGTCATACAGCACCATGCCTTCGCGCTGGTTGAAGCCAACTCGAAAGTTCCATTTTTGCCATGAAATGACGCTCGATGTGCCTTGCTGTTCGACCTGGAAGCTCGCACCCTCGGGTTGAATGACATTAAGCGGCTTGAGATCGGTTCGCAGCGTCTGGGCCTCGGGTATGTACTCGTTGGGCGGTTGTATCTTGTACTTCTCAACTGATTTGATTGTGTTGTCTGCTCCAGTTGGTAGCAGGTCAACCCGTATGACACGCATACTTTCTGTGCTCACAACAGGTGAGATTGGAAGAGGCATTGCGTAGTGGTTGGAGTCGGCCTCTGATGAGTTCATAGGATCCCTCAAGTAGAGGAAGCATTGGTACAGTCGGTCTTCGTCTCCGACACCATCAGAACCGTAGATCCAGGGATCGCTAATCACTACTGTGCCTTTGGGCAACTCGAGCTTGGCTATCTCGGCTTGCACCTTCTCATCTGCCAGAACGAGTTTTTCGATCTCGACAATCTCGTCGCCATCTCCATTGGCGTGGACGAAGGGTCCTAGCAAGATATTGGAGTCGACACGCCCTGAGGTCAGGTCTACAACGGCCTCGTGAAACTTGCTCTACCAGATGATCAGCCATATGTCATCTCATCAAAACCTTCGACACATACAGTATTCCGAATGTAGTAGTTAACAAACGCTTTCCTTGAGATAGATGGAACTGGCTTGCCGCTATGCTCAGCCTCCAAGTACTTCAGTACTTCAGCCTTTGGTGGTTCCTGCAGCGTAACGACTTTGAAGTGCACATCTGTGTGTGCAGGCCATGAAGCTTTAATGATTGCCGCGGCATTCCGAAGTTCTGATGCCGATAAGGCCGATAGAGGATGCTGCGCAGACACTGATTTCTCGCTCCGCGGGCTGGGGTCGGTGGCGGCTTCTGTGGACATTTTTTGATAGGTATATGCAATGCACGACCAGAAAAAAAGATCTATCAGGAATACGAGATAGACGGTAGAAAGGAAAGCTCACAAAAAGACTCCGATATGGATGACTTATAGCGTCCCGAGCCCTCAATGCCGTAATGTTACCGAACACAGCAGTTGATGTGATAAGAAGGTGGATCTGCCGTATCGCACATAGTCGCAAGGACTTTCCACATTAGTACTAGACGCCTGCCGAAGGTGAGGCGAGACATAATGTGATCACGTGTTGTACCCCGCTCTGATTATGGAAAGTTACTCCAAGTAAGCAACGTGGCGAGCTTTCTACGGATCCCTAAGAGCTTTGCCATTCGCGGCATTGTACATTTTCTTCTACAGCCAATTCAACAAAGTTTTTTTCGTGCAGCAACGATTAGGCACGCCTGAGCCATGTTCCTGGTGGGCTGGTCAAGTCCCCTTCTTGTGTCGCAAGATATTAACAGAAGCAAATCTTCGTTTGAAAAAGTTGGCGTCCCATCCCTTGATTTGAGGCATGCACGGCGGTCTCTGAGCTAGGTCGGCAGCTTGGAGGGAGGCGGTATGAATGCCAGCCCTCGATCGCGCAATCTTGTTGTTGCCTCGCAAGACATATCCCGACATTTCCATCACTAAATCGTCTTTGTTGTGGTAGTGCTGGTAGGACTGCGGAAGTCGTAAGCCACGGCGGGTCATCGATGCACGTCGAAAAACGCGTACGCGAGTCAACCCAACTGTCGCGAACAACGTGTATCCACACTAATCGCGAAGAAAGTATGCAACTTCAGCTTGCAGAACCTTCAAGAACAGAATTTGTTTGGGAAAGCCTTCCGTCGACACTTCTTGGCTTGTCATTTCGGTAAATGTGTCGTTCGCGACATGGCTACGTCCACTGCATGACTCGGCATGAAACACCTCTTCGCACAAATATCAGATATCCAGACGCTCATACAAGACTTCTATTTTACCGTAGTACTACCGTATTTCATGTGCGACCATGAGCCCGGTCAACATCGAGGAACGGTGTTGTTTCCTTTTTCCCTTCGCACCGTTCGAGTTCCGCCCTAGCTTTGCCATGTTCATCTAACATATTACCCCAGATATTAATCTATCCTAAGCGTCCAGTGTTGTACAGTTCTAGCAAGCGCGCCAATCTTCGCTCTCGACACACCAAACCCACATCCATTTCCACATCCGCCTCTGCCATTCGCCCGGTGTGCACTTTTCACGCATGCATGACCAATGATTGTCAGTCCTGGATTGCAAATACCATACTCGCGATATTGCCTAGCATACCACCACGCACTCGCCTCGTCGATACCTGTCACACGGTCGGCTCCAGAAGAAATTCTTATTAACAACCACCGGCAGTGGGTATCCACCCTCCATCTACAACCCGGTTCCTTTGCCGCCTTGCAGTACCCCAGCGTAGCTGTCCTGTGACGTTTATTCATTTCGAGTTCTATGCTTCACCCAATCACAGCTTCGTGTTTACTCTCTTTGGTCATGTCCTGCGTGGTGCAATATAGACGTGGAAGCCACCCGAAGCCTCAGATTTATGAAGAATAGTATTTAAGACTCAGCGACCATCCTCTCGTACTCTCTACCAAGATCACTAGCACTTTCGATTTCATTCGCTTTCAAACTCATCAGTCTCTCACTTAACACCTCGAACATGAAGTGCATCGCGATTGCTACCGCCGTTGCGGCCTTTGCCAACGTTGCGCAAGCCCACTGTAAGTTTCATCGATAAATTTGCACCAGCAGTCCACTGACAAACAAGACATCTTCCAAACTCTTACTGCCAATGGTGCCAAGGGTGCTCTTTTCCAGAACATTCGCCCCGTCCCTAACAACAGCCCTGTTACCGACCTTGCGGATAAGAACTTGAGGTGTAATGCAGGAGGGAACTCAGGTAGCGGCACTACAACCGTCTCGGTAGCTGCTGGCTCCACCGTCTCGTTCACCGCAGACCAGGCGGTCTACCACCAGGGACCTGTCACTTTCTACATGACAAAGGTCGACTCTGCAGCTGCCGCAGACGGATCCAGCGACTGGTTCAAGATCAAGGAGATCGGACCCACCTTCTCTGGTGGCCAGGCTAGTTGGGACATGAGTGCTACGTACTCTACGACCATTCCTTCGCAGATCCCTGCCGGAGACTACCTGCTCCGCATCGAGCAGCTCGGTATTCACAACCCTGGTAGCCCGCCTCAATTCTACATCTCGTGCGCTCAAGTGAAGGTCACCGGCGGCGGCTCTGGAAAGCCCTCTCCTACCACCAAGATCCCCGGTAAGAAATCCTGCATACAAACTGCTTGTGAGACACTTTCTGACTTCGTACCACGAACTTTTAGGCCACGTCAAGAGCACCGACTCTGGTTACACTGCGAACATCTACAACAACTTCAACTCCTACGTTGTTCCTGGACCTAAGGTCGCTACATACTAGATACGCTCTGATGGAGACACGCGACAGGTTGGGCGCTAGGATCGCCGGCGTTCTGTCGCACTCGCTTTGAAGTCTACATCTGCTTCACCTTATTTCTATGTATATACCTGTTGTATAAATTGCGCATACACTTCTTTTATTCCTCCAGCTTGCTTGCTTCTTCACTTTTGGCTGCTTCCCCATGAATAGCACATTGTGACTGCAGAATCAAACGCGTTACCGATTAACCCCGGGCCTCGACTGCCACCACATTAACATCATACCCATCACTGCTATTACTTACCCCGTGAATATCAACGGAGCATCAATAGATGTCAGTAGATGTCGCAATTCTCTGTGATTCTCCCTTGTCGCAAGCCCAACTCTCAAGAACAGTAAGTGGATACCATAGCATCCCCGAGTCCCGTTTGCGCAAAATGGCCTATGCTAACCTTTTGACGTGTTCGCCGTTCAAACATAGCTTCATTCCCATCATTATGACGCTGCCTTGATGGACACATTCAAATATGGCAATAGTATGTGAACTTCTCGCTGTTCGTAGCGTCCATCACTTCTATCTTCACGCATCGCTAGGCCCTTGAACGGATACTCAGTAATAAGGTGTACATATAAAAGGCTGGCCAAAAGCCATATGAATCGTCTTCCCAGCTTCGTAGTCACTGTCTTCCCACTTTTGTGCTTACTAGAGTTTTGATTCAAAGTCGTAGCATTTGGCAGCTTGGCTGGCTCACCCTAACGCTAGTTACCAAACCTCGCTGCCTGCTTTGAAGTTCCTCCACACTCACTACATATGGCTGCTGGCCCTCCCTTCGGTCAACCTTGGCTTGCGAACGTCGGTAACAACCCCAACATCAACCGCGAACCTCCACCTCCTCCTACCAACGCCGGCCCGGTACCTCAAGCACAACATCCGATTACAGCTGCAGGAGGAGCCCAAGTTGTCGTAGAACAACAACACGCCCCTGTTTACGGTCCTCCTCTACCCATCGGTATCGGCGCCCCAGCATTCGGTGGTGTCGCCATAGGTGCGTTTCCACCTGTTTTTCCACCCGTCGGCATCATGGACCCATTTATGATGGGCGGCATGATGGGCGGTTACATGGGGCCTGGCGGTGGACCACTCGCTCCTGTCCGCGCAGGCAACTTTCTTCCGGGTGCTCATCACGGTATAGGCTTTGGTATGAATGCCAACGGTGTTCCGTTCCCACCACCACCACCTGGCGCCATCGCCGGGGTTATCCCCCCTTTTGCTCCTGCTGCACCGTTATGGGCGGGTGGAGGTCTCGCATTCGGAAACGTACCTGCGGTAGGAGGAGTTGGAGTCGGCGGAATGATGCCTGGTATGATGATGGGCGGTGGCATGATGGGCCCTGGCCTGGCAGGCTCACAACACTTCCGTCCAGCGCCCATGTTCATTGACGGAAACCACGGCCACCCAGCTCAGCCTGAACAACAAGACGTTAGTCAGATTTCCGGTGGTATCCCTCCGGGTGTCATGCTGGTTGAATCGGCTGAACACACCATCTTCTATCGCATCACAGGCAATATCTGCCCTTGGCTTTCTCCAGGCACACCACTTACTCTAGAGCCGCTTGCTGCAGCAAGCACTACGGGTCTCAATCGTCTCATTCAGATCTGCAATGATGGTACACCAGCTGATGAATTGGAGAACTGCGCGGTTACTGAGTGCATCGAGTTAGCCAATGGATTATGGGAGAAGGGTCAGACGTTCAAGTACAACGATGCTGTCTCTAGGGTGTTGACTTTGAAAGATGCTGGATGGGACAATACAAGGAATAGGGCGAACGGCAATTCCCTTCATCTTTGGGGCCACCGTATCTAAGTACTGGATTGCGTATCAGATACTGAACAGGTACTTCTCCGTCCTAGGGCTCACGATTTGTACCTTGATGACGGACGTTGGAGTTGGTGAAGCGAGCCAAATCGAGCTCTAGATTTTGTCCTCAATGGGGTTGGAGAGGCTTACTTCCATGTACTCCGTTTTAGTGAAGGATAAGCGTGAAAGGTGCGTTGAACATACTGTTAGATTCACAGGGACTAAGCTTCGGGGATCTAGATTACTTCTCGTGATGCATGAGAACGTGCCAACTGTTATGTTTGAGGTGCCTCGGTCGTCTGTCTCTTCTTCCCACCACCCAACCTTTGCCATAACTTCCCAAGCCAGCGTTCCTTGACTACCTTGAGCACAACATACGCCAGAAGTCGATATACGATAGCGCATATACCCAAAGCCATAAGGTTCATCTCCGGGTTCTTGTTCAGTTTATACAAGTCAAGCACTTGCTCTCCAGTTTGAATGGGGCATTCTCCGTTGACCCTCTGCCAGTCTTCGCACGTGAATGTAAGTCCACGAAGCGTATACGGCGCCATATTCCCGACCGCCCACTTCACAGGTGAAAGATGGTTCCAAGCTTGCAGGAAATCTGGAACGTCGAGTGACAACACACCACCCATAACCTGAGCAACACTGAGAAAGACCGACATACAGTTCACCGAGAAGCCGGTGTGTGTAAACAGCGTGTTGAAAGCTATTCCTAGACTCTCGCCACAGCTGGTGATGCAGAAGGCGTTGAAGGTTATGATGAAGTACGTTTGCGCATTGCGTTCTAAGCCGACGGCGAAAACGGCGAGCACCGAGAAGACGAGGCAGCTTATAATCTCGAATGGAGTGGTGATGGAGACGTATGTGAGGAAGAACGCTTCAACACCGTAGATGCGATCGTCGTAATCTCGGTAGAAGACGTCTCTCTCGATAGGATACACGGCGATGTTGTTAAGCACTATTTGAAATTAGTTTGAGGAAGAAAGATAACAGCAGATTACACATACTGCCGACAAAGTAGAGTGGTGCGATCTCTACAAGAAATCCAAGCCTGTTCTGAACAGAGAAATAATCGGTCTTGAGTGGTGCAAAGTAGAGTGCAAGCACGATACCCAATCCCACCACTTGCATGATGCGCGCAATCAGAATATCTGGCTGACGAAACATGTTCTTCGTCGCACGTCGAATCAGAATCAAATATGCTGAAGCGAAGGATGATGGTTCTCGTGCCATACTTCCCAGCTCCGCTGGTGTCGTTATCGACCCAATTCGAGCAACAGGGTAAACACTAGCGTTCCACGACTCGACCAACTTGCGTACCTTCTTTCGACTGGCCGCCTCACGTCTCTCATGCTGAAGGTCAACAGTAATCAAATCGAGAGCGAAGTCAGCTGGATTGACATGACGTGGGCATTCGTAGCCTAGGCCGGCGAAATGAGTTAACATGCTGTCAGCAGGACCAGCATAAATGGGATGTCCACCACGAGCAAGAAGCAGAATGTTGCCAAAATGAGCGAAGAGGTCACTACGCGGCTGATGGATCGTGACGATCAGTGTGCGACCTTCCTGGGCCAGACCACGGAGTACATCCATAATGGATAGCGCCGTGAATGCATCCAAACCTGACAGCGGCTCGTCAAGCAACAGAACACGCGGCTCTGTCAGGATTTGGACGGCAATCGTAACACGGCGCTTTTCGCCGCCACTGATGCCCTTGATAATGTCGTTGCCGATGAGGTTGTCTGCACAGTCTTTGAGACCCATCTTCAGCAAGATTTCTTCGGCTTTCTGGGTTTTTTGTTCCCTCGACATCCATTTTGGAAGACGTAGACCGGCTGCATAACGAAGGGTTTCCCGCACTGTCAATGATGCTAGTAGTGCGTCGTCGTCTTGCGTGACGAAGGAACAGATCGAGTGAACGACTTCTTGGGCTGGGATCAAGCCGTTGTAGCTCATCGAGCCATACTGCTTGTAACGCGTCGATGTATCGTCTTTGAGTCTCATTGCCATGCTATTCAGCAATGACGTTTTCCCAGAACCTGAAGGTCCCATGATGACATTCAATGACCCAGGGAAAAAGTCGGCAGTAAGCGGCTTGAGTATAGTCTTCGTCCAGCGCTTCCGTAATGATCGTTTTTCAACATCCATGCCATAACCTTCTAGCCGAATGTCGATTGTTCTGACATTGTCCGCCACACGCTCGCTCATCTTCTCTTTGCCAGCAGAGGCGTCCATATTGGAAGGTCTCGCGCGAGCCATCGCAATCTCGGCGTTCCAGAACTTGAGCAACACCCCTGCACCTATATAAAAGGCGATGGCGAACCCAAGAAGGGCGAGTATAGGTCTCCAAACCCAGTCGTCTGGAAAACCAAGAGAGTCCATGATAAAATCACCGTCGTATTCTTTGCAGGCTGGATTTGACCGCCCACCCTCCAACGGGCAGTCATAAAACGAGCCTGTGAACTCATTGGCGCACAAAGCTCCAAAAGCATAGAAGACATAGGCTATCCACTTTGTCCAGCGTACGTAGATGGGGATCGTGTTCGACTGGATAAAGTAACCGCATGCCATCGATTGAAGGGTATACGCGAGATTAGCTACCAGACTCGCTCCAGCGAAATGTCTCGAGCAAGCAACACAGGTCATGGCGAAGCACACCGCGATATACTGATGCAGCAGTATGATACCGAAGAATGTGAGGAACTGGCCCCCATCTGCACGAAAGCCACAGAAGAAGTAATAGATCAGCGAGAAGATGAGAGGTACCGGTATGTCCTCGATCAAGATTCGGGCCAATCGTCTGGAGACGAGAAATGCTGGTATGCTGACTACACCTTGTCGCGCCTCTTCATCGAATAGTTGGATATCCGTTGTAAGTCGGTATGTCTCATAGAGTAAGATCAGGTACCCTTGGAGCGCGGCTGCGTTATACAGGGCTCCCTGTCGAGATCGGATGCCAGATAGTGAACCATCGAGTTGCAAAAAGATCCATCCTGTGATGACCGCCATACCGATTGCTTCAACAAGACTTCCGAACATGCCTGTAGACGAAAGAATTAGCGTGTGTTCAAGTCGCAACTACCATGTCGAATGTCTTACCCATAGGGTCACGAATGGTTACAGTCCATGTTCGTGCGGTAAGTACGCGGGTCTGCTGAATTAGTGATGTCTGGCTAGCACGTCGCCTCTGCCGCTCAGTTTTCGTCATTGTCGTGGCCGGAGTGGCTGCTTCGTGCTTTTCTTGGAGATTGTTGTTGCAATGCGATCTCCATGCCTCTATCACGCGACCGACACGCTCTTGAGCCGCCTTCTCTGCTTCTACGCTCCGATTATCGACACTGACAACGTCGATGAGATATTCGGCTGGATTGGTGAACGAAGGCATATCGTGGCCAAGTTTAGCAAAGTATGGAAGGCAGTCTTTCGCGCTACCAGCATACGCAGGACTGCCCCGAGACAGAAGGACGACATTGTCAAACAAATCCCAGATCTCAGAACGCGGCTGATGAATAGTAACAATGATGGTACGTCCATTTCGGGCGAGATTTTGCAGGGTCTTTATCACTTGGAAAGCACTCGTTGAGTCTAGTCCAGTGGTCGGTTCATCTAGCCATAAGAGAGAAGGGTTTGACAAAAGCTACGAAGTCAGTGTATGGCTCCCATGCATATCGTACTCAACTTACTTGAACACCGATACTTGTCCTCCTTTTCTCTCCTCCACTGCAGCCTTTGTGCGCATGGTTTCCAATCCTAGTATCTGCAGCTTCTTTCAGGCTCAGCTCCAAAATGACTTCTTCAACAAGCTGCTTCCTCTCTTTCTTGTCAACGGAAGAAGGTAGTCGCAATTGCGCGGCATAAGTTAGAGTTTCTCTGACGGTCAACGTCGGAAGCAGGATGTCCTGTTGGATAACATATGCGCTTCTGATGCGCGATGCATCCTCGCTGCCATTGAATAGCGTCCGGCCCGAGGTAGCAAGCCGATTTCCCACTGCCAAGCGTCCGCTCATAGAGTTGAGTAATGATGTTTTTCCGCTTCCACTTCCTCCTATAATGGCTGTGAGGCTTCCGGATGGCATATCCGCCGATATATCGTCAAGTATAGTCTTGACATGGTTGCGATCTGGTGACGGTTTCTGCTTCGAGAAGGCGCGGGCAAAGGCATTTGGCGATTCATCGACTGAAACTGTAAGATGTTCCAATCGCACGGATACAGGATCAACTTCACGCAAGGAGATACCGTGGTTGTCGTTGTGGGATGTGCTTGTGGAGTCCCCACGGACCGGCGTGGCGAGCGTTGTGTCTTCTTCTTTAGGCTTAGGCGGAGCAGCAGCAGATTCGGATCTGCCCTGCATAGACCCCGACTCCAGCTTCTCTAGTGACTCCATGGCTACGGGTTTTGGTTAAATGTTCATGATCAGTCGTCGTCCGCAAAAGAGAAGCGCGCATGAAATCAATCCTTCGCTCACATGTCAACGCGCGGAGATTCTTTCACGCGACACGATGATGTTCAAACACGCCGCCTCGCTTGCCAACCGAACTGCATGCAGGGGCTTGGCCGGACTTTACCAAGTCTCATATTGCTTTAGATGGAAGGTTGCAGCTGTGCTTTCTGGAACTTACAGAACATATCGTGACGCCTCAGCAAGCTAGTAGCCTACAATGCGAAGAATTGCTGCTGTTTGACAAGTCTAGCTACTGCTTACAGCTGATGAAATGTTCAACCTTCCTTGAGCTGTTCAGAACCGGACACGGCAAGGACCCCAGCTCGCGAAGCCACACTCCATTTAACCTGCCAATCTTGGGTAGCGGAATCCTGCGCGATATGCATCTTTATGCAAATGGAATATGACCGCGCAAAATAAAGCATCGAGACCTCCAATGGACGCCCGGAACATCATGTCGAAGTGTTGCTAATATAGACGAACTCTTCCGTGGACAAGGGATTGTCGCATGGAGTGGTAATGTTGCCCTTCCTAAGTGCTTGTCGTTTGTGCACGTGTGAGGTCCTATTTGTGCCAATCCCGCATCGAGAAATTCTTCAGGACAGTTAAGGTCTAAAACGCGGAATGCATTAGATACTTGGCCGCTGGTACGAGCACTGAATGTTGAATAAGAGGAGTGACTACTGAATAGCTCCTGATTCAGTGTATGAACGGTAGCTGTCCACGGTATAGGCCTAAGAGATAACGGACCACTATTCACTTGCCGATGGTACGTACCTAAATACGTACGCTGCGAAGATTTGTTGCGTGAGGCTGTCTGGACGATAAAGAGTCGGGATGGCCTCCTGAGTGAGGGGCTGGCCAGGTCTTGCGGCCCGAATAGCAAACCAACTCCACATGGCTTCCGAAATCTCACATTCCAACTTCCGGCCACAAGTGGGCCAGCAACAAAGTTTGCGCAATCGTAGCGGCAGCGGGAGGATTTGTTCGATCTCCAGAAAGAATGGTATCCACCTGGGTAAGGGACCAAAGAAGCCTCGGTACTTCGTAGTTGACAGCTGCCCCTGCATTTGCGTCGCGACACCCTTTTTCCGGTCGCCATCTTATCTTCGTGCGATCATTGGGCGGGGACAATGTTCCGGGTCTCAATTCCAAGAAACTCAACCAACCACCTTTACGAGTTGATCATGACAGCCTGATTGACTGCTCGCCAAAGAAAGCCGACCTCGTTCCAAGTTAGTCAATGCGAGGACGGATGCACTGGTCCCAAAACTTGGAGTGATGAGTAAATGCAGGCGGCATATGCTGAGGACAACGGGAGACAGACCACCTTGGTTCTCCAATATGCACTAGCATCAACACTACGGCTCTCACAGCCGAATTCCTTGGATCAGGAACGATCTCATGAGCTTCATGAATACGATCCTGCAACCTTGGAATGCTTTACTTTACAATCTATGACAGCATCGTCTATTTGCCGAAGTCGTGTATGACGAGTGCTGAGCAGGGCATCTTGTGTCCTCAAGTTTCTCGGGGGTTGCGGACGGTATTTCCAAGCCTGCCATCGTTATTCCACCACCTCCTTTCCACAAATATTGACAGCCTTCACTTGTAATGCCTTCGTACGACGCAACGGTTTTGCGGCTCATATGATCGCCATTAGGGCATATCATGACCCTTGGCCGTTAAGCAGCTTTTGCACGGCATATACTTTACACTCCAAGATGATATCGCCCGTGGCTCTGTGATCGACGAGAACGACAGGCTCCATCCTAGCGACTAGTTGATTACTATGACTGACACTCCTCCATCTTGGGCGGCCATTGATGCCGAAAGCCACATGCTGCTTGAAGAATGCTGACAACAACCTCGTTCTTTCGTGTCAGCTGCAGGTCCGTTGGCTGACGTCTTCCAACAAGGCTGCATATGACCCTTTCCGGGCATCCAGTTCGCATGGACAATTAATCACGTTTTCTACACCGACTAGACTGGGGATATTGATGGCTTGCGTCAACCGCCACGCGCGTCCTCGCCTCGTGGTCTGGGGCGAGCTAGCTACGCTTACATCGGTGTAAGCCTATTCGCAAATAACGGTGTAGGGCTTGACATCTCCATGCCGCAAAACCGGTGATGCAACCTGCAATCCGCCCTTTTCACAGGCATCATGTGAAAGAAAGAGATTCTATGCAGGTCACATATGCAGGCACCGTGTACGAGTAGGCTTTCATGACTTTGTGTTCGATACCGAGTCGTGTAGGTACGTGGGTATTTTAAGTACGGACTTCTACCCATATTCGGATCCGGATCCGGGTGGAGGGTATATCCGGGATACCTCTCCAGGCCCGGCATATACCGCTGGGATGAACGTATTCTACTAAGCGAGCAAATAGAAAGTAGATTGCAAAGGTGTTCTCGGAAATAATCAGAATCCCATCTACATGCAATGGACGGCCTAATGGCTCCAGACTCTGACCTCCATGGAATACTGATAGCGCCCTGGTTTTGGTTGAGCTTATCGCTGGGGTCGTTTGGGATCATGTGGTCGTAGGAAAGGGTAAGGAAGACTGGGCTGAGTGAGGAAGAAGGGTCTCAATTGCCCCTTCACAGTTCATCTTGCGTGGATAGAATACGTATACCCTCCATCTGTGACGTCTTAGCAGTCCACGCGGAGAAGGTGTTACGCCATGTGCGTAACGTCGCACACGAGTTCACGGCTTCGGCCCTATACTGAACCATGAAGAAAGCAATGTCGTTTCAAAGCCATGCAGAAGGACCCCTCCTCTTCCTGTTCGTCCATACAAACACTAGTGCCAGGTACCGACGGCGTGTTTTCCTCGAATCAGGCTATATTTCAACCTTTCCACCGGATCATTCGGGTTATAACGTTATAACCCCCAGCATTGCCTGAAAAGCGTGGGGGTTACATCTCAGACCGTCCACACAGAAGGGCCGATGCTACGCCGTAATTCCTGCTTTGCAGCTGTTGTTCCCGCAACGCTGGTCGTAACATTCGTCATTGTGCCGCTGGGGAAAGTGTACCGGTCGCATCGGAGGCGCGTTTGGGCCGGACAAACGTAACCGTAAGCACTGCTCAAGCCGCACAGAAGAGATGGGCGACAGCACCCCACGTTTGCCGTCTTGTAAACCTGGTACCCTGGGTCGATCTGCCTAACGGCTTGTCTCGCTCGTCCGTGGGCTCCGCCGACGCAAGTGAGGATGGCTTTTCTGACTGTTAGTCCCTTACTTTCGCATCGCATCTAGGAAATTGACGATGATCGTCATCCGGCTATATGCACATGAGCGTTCTGAGAAGTGGCTGCATGTTGAGCGGGCGAGTCATGGATCCTTCAACGATGCCGTGCGACGAGTTTGTTCCAACGACGATGCGAAGGAAGCTCGCCAAAGCATTTGATTGCTGGTAAGCGGATTGGAGGAAGAACGTCCCCGCAGGGAGTGGAGAAGTCTAGATGCTGTGGCACGGGTGGTGCTTACTGTAAAGTTACAGTGCACCAACGCCGCACTATAGCTCCTCACCTTATCACCGAGGTAGATCGTGATCGCCCGTTAAGCCATGCGTTCCCTGCGAAACTGCGTCGAGAATTGAGTGAGCGGAGTGGATACCAGCATGCATTTCTGTGCCGTGGAGCTACCTGCATATATACGTGTCGTCATCGTAATGAGAAAATAAGAGAATGCCGGCCAGTAATCGGACCTATTTCGACAAGTGCTGCAATGCCATGTGTACGAGTGTGCCTCGCCCATGCATGGGGTACGTGCATCGCGATCTGACATGCACCGCCCAAAGCCAAACGCCGCTCGGCTGAACCCAAAGGCTATGTACGAGATACAATATCGCAAACAAGAAAGAAATGTCCCCAGAAGTCGAAGCCAAGTAAATGCAAAGACAAGCAATGCCGTTTTTCCCGCATGGTAACACAATCCCGCCGTGTGTTATAGGGGAACGTACCCATCCAATGCAACCTGATCGTGAGGGCCGTAGTGCATCGTTGCCGGTCCGAGCCTTGTAAACCGCTCTCCGACGATCCACCAAATTCCATGACTCCTTTTTGCGCCCGTAGAAACACCGATTGAATAAGGAACCCTAAATGCCAAGTCCGAAACTGGAGGGTCGCGATGCACTTCAGGCTACAGGCTGACACTATGTCATCGCCATGATAGCCGTGCACAGAAAACCCATATGTCCCACATTAACCATGCCAGCGAGTGGCAAGCGATGTGATAACTTCTCCCCCGAAGTAAGAAGCCGATAGTGATACGTGAAGATCTCGCGGAACCTTCAGATTCCGAACGTCGCCAATAGAAAAAAACCTCGCGGATTGCTCGGGGCTCACGTAGCGAGGAAATCCCACCCACGAGCATGGATAATTTTTTCCCAATCCCATGAGTCTTTGTCCCCCTTGTCCATCCTGGACCAAACCTCGTCGACGACCTCTTTCGCAAAGCCGATGTTGCCTAGGCCGGTACAGGCAATTAGGCCGGTGAACGCTCTGTCAATCTCCACACGCTGTTCCTCTTCGAATGCAGCGCACCCAATGAGGAACAATGGAAGCAAAACGTTACTTTGCACCCAACCTTCCGCCGGTAGTTCGTTGATGTAGCGAATGCCGTCGTCGACAGCACTCTTGATGAATGGATGTGGTTTCGAGTCTTTTGTGGTGCGATAGAGATAGACCCACGTTGCTTGACGATAAAGCATAGAAATGGTATAGCGCGGAGATCCGGGTGTATGGGGACATACCCATCCACGAAGGCCAGTGTCGATGGCGTGGGCGGCAAGCAACGCTTCATAGTCCATGACGGGCTCCTGCTTTTCGTCGATGCGACTACGTATCTTGCGTCGCAGATTGCTGATCTTAGAGATGAAACCAAATAGTCCATCAGATATGCCAATCAATCCCGCAGTCTCCGGGCTGATCTTGAAGGGAAGATTGAAATCGTCCATCATGGGAACCTCGGTACCGTCAAGGGACGTGATCTGACTAGCGATCCAATGGTAGTAGAAGAACTCGTCGAAAAGGGTCTGGAACTCCGGGTTCGAAGACTTCTGGGTCATGGCGATCTGTTTTGCGGCAATCATGTGCATTCTGTACTCGCCGGAGGTGTTACCATCACAGATAGAATGTAGAAGATGCAGTAGTATCTGGGCAACGTTAGAGTCCTCGTAAACCATGACACCACCTTCGCCAGCTTTCTGTCGTTCGATGTCATGCTTCAGCAGCTGCAGAGCCTTGCCGCGGTGAAAGACCTGTCTGTCCTCGTACTCTTGTAACGGGTTGACGGAGTACATATGAGAAGCTGAAAGACACAGCACTGAGTGCATTAGGCCTTCGTGTTGAAGAGCCATGGGCAGCAGGATTTTGGTGAAGGGATTCGACGACTTGTCCCCATGTAAGGTCAAGACAGCACTCGCTCTGCTAGAGAAATGTTGCAAGAGTTGGCGGTCAAGATCATTCTCAACACCTTCCATGAGAGGCGGAAGGTCAAATTTGACATCCTGACTTCGCTTCCGAGCTGTTTGGATGTTAGCTTGGCCCACTTCAAAAAAAAGCAAGCTCCTGATGCAAGACTACATACCTTCTGCGGCCCGTTCCTTTCCACTCTTCCAAATTTCAACGGGCTTGTACCCTTCGCAATGGATGTTGTTCTTCTGACACGACAGACCTAAGCAAGATTAGTACCTGTTGGACAACTGCGAGTCAAGGGTACGATTACAGAACGGCTTGGTCTCGTCACACTTCTTCTTCCTTTTCCGACATGTTGTACATCCAGTTTTGGATCGGGCTTTGGCTTGCTTAGCAAGAGTGGTGGGTGAGCGAGGGGGGTGTATCCTTGGCCGGCCACGCGCGCGACGTATCCGTACGGGTTCGGTCGGGGAAATGGGTGTGTCTTCCGGAGATGCCTCTTCCTTGACATCGGCTAGTTGAAGTTCCGTCTCCTCCACCTTGGGCACTACTTCAAGGGAACCCGTTCGAGCATCTGTGCGCTCCTCTGATTGTGACTCCGAAGGGCTGAAAATGGTGGAATCGAAATTGGGCGTGGTAAATGGGGAGTCGCTAGCGGACGACATGGAGGGCTGCGGCGATGAGCTCGTGCTCAAGCGGTTGTGGGCGCCTCGCGGCGAAGGGCCGACGGAAACGGTTGAGATCATTCGAGCCAGAGTTGAGGACGTTGGTGGACTAGTAGTGGGAAGAGGCGCGCATTGGATGTCCAGTCCGTTTTGCGCGTCGACGGTAACACGAAAGAGCGATGTTCTTCTAGATGTGCATGAGCCCGGCACGATCTAATGCAATAAGTGGCGACCAAGGGTTATCTTGTATTGTTGCCGGCCAATGCTAAGCAGAACGGTACAAGTGGTACAACAACGCGGCAGCTGTTCCCACGAAAGTTGAGCAGAGTGTCGCAGAAGGGTCCAAGCGGTCCGCTCCTGATGCCTCGAGCGATCGCACGGTAGGTTGCGTGAGAGCGGGGGAATGCGTCTTTAGCGAGTCGTGGGCGTCCGCGGAACGTCCAATAGAATTTGGGTGGAACTAACGGCAAAACTGCGTCGTTCCGAGATGAACGGCTGAGCTGAACACAGACCCGGTGCAGGCAGGGGTGAACGAAAACCAGTTGGGTTGGCTGGTAACGGTGGTAAGCGGTCGATATCGATGTCGGGCACACCCGAGGGGGATATGAGCAGCGTGAGCGTGCGGAGAAGGGACGATAGGTATGGGAGGAGGCGTGCTTGAACGAGTGGGATATATGTCGACTAGGTATTAAAGTGCAGCCTGCGTAGCTTTGAACCAGGTTGCGGAGCAAGGTAGAGGCGATAGGATATAGTGTGTTAAAGTAGCGTCGCAGCAACGACACCAATTCGCCTCTAATACTGGTAATGGAGGATAATCCTAGGACGAGTCCACTGGTCCCGCTGTAACCATCGCCCTGGGCCGCAGTCGACTTAATACAGTGAGTAGGCCGACGCTCGCAGTGAAGCACCGGGCACGCAAAGGACAGTGTTGACGACAACCCAAGACGTAGCGAGCGCTGCAGTTGGCTTTGAGATCAGTCGCCGGCGTGAGCGCTAAGTCTTTTGGAGGCTGTAAACCTCGTGAAGCATTGAAACGTGATGTTCCTAGTGTATGTATCGAATGGTGCATGAATCGCTTTCGAGCGGCTTCATATCTTGGTTCGCAGGGCTAGCCACTCCTCAGATCCCGTTGGCTGCACCACCTCCAGCTCAGAGTGGGTGGTCCAGGATCAGCAATAGATCTGAGTTGGGCGTCGTAAAAAGTCTCTACGGTGTATCGCATTCCTCTAGTTGATCATTCGTTGACGGCCAAAATCAATTCGCCATGTCCATGATCTTCTCCATGTGCTGCTTATTATTATCACACAAACGCCATCAATTCACGGCCGCGCGACCAAACAGTTAGTCAATACGCGATACTTGAGGCGCCCCTAGCCGACAATCAGCCCCACGCTAGGATGCCCAGCCATCGTGCTACATCTCCGCGATGCCTTGTGTGTGTGTGTGACCTGACGACACTACTTCTCCACAGTTTACGATCCGGTCGAATCGGACCTTGTTTTCTAGTTATAGAGAGTTATTGAGCGCGACGGGCAAGGCGATCTTGACAAGCTGACAACCCGACCAGGCCCCATTGAGCATTGCCAGCATCAAGCCACACCTGGCATGTCAGGGATTGTGAGGCCTGAAGATCCTCACAATCATGACAGCAGCGTCTGGTAGGCCCAGCGATTAACGGCCGGTCAAAGTTTGTTTGAGATGTCATAAGCTCCCATGCACCCTCCCCACAATCGCTACGCCTATCAGCAGGTAGCAGTCCAAGCATTGCGATATAGTCCCATTGGTGTAGGCGTTTCTGGCGAAAAGCAAACATGTTCGTCTAAAGCAAGGGCTTTTGCTTTGTAGATTTGGTGCCTTTTGACATTGTAGTGTCGCGCAGTGGACTTTCCCTGCGTACTGAGGATCTGGTTACTTTGCGGCCGGAGCGGGACGACGGGCACAAAGGCACGCTCCCAAAGCTGGCTCCGAGCGGGTTTCCGCAGTACCCTGACCTTCGGACCCAACCGAAAGCTTTGACAGACTCGAGTGCAAAACCCAACAACAACCCGCCTCTCCTTGCTTTAGACTGCTGTTGAGCATGCTCCATTTACATGATCCTTCAAGGTTTGGAGGAATCTGGATCAGAGTTGGGCAGCATGCTGCTACAGCGCGCGTTCACGATTCACGCAAGTATTGTGGTTCACAGCCGGCACATGCCTGTGAATCAAGCTGTCAAGGCCATTTATTCAGCATGATTCGGTGGTAAGTATCATGTCTCGGACCCGCCGTCTCGTCGCGATGTGGATCCTAGTTTCCACTTTCGATCATACGGTCTCCGATTTGGAATCAGTCTTTTCCGAAGTTAATGCCCATGCTGACCAGTGTGATGACGTACCCACAATCATTGTGTAGTATTGTGACCGTCTCGAGGGAGGCCAGATGAAGATGGGTCAGCTCGTTGTCCCTGCGTTGTGATAGCGGCGCTCTGATGGCTGGCGGTCATTAGCCCGTTCTTGCGTATTGAAAACCCGGACGCATGCAGCCGAAGAGGACAGGCGAATGACTTGCATCGTTAGCGGCGTGCTTTAGCTGCGGGGTCACTTCCCGTCTCATTCGTCAGCGACGCAGACAACAGTTGCAGATGGCTGCATGTGCAGCAAGTGTTAATCCATGCCCAAAATACTTCTGGTCTGGAGCTGAGCGATTCGCGAGACTAGCATCTACGAGTCTATCGACGGCGTGCGAGAGAGCGAACAATGGTCCTATTTGACGCCCGTCATGACGTCGTCTCTGGCACTCGCGTGAGTATAATATCAGGAGATGATCAGACGTGTATTTGCCTTGGGAGTCACCCGTATCCACTGCAAATGACCTGGGATGAAGTTTGTTGAATGCACAGTGCGAGTCCTGCATGTTTGTGGCGGGTTGGACATTGCGCATGCCGGCCTCGTTCCGAAGTTCCGCCTGGGATGCTAGCACGACTCCATTCGCAGCCTTGTACAAAGACTCCATGGTTGGTATTCTCGCATGTGTGATGGTACTGTGGGGGAGTGCTTCACAGCGCCTTTGTAGATCTTTTGTCTCCCTAAACATTTGCCTTTTCCCTTGCCATGGCAAAAGCATGACTCTGTAGGTTTCCCAGCGGATGCATGTGCGGGCGGGTGATCGACTAATTTCGAATGTACGGAACTGTTTGTAGCCGCCGCCTGCGAACACGTATGCGGTGGGGCCTGCTTGACTCTTCCAAGATTGATATGTAGTATAAGTTGCATGCCATGGGCACAGGTTAGCGAACCACACCAAAACAAAACCAGTAGGCGGAAACGATGTGGGTATAGAGATGCTTCTAGTGGCATATAGTACTGCGAGAGGCTTGGTGGAATGTTTCAGACTTGGAAGCTGAGTCCCGTAGCCGCAGGTATCATGCCCGGGCATCGTTCCTTGGACAGCAGCAGCAGCCTATATCGGAGAGAGTACTGCCATCGATCTCAGGGTAGTATATGTCTTCTGCTGGACCCTGAAATCATGAGGCTCACAATCACAAGGGAGAGTACGGTCACGTGAATTGGCAAGAGGCGCGCGGATCATATGTTTCGCCAGCTCCGACGCGGGCGCGCTTTGACGCGTTCGGACTCGTTGCATCCAGCGTCTATCAAGGAAACATCACGACTTCACTATTCCATCTAGCGCGCGTCCACTATGCACTTAAGAGCCTGAGACTCGCCTGGATTATATTGAATAGCGACTGCTCCCATGTTCAACTTCACCCCTCTTCTAGGCGCGCAGAGCTCCTCGCCAGCGTCGCAGTCGTTGCTAGAATTCGATGGGGGCATACAGATCTTGATCGATGTTGGTTGGGACGAGGATTTCAGCGTAGAGAAACTCAAGGAGATTGAGAGGTAGGTGCATAATCTGGCCGCGATTGCAGTATGGATGCCAGTTGAAGTGTGGGCTGTCGCCGGGAAACACTGGCAGCAGGTAGCAAAGTCGCTAGGTAGCAGCAATACACTAGACATACACGACGACTAATCTCGACACTCCAGACATGTCCCCACCCTGTCCTTCATCCTGCTTACTCACGCGACCACTGCGCATCTCGGCGCCTACGTACACTGTTGCAAGAACTTTCCTCTGTTCACGCGCATACCCGTATACGCGACAAACCCCGTCATATCCCTCGGCCGCACGCTGCTACAGGACTTGTACGAATCCACGCCGCTTGCATCGTCCATCATCCCCACCGAAGCTCTCAGCGAGTCTGCCTACTCCTTCTCCTCGGCACTCAAGGGCGGCAAGAATCCCAACATCCTTCTCCAAGCGCCCACGTCGCAAGAGATTGCCGACTACTTCGCCCGCATCAACCCCCTCCGATACTCGCAACCGCATCAGCCCATCCCTTCGCCGCACTCGCCTCCACTCAATGGCCTCACCATCACGGCATACAGCGCTGGACACACACTGGGCGGTTCCATATGGCACATACAACATGGCATGGAGTCGGTCGTCTATGCCGTCGACTGGAACCAGGCCAGGGAACACGTCCTTTCAGGAGCTGCTTGGCTGGGAGGACCTGGCACCGGCGGCGCTGAAGTCTTGGAACAGCTGCGTCGTCCAACTGCCTTGATCTGCAGCAGCAAGAACACCAGCATGGTAAAGGTGGCCAGGTCGCCCAACAAGCGAGACGAAGCTCTTCTCGACATGATTCGAGATACCGTGGCCAAGGGCGGGACCGTCTTGATTCCATCAGATTCAAGTGCCCGTATACTTGAACTGGCATATCTGCTTGAGGAGACCTGGGAGCGCGAGGCAGCAGACGCCGAGAACGGCAGTGCGCTATCAAGTGCAAAGGTCTATCTTGCAAGTCGGACTGGTGGTGCAACCATGCGCTATGTACGGAGTATGTTGGAATGGATGGAGGAGGGCATTGTGAAGGAGTTTGAAGCCAGTGCTGCCGACCAAGACCGAAGGAACAAAAACGGAAAAGAAGAAGACCGAGCCAGAGTCCCGTTCGACTTCAAGCACATAACCTTGGTCGAGCGCAAGACACGTGTGGCTCGGATGCTGAGCGCAGCTGGACCGCGAGTGATATTAGCAAGCGATGCGACGCTCGAATGGGGATTCTCCAAAGATGCTCTTCGAAGCCTGGCATCTGATGAGAAGAACTTGGTCATACTCACAGAAAGAGCTGGTCAGCTGGGCGCACAAAAGAAAGGTCTCGGTCGATACCTCTGGGAGTTGTGGGAGCAGCGCAATGCATCACCGGGACATGATGCTCCTTCTATTAGTGTAATAGACGCCGCAGGCGATCAAGCACCATTCAGCACGGTACGCGCAGTCGCACTCGAAGGTGATGAAGTCCCGCTTTATCAGCAGTTCCTTGCCGGCCAGAGACAACGTCAGACCACCATGGGCGGCGATAACGCAGCAATGCTCGAAACGTCTGCCGATATCGTTGATGATCGATCATCAACTGAGTCAGAGAGTTCGGAAGGCTCTGGTGACGGATATCGAGGAAAAGCGCTCAACGCAACCGTTGCCCTCCAACACGCGCGAAACAAACTTGGTATGACAGACGCAGAGTTGGGCGTAAACGTACTCATACGTCGGAAGAATGTTTACGACTACGAAGTGCAGGGCAAGAAAGGGAAAGAGAAGATGTTTCCGTTCCAGGCCAAGAAGCGTCGCGCGGACGACTTTGGTGATCTTATTCGACCCGAAGACTTCGCTCGTGCCGAAGAGGAGGACAACACTGCCGGAGAAGCTCTTCGTGGTGAAGGAACAAAGAAGGAAAATGCTGTTGGTCAGAAGAGGAGATGGGATGATTTATTAAACAGCACCGACACCAACAAAGCCAACGCCAACCAAAAGCGCCGGAAAGACAAGGAGGTTCGAGAAGGCGAGGACGAAGAATCGGACAGTGAACCAGAAGACGATCTAGACAAGGTGGAGGGCCCATCGAAAGTCATCATTGAGTCGGAAACTCTGGAGATCCGGTGTCGGATCGCCTTTGTCGACTTCTCGGGTCTGCACGATCGCCGCACGATCCAGCAGCTTATCCCGCTTATCAAACCTCGCAAGCTAATCTTCGTGGGTGGCGAGGAAGGCGAGACTCTTGAGCTCGCCGAAATCAGTCGAATAGCACTGAATGCGAACACCGATTCTGCCAACGCCATCGATGTCTTCACACCCGCTGTCGGTATCATGATTGACGCCAGTGTCGACACGAATGCCTGGAGTGTCAAGCTCAGCCGCAGCATGGTGCGCAACCTGCGCTGGCAGAATGTTCGTGGCATGGGCGTTGTGGCTATCACCGGCCGCCTCGCAGCTGCAAGCCTTGAGCCCAAGGTTGAGGAAGAAGCGGATACGCCAGCGAAGAAGAAAGCTCGACTCGATGCCCCCGCCGTCCCCGTGTCTAGCGATAAAAACGATGACACACCCGTCCTTGACGTCGTTCCTACTAACATGGCCACTGCCGTTCGATCCGTCGCGCAACCCTTCCATGTCGGTGATCTTCGTCTTGCCGATCTGAGGAAGCTCATGAATGCCAACGGCATGCAAGCCGAGTTCAGAGGCGAAGGTGTACTTGTCATCAACGGTACGGTGGCTGTGAGGAAGACGGCTACTGGTCAGATTGAGATTGATGGAGGGGCTTATGGTAATCTGGATCCAAGGAATAATGACGCTGCAACGTTCTCTAGGGTCAGGAGGCAGATCTACGAGGGTTTGGCTGTAGTCGCTGGAGGATGAAAGTTCAGGGTTACGAATTAGGTGTAATGTTGGGCGTTTTTCACTTGCGGCATGCCCCTCCAATGTAAAAATGAAGAACGATGTGGAGTTGGTCTTGAAGAAGGCAAACGCTGTCTCGTATTCTGAAGCGTCTTAACAAAACTTACATTGAATATCCTAGCAGTACTCTTCAATTCATGTGCACAGTCAAAATAATGTGCTTTCTTGCACCATTCCTCTTATGATGTACGTCGTCCTTCGTTTGCCGAAAGACTATCTAGATATCAACTGCTTCTTGAGAAGCAATTTAGTTGACTTTTTACCAGAAGTATGCAACGAACACAAAGCGTTATAACAGGATAATTCGCTAGTGGCTATCTGTTTCACCGTCATCCAAGCCTGTTTCTCGATTCATGAGCCTGATAAGGACCTCGCTGGCGTCCTCCTCGCTAATCGATAAAACTATCCTATGGAACGGGAGAAGAAGTTGCGCAATCCGATCGCCCTTTCTTGCATCGATGAGCGCGTTCTCGTATGCAAGAAGATTAGATGTACGTCTTCCGCGAATGGCATTGACCAAATGGCCTTGTACAATATCTTGTGAGAATTCTCTTACGGATTTACTCAGCTGCTTCGCACACCCCCTCAGACGTTTCAACATAAGTCGACTATTCGGATCGAAGCTCCCGACGGAGTAAGGCCCATGAAGATATAGTCTTCGAATAGCCATAGCGTTGGATATATGCCTCAAATCTGCGTAAAGAGCAGGTAGATTGAGAAAGTGCCAGTTCGAACGGTTTGACAACTCTAACACAAGATGTACATCAGTTTGTGTGTCTACTGCGGTACTCAAGAAAACCAATCTCACCGTGGCTTGGACCTCTCAACAGATATCCCTCTTGTTGGCTGAATGGCGACGAGTGCTCACAATTTGTAGCCATGGTGTCCCAATGCGCAATCTGGGCTGTTGTCCCAACAAAGATATTGCCAACACCCTTGGTCATCACCACTCTTTCCGCAAGTGACAGTGCGAATAAGTGACAATTCTGCTCCCATTTCGTATATGTTTCGAATTGCTCAGAAATGGCCTGAGCTAAACACTCGATCTGTGTCACACTGAACTGAGTCTGCCCAATATTAAATGCAACCATGGGCATGTGCCGATTTTGCGCAACGTGTGCATTCAAACGATGGACATTGTCGCATCGTACCTGCCAATCAATGCACTCAAGCTGAGATTGCAATTGCTCTATCGTAAAACGGTCGATTTGGAAGTGAGGTTTATCTCCCTCGAGGATCAGGTGAAAAAAGGTGCTTTGGGAATAGAGCGACCAGTGTTTGAAAGAAGCTGGCCATGCTACGTGTGGAGTACTAACAAGATACAAGTCGTGTAAAGGTGTTGATGAGGCGCCGTACTGAGCTAAGGCCGAATGCCATCGGATTGCGAATTGCAGCTGGACTAGGTAAACACTTATCGACCAGCCTCCTGGTAGAATCTTAATACGATCCATCAATTGTTGATACTTTTTTCTTTTGTAGTCTTTGCGTAATTTGTCATCGAGTGTGTCCATGTAGTCTTTGAGATCTGTTTGTAAGATGGCCTGGTTGGTAGGGCCGAACTCCATCATGCTCGAGGTGCTGGAAGTCGCCGACATCGCTAACAGGCTGCGAAAACTTTACAAAATGATGGGCGGCAACGTGGATAAGAAGAAGAAAAGCGTGAAGCCGAGTGTTTACCAACTTGTAGCTGTGTTCAGCTCACATTGGCGCCTAAGCGACGGACGCCATCTACCTCACAACACGGCTGACAGCATCCAATCAAAGACGACAAGCAAGCCAGCCTCTATTGTTATTGGTTCAATGATGAATCTGTACAACTTTGATAAAGCCTTTGATTTGATTGTACGACGCGAGGTGAAATCGATTCATGCGGGGGACAGGGTGCTTCCACTAATGAAGGACACGCGCGTTAGACCGGTGAAACCAGCTGGCGTATGCAAAGTGATAGAATAAAGATCTTACAAGCCCCATCTGTGCCACATAGACCTTACGCGACCATTTGCTACACATTCTACCACCTGTTACTGAGCAAGGTTCAGAACACAACCTTGGTATTCCAAGGTTTGGTTATGTGCTTACCTATGTTTCGGCATCGCCACCGTCGCGATGGCCATGCCTCATCCGGGCCTGATTATTATCTTCCCATCTTTAAGCAAACGGATTTGAATGACTACAACCCTAGCACCTATGAGTGTAAAGCAGTCCCAGCCGACATCGAAGCCATCGAAGCCCTACTGTCCTCTCAAACTTCAGACGGTGAAACCAGAGGAACCCGACAAGGAGATCTGTTCGATCACGACGATCACGAATTCTACAGCAGACAGAAAGGACAAGAATTTCCTCAGCGCGCCTACTCCGATAAATTCTTTCAGTCTTCAGAGCAGAATCCAGAGAAATGGTGCGAAATCGGTGTCACGTTCCGCGGACATGCTTCGGTTGTTATACACGACATTACTGGAGCTGATACAGACAAACCGAAAAAATACTTCGAGTATTTAGGCATCGCAAAAGAGGAGCCCCAAAGCTCTCGCGTGGGGGACATCATACGCCTCCATCTCGCACGAAGGCGTGGGGATAACGAATACGACCTGTGGTTCCACCACCCTCGTACCGACGAAGAGTCCGGCCGGTACTACTCCGTTTGTCGCATTCGAACGACAGATAGGATGATCAAATACAACGCTGGTCTGTCATTTCCTCGGTACTACAAGAAAGTCACAAGTGACTGTGCTACGTTTGCACACAATTTCCTTGTCAAGACGCTCGATTGCGTTTATGCTGAAGGCCATATCGAGAAGAAGAGACTTGATAGTATAGTGAAGAATCTGGTTAAGCATAATCATGTCGCAGAAGGTACTGTAGGGGAGACAGAAGTAGTGTCGCGTAGGAATAAGGTCCTTGGTGACACTGGTGGGACGTTGCTAGAGAGTGGCGGGACTTTGGTAGGGAGTTCTTAAATAATGAATCGAGGTAGCAACACCAGTTGCGCTTCTGTAGCTACATCGATTTATATCTTGCGATAGAACATAAAGACTGGCATATGCGTCTGTATAACTTCTACATTGCATTGCTGAAGTTTTGTTTGTTACCTGTAGGAATGCAGACTTTTTTGGGCAGTTGGGTGCTAAGCAGATAAGATGATCACGACTTTGTGGTCGTGATCCGACCTCCCAATGGGCGACCAATGCCCGTTGGAGATATCGTGGACTGCTGGAGGGAACCTCTAGCTATTTGTCGTTTAAAACCTTTCGTGGCTCGCTTCGGCTCGCTCTACAGCCAGCTAATCGTTTCAAGCTAATCGTGTCAGCAGGAAGCGAGGCCCCGCTTTTCTCGTTGCTCATTCGTGGACGGCAGCACAGCTGCCTCGTCGGCTTGTTACACATAAAAAAAAAAGCAGATAAGATAAGCGTCAGAATTCGGAAAGCAGCACTACTCACGTTCTTTACCCAAAAGAGGGGTAAATGACTGCGCCGCAACTGCACGACGTCCGAATCTAGTCTTTACATTTCCGAGGGCTCGTAGCCTTTGTTATTTGCTAAGATTGACAGCCTACTACAACGCGCACAAAGCCAAGATCGACCAGATACACGATGCCCTCCAGTTCTGAGGAGGCGCAAGCCCTCGGCCACGCAGAGTTTTGGGACGAACGGTATGCAAAGGCTGACAGCGACAAGCCAACGCACGAATGGTTCCGCGCATTCAATGAGCTAGAGCCCTTCTTTAAGAAGCATTTGTTCGATAAAGAGAGGGATGAGGGAAAGAATGCCAAAATTCTTCACCTGGGGAGCGGGGACAGTGTAGGTTCTTCCTCACTTCAAGTTTGGAAAGCTGTAGGCTGCACAATAATGTGGACGCAAATATTACCATTATCTCGGTTCATATGTTGTAAACTGAACTACGAGAACCTCCGTCATTTTGCGGCTACGTCTTCATAGGGCTGACTCATTGCTAGACCGTCCCATACGATCTTCTAGAACGAGGTTATACGAATCAGCTCTGCATTGACTTTTCCGCGGTAGTGGTCGATTTGATGAAGTCACGACATCCAGATAAAAGTCAGGTTGAATGGAGAGTCGGCGATGTCCGGGATATGAAAGACATCGATAGCAAGTCCGTAGATGTCGCCTTTGACAAAGGCACTCTAGATGCAATGATCTACGGGAGTCCATGGAGTCCGCCCGAAGAGGTTATGGACAACAGCGGAAGGTATATCAGTGAGGTGAGTGTATAACAGAAGCTCGGGCATATGAGCTTGAACACATGCTGATTTCAACAAGGTCTGGCGGGTCTTGAAAGACGACGGCGTGTTTCTTTATATTACCTATCGGCAACCGCACTTTGTCAAACCGATCCTCAATCGCAAGAATGAGTGGGATCTAGACATGGAAATCATGGGTGGAGGCGACAGTTTCCAGTACTTTGGCTTCATTCTCAAGAAGAACACCTCAGGCCCGAACTGAAAACGTAATCGTCGATGCTATAATTGGTAACGACACAAGTACGTCAAAGAGGCGTTGGGCATGTCTGAACAATCGCGACAGCAGTATCTCTTGGGTCGAAGTATAGGGATTTCAGTTATTACAAAAACGTATTCCAAGAGAGGTACCTAGGTATACACCACCCCATTCTTATCAGCGCACTGACATAAGAAGTAGTGAGTACGTCTAGAGTTCAAGCCTCTCGGATGTAGTCGACTCCTCTGTAGTGCAACGAAACATGGAGAATGCGGGCAAGACGAGATCCGCTCATCGCACTATCCATCTCTTTTCTCTTCCAAACTCTGACGCCTCTCAACTACACAGAGGACACCGCACCGTCTTACGAGACACAACTAATAATTCGTCCTTAGTTACCAGGGTGAACACAGTCGAAGTGGAGCCATCGACGGCATTACACCGTGGTGCAAGACACAGTCGATTTTCCATCTTTGAATCCCGGCGTGCATACAATTGGTGCACTGCTTTCGAAAACCAGCTCAACACTGCCGTTCTTCGCCCCTGTGAATTGTATGTTGGCAGAAACGTTCGCCGAGTTCAAGCCAAGACCAGCCCCTACTGTGAGGACTTCGGGGGTTATGTTGAAGCCACCGCCTAGACCGAAGTCACTGGACCCTGCTGTAAGCCCGCCTATATCGCGCACGTTAGCTAGAGCGAATTGGAAGGCAATGCGAACAACGTACCTCCGTATGATACGCCGGCTTGCCAGTTAATGCCGCAGCCTACGCCGATGTCGCCAAATGGTGTAAGACTACCCGCAGCTGCGACATTGCCGACTCCGCTGGTCGATGTGACGTTTTTTTCTAGGCTCGTAATGTCAACGTCGTTGGCTCTCCGTTGTTGGTTTGGCGCTGCCGATGCTAGCATTTGTATAGCAAGAAAAGATACGGCGAGTTTAGTAAACATTTTGTCGATGACGTTACGCTACAAAGTGCTTGCAAAGAAAGAGAGCCGTTGGATGTTTATAGAGAGGACTGCCGCCAGGCAAGGCTGTGGAAGGTAAACAAGGTTCTATTTGTAGTCGGTGCATATCATGGTTTGATGATCAGGGGCATTGGCATCGTCTCCAGCATCATTTAGGCTATTCGCCAGCTCAGTGCTTCTGATCCAAGTCTTTCTCTATTTCTACTGTGCTACAGCGTGTTCCGGACGATCCGGTAATTGCGATGTCGAGAAAGAACGACCATTCGGACCGGTCCCAGGCCCCCTATCGAGCATCGTAGGCCGTATACCGCGTTAGTAAGACTACTCGGCCCCACATGAATCTGGAAACTTTAATTTGACCGCCGCGCTTACGCATACTATACGGATTCTCCTGCGAGCAGTTTGGAGGTTTCTACTAGATGGAGGGCGAAGATGCAAGCTGAGTTGAGTCTAAACATCATGACTTCGGGGGGATCTCGGAACCTTTCTCAGAAGCGTTGGGCTGTACTCCAGAATCTCACGGGTCCACCCTTGCCGTCAGCACCGCTGACGTAGATCATAGTTCAAACACGGTAGACTAGCTGTGTCAGATTGTGCACAGCCAGATACCGCCACCGTTATATAGGGAATCCCTTCTACAGAGATTGAGCAACGTCCATCTTGTATCCCACATCGTCAAAGATGCTTACCAAATTAGCTCTTGGCCTACTCTTGGGAGTAGTGCACTCAGTTGTTGGCAAAGAGTCGTACGCACCCTACTCGACATCGAAGAACGAATCGCATCTCCATACTCATGATGGAGGGTTCACCCCGGACTTCTATCTCTCTGTCACATACGAAAACCACACTGTAGCATGCCAGCATCGTATGTCTGCGCTGGTAAATGGCACATCTCCTGGACCTATACTGCGTCTCCCGGCGGGAAAGACTAGTTGGGTGCGCGTCTGCAACGATATGGAGGAGTTCAACACAACCATGGTATGACTAATTTCAGACGCTGATACCTGAGATGACTGCGTCTGACACATATCAGCATTGGCATGGCCTTACCCAACGCACAGCGCCTTTCAGTGATGGTTCGCCAGTCAGTCAATGGCCCATTGCACCCAAAAGATGCTTCGACTACGAGATTCACCCTGAATTTGAGGATGCAGGAACCTACTTCTACCACTCTCATATTGGCTTCCAGGCTATCTCTGCCGCTGGACCGCTGATTATTGATGACTTTGGCATTCCTCCATTTGAGTACGATGAAGAGCGTATTGTCTTCCTCCAGGACTATTTCAACAAGACCGACGAGACGATGGAGCACGGACTCGTTGCGACCCCATTTGTTTGGACTGGCGAGACAAACGCAGTACTTCTGAACGGTATCGGTGTAGCTACCGGTGAAACAGCTGGCCAGGGCAACTGCCAACTGCCGGTGATTGATGTGGAGCCCGGAAAGACGTATCGCATGCGCTTTGTTGGTGCAACAGCCATATCCATGGTCTCATTAGGTATAGAGGGTCACTCCGAGCTCGACGTGATCGAGGCAGATGGTCATTATACGAAGCCGTACACTACAGACCACATGATGCTTTCATCTGGACAACGTTTCGATGCACTTCTCAAGACGAAAACGATTGAAGAGCTCGGAAATCAGACCGACTACATTATCCAGTTTGAGACCAAAGATCGGCCCGCCATCTATACTGGGTTCGGTATCCTGCGCTACCCGAGCAATGGACCAAAGATCACTTCTGCGCCCACGGTAGCCCCTCTAACTCTTACCAACGCCACCTACGACTTCCTTGAATATGCTCTCGAGCCATTGGTACCCAACAACTTCCCCCATGCCTCCGAGGTGACTCGTCGCGTTCATGTGAGCAATGTGCAACTCAGGCAGTCCACCACCATCTGGCAGCTCGATGGCCTGAACTGGACCGAAACGAATCCGGCCAACAGCCCCCCATACCTCGTCGACATTTACAAGAACGGCCCTGCGGCGATGCCAAACTACACAGCAGCCATGGAGAATGGCGGCTGGGACCCCTACACGCTGACTTGGCCTGCCAAACTCGGTGAAGTTATCGAGATTATCTTGGAAAATATGGGTAGTCTCGTGGACAACAACGGCGGCTTCGACTTCCATCCCTTTCACCTGCACGGTGCCCACTTCTACGACTGCGGAAGTGGAAATGGGACTTATGATCCTGTTGAGAACGAAAAGAAGCTTGCAAAATACAATCCCGTACAGCGGGATACGACGAACCTGTACCGTTATCGTTCCAAGGGCACGGCAGGAGACGACGAGGGTTGGCGTTGCTGGAGATTGCGTGTCCAGGACGCTGGATGCTGGATGCTTCATTGTCATGTGCTTCAGCATATGATCATGGGAATGCAAAGTGTATGGATTATGGGTGAATGGGAAGATATTGCGCGGATTCCGTACTCGGGTGCGCAGGGATATCTGGACTTTGGGGGTACAGCCTATGGAGGACAGGATATCTCGCCGGTTGCCTACCACTGGAACGAGTAAACTGCTCAAGCTAGAGTTCTGCTTCTTCTTAATCTTCTTCTCTTTAGCTTTTAGAATTTATTCTCCTTAATTGATTCTATCTTGAATTGTGGGTGCTATACTTGTCCCCATTTCTCCACACAGCTGGATTTGTAGATTACATATGGAAGATAGCCTAACCCTCTTTCTCTTCGAGGCCGCTATGATGAGCCAGAATCAGAATCCGAGTCGGTGCTGTTTGTTGACTCTAGCACGTTTCCACCTAGTAAGAGAGAAAAACGTTAGTTTAATGACAACAAGATCATCCTTGCGTAATCAAGGTGCGAGGAAGCATGGAGGAGCTACTTGCGCTGTTGCTTTCGTTCTTGCCTCGCAGTAGTACCTCATTGATGGGCTTAGAAGGATAGATCACACTGGTAGCAAATCACTAGAGATGAGAACTAGTTGAGCTTTGCGGTCGAATCTCTCTTTCGTACTTTTCTACGGTACATGTACACTGGGACTGCGACAATTCCAAACGACAAGCTCGGGAGGCTGATTTGCATCGCTCGCCTCGATGCCTCGCAGCAGCCTGTAGCAAACAGAGCGGTAGTGAGAGAATGCGCTGCGATTCGTGACCAAGCTCTCTGCAGTTGGTATCGAGATGGGCGTATACTCGGGTGACATGCCTTTGGTGTGAAGCCATGGATAGTAAGACCTTTGTTATGATGCTTATCCACGCCACTGCTGCGCGACCGTCCCAGGGCCGCTAGCTTATACTGGAGGAGCAACTGCGTTGGCCTGGAAGATGGTATAGCTATTGATAGAGTAGCCTGCAGCCTTTCCTTCAAGTCTCACCCTTCTTCTCTCCTTGTGCATCGAAGCCGAGGCTTTCTAATTGGCGTATCAGCTCGTTGATTTTGATGACCTTCTCGAACTGCTCTGGGAGCAGCTTGTCGCCCTTGTCTTTCTTGTCCTTCAATTCGCGCGCCTGTCTTAACTTCTTCGTAAGCTTCTTCGCTTCCTTCTCTTTCTCGACCTCGGGGTCAACAACCTTGTCCGCCTCAGGCTTCGCATTCTCCTTCGCCTTGACCTCCACCGACGCTTCCTTTTCCTTCATGTCGGCAGAGGCTCCTTTGCCCTCGTCTTTTCCATCATCCGCTGCGGCTGCAGCCTTTTTTCTAGCTTCCCTCCGCTTGGCATTCTTATTGGCAGCAGGACTCAATGTGCTAGAATTCTCCTCCTTCTTTACCGCTTCTGCACCCGGCACTCCTGCCTTGCCTCTGTTGCGGAAACCCTCGGCGGTACGGTTCTTGTAAAGTTCAACATCCTCTGGTGGGCGGTAGCCTGGGCGAACGCGAATCTCTTTGCGTAGGGAGCCGTCGGGGCGGACAGACGCGGGGATGTGGCGTTCGCCAGTAGCGGAGGTGGTGATGCCGGCTTTTGAGATTGCAGGAGTTTCTACGGAGGGCATGGTGCTGGTTGCGGTTGCCGTGAGGTGGATTGGGGGTAGGATGCGCCGGAGGACGTCAGGCAGTCGCGACAGGCCAGGACGAACCAATCGTTCTAGTGAGACGTCGCCGAGTCGTTGCAGGCGTCGTCCAACAAAGGCGAAAAGTTGAGGCTTTGGGCTGTCGAGAGTGAATCGAATGTCGTGGTGGGGTTGGAGGTAAAGTTCACGTCAAAGCGGAAGGCACGACGCACCAATGAGCGCAGCGGAAATCCCCGTGACGCGAGAGCTTGAATCTTGTCGGCGAACCTCAACCTTTGACACCGTCAGCGAAGCACCTCCACATCACCCTCCACAGTCTACCCAGCCCTCTCGACACGTTCAAAATGTCTGGCGTAAGTGAATTGACCGGTCGACACCACTGAAGGCGCGCTAACGACTCGACGCAGATGCTCGGCAACGTCTACAAGCAAGTCCCTCCTCGCGCATACTCTTCGATCCGACGAGACTAACCATCGGCTGCAGCGCGGTCCTCCGCAGCAACACCACCATGTTGTTCGCCGTCTTTGGCTCCGCCTTCGGTCTGCAACTGTAAGCCACAGCATCCGAAGTGGAACTCGGGGAAAGCAGGGGAGCTGACAAGAGCACAGTGCATTCGACACAGGCTCCGAGAAGATCTGGGACAGCATCAACCGCGGCGTATGTCAGGCTGCTACAATGGACGTGGCATCTGCTAACGTGCACCACAGCGTCAATGGAAGGACATCAAGCAGCGATACATGGAGGCCGCCGAGGACGACGAGTAGCATCTCAGCCATACCACAGTTCGAACATGAAATAGACTCTTCTTTACGGTTCTTTGGAGCGGATACTGTACATTGTGGTGTATACTACAGCATGCGAAATACCAAGGCGACATGTTGACCTTTCTCTATATATGAGATTCCGTGATGAGAGCCTCAGCAGCCAGGTGTCTGATGTAACAGCTCGTGTCGCAACGAGCACATTGTTTGGCCGTCAATGTGATTGTGTTATTGGGCTTGATGGTGAGCCATAAGCCGACATATCTTTTGAGCGGACAAGGCATATGCCGTTCATAGCCCACTTGGGCGGAAGACATTGGGTATAGAGAATGAGGTATCAAGGCAAATCCGCAAGCACATGACAGACTTTGTTATGTTGAGTTCGATTGATGGCCCCGTGAATGTGTCGGGCGACGTATGCCAACGAGTTCCTGCGCGAAAGTAATAGTGAAGCTCGACCGTGGCTGCTTGGTGGCGTCGCGCATGCCTGCCTCGGGGGTCCGCGCTACTTCACGAGGTATGACATAGCGCGAATCTGCTTCTCTCCATTACCACGCAACTCCAGGCTCCGTCCAAACACACGACTCTCACCCTGGTGGCTGGTCCACGCAACCGCTACCAACAAACAATCCTGCCCTTCCAATCACCCTTGTTTACCACCCCGCTTGCCGTCTTCCACCCCCACCATCCCGCCGCGAAAGCTGCACAATGTACATGTCCTTGCACGAGCAGGAACTATGTCGACAGCTGCGCGAACTACCACGACGACACAACTACCGGTTCGAGCTGGCTGCTGACCGAGAGCTGCGCGAAATCCTCTTCCGTTCCCTCGCTGGCCGCGACGACTTGTTATCCTACTTCTTCCCTAATGGACTCCCGACGGACGAGGAGAAGCCATGGAGCCTGCGCGACGCCCAGGGTGCAGTAGAGGGTGCAGAGTATACGGCGGCGGCAAGAGGAAAGCCTTGTGGACACATATTCAAGAATGGCGAGGCTACATATCGGTGTAAGACCTGCAGTGCAGACGACACTTGCGTGCTATGCGCCCGCTGCTTCGATGCATCCGATCATGAGGGACACCAGGTCTTTGTCAGTGTGTCGCCAGGAAACTCTGGCTGCTGCGACTGTGGAGACGACGAGGCCTGGATACGACCAGTCCACTGCAACATACACTCGATAGACCCTGAGCGCGAGTCCAAGGCGGCAGGCAAGGCAAGGCAAGGTTCCATGCTGCCGGATGAACTCGCAGAAACCATCCGCACCACCATCGCACGAACACTCGACTACCTCATCGACGTCTTTTCCTGCTCACCGGAGCAATTGCGCCTGCTCAAGACCGAAGAGTCCATCCGCCAGGACGAGCGCAACTCGCGCCTTACCTCCCGATGGTACGAGGCGGGAGACGAGTCAGAGGCGTGCGATGAGTTCTGTCTCGTGCTGTGGAACGATGAGAAGCATACGGTCAACGACGTCCGGGACCAGGTCGCTCGCGCGTGCAAACAAAAACTCGCCTTTGGCCTAGCAAAGGCCTACGAGATCAACGACGTGGGGCGCAGTGCCATTGTCTATCGGACGGACTTGAACGACCTCCTTCGCATGGCCAAGATCATCGAGGAGATCAAGCTCACTGTAACCATCCGATCCGCGAGGGACACTTTCCGAGAACAGATGGGCGGTGTCCTGATCGAGTGGATACAGGATATTGCAGGCTGCAGCGTTGGAGAGGACAACCAGATACTCCGCCGTACCGTTTGTGAGGAACTCCTGAAGCCATGGCGTATTGGTAGTGAGGCGTCAAACCAAGGCATTGGCAAGAACGGTCTTGACGATCACGAGATGGAGGACAAGGAAGCTGAGATGGACGGCTTCTTCAACGGCATGCTATTACAGCGACGAGCTCGTATCATACGGGTCCAGCGACAGCGAACCACCGATACCAACGATGACACCACTGCCTCGGATGACGACGATGATGACGAGGGCGGACCTGCAGCCGAAACCCAGGATGATATGGATATCGACGAGGTCGGTGCTCAAGACAACGATGGTGACGTGGAAATGGGAGCGTACGAAAGCGCAGATGAGGCGCTCGAAGTGTCTGAAGCGACCATGGCAGGCTACCCTGCTCCTCCTCCACCGCCGCCGCCAGCACCTCAACATCTACAACGAGGTCAGCTTGAACAGAGTGTTACACCAGCCGAGTCAGATAGTGAGCCTATGGTTGGCGCGCCGTCTCTCAGTCATGTCGAGCCAATGCTACCAGTGCCCGAGACACCTCACACTCGTTCATTACCATTGCGGCCAGCACGGCCAGCCAGATACTGGTTAGAGAAGCCTGAGAGTTACGGTAAGAAGCCCGGAACCCCACCTCATGAAGATCTCTGGCAACGTTTGAGACTCGATCACCTGATATTGTATGATTTGCGTATGTGGAAGCAACTGCGTATCGGTATACGCGATGTCTTCATCAGTACCGTGGTCACGATTCCTGAGTTCAAGCGCCTCTTGGGTCTACGATTTGCCGGCGTCTACACTGCTCTGGCACAGCTCTACCTCATTGCCGATCGTGAGCCTGATCACTCCATCATCAACCTTTCTCTGCAGATGTTGACCACTCCATCGATTACCTCCGAGGTTGTTGAACGTGGCAATTTTCTGACAAACCTTATGGCTATTCTCTACACCTTCTTGACCACCCGCCAGGTGGGCTATCCTTCAAATGTCGACCCCAAAGCGACACTAGCTTTCGAGCAAGGAGCTGTGACTAATCGTCGAATGTATCACTTCTTCCTCGATATGAAGTACCTACTGGGCTCCGAGTTTGTTCAAGAGAGGATTCGCGAAGAGCCACGTTATCTGCTACAGTTCCTAGACCTTGTAAAGCTCCATCAAGGTATCTGTCCCAATGTTCGCCAAGTAGGCGAGCATCTCGAATTTGAATCCGAGGCCTGGATCAGTGCTTCTCTAATTACCCGAGAAATCAACAAGCTGTGTAGACACTTTGCAGAGTCTTTCGCCTGGAGACGCGACGAGGATCCAACAAATATCCAACGCGCTATACGTGCAGCCGCCAGGGTAGCCATCATTAATTCTCTAGGCGCTGAACGCAGACGTTTTGACCAGACCGAGCTCAAAGAAGAGACCAAGTTCAAGACGTCACCCGTCTTTGAATTTGACGCCGAAAGTTCTACCTTTTTTGGTCCGTCCTACAAGATTGTCGATTATGTTGTCGCGGCACAGCCAATGAGCTTCCATCACGCTCTCCATTACACTCTGTCCTGGCTTATCGATCGAGCACGAAGCATGGATCGAGAGGATATCAAGCGGTTACTCTTGTTCTCTCCCAACGAACTACAAATGGACCTTGCTCTATCTATTCCTGTGCATCAACCCGAAGATTATTTACTGGCATTGTTCGATTTTCCGCTCCGGGTCTGCTCATGGCTAGCTCAGATGCGTGCAGGCATTTGGGTCCGAAACGGCATCACTCTACGACATCAGATGACGCAGTATCGCAGTGTATCACAGAGAGACGTTTCGCACCAGCGAGACATCTTCCTCTTGCAGTCCGCTCTTGTGTTATGCGATCCGTCAATCTTCTTAGCATCGATGATTGACCGATTCGGATTGAACGGCTGGATGACTGGCAAATACGAAGCTAGCCAACATGGATTCGAAGATAGTCAGGCTATCGATGTAGTTGAAGACTTTGTACACCTACTGATCATCATTCTCAGTGAGCGCACATCATTGATCCCTGCGGAGGATAACGACGAATCTCAACTAGCATCAATGCGCAAAGACATCGCTCATGTGCTGTGCTTCAAGCCACTTTCTTTCTCTGACATGACTGCACGTCTGTCAGACCGAATTCAAAACATGGACGAGTTTCCTGCTGTCTTGTCCGAAATGACCAAATTCCGTGCTCCGGAGGGCTTGTCAGACAGCGGGACGTTTGAATTGAAGGAACAGTACATTGATCTTGTAGATCCTTATCTTCATCAATACAACCGCAACCAAAGGGAGGAAGCAGAGAACATATACAAGACCTACATGGCCAAGAAAACCGGAAAGCAAGCTAGCGACATCGTCTATGAGCCGAAGCTCCGCCAAATCCCCTCAGGCCTGTTCCAAGATTTGTCGGCATTCACCCGAACGCCGCTCTTTACTCAAGTGATATACTACTTGTTGGGCTATGGTTTGAGAGCAGCAGCAGCGACACCAGGCATTCCAGCCACTCGCGTCGAAACCTACATCCAATTTGTCCTACAACTTCTCCTTGTTGCTATTCTTGAGGACAAAACAGGGGAGCATGGATGGTCCGAAAAGACACCTGATTCTTTTGTCACTTCAGTCTTGACTAGAAACGCAAGCATAGGCATATCAGGCCATCCGACTGTTCTATCAATCTTGAAGACCTTACAAGATGCCGAAGCTTTCAAATCATGTGAACCGAAAATAAGTCTGATCCTTCATAGGCTCAAGCAACGCCAACAAGACTCTTTCATTATCGCAGCGGCAGCAATCAACATGCCGGCTGATAGGATGGATACTGCCTCACCTGCACCGCAAGATAAAGAGCACAAGGAGCTCAAGAAGAAGCAGGCACTTGATCGACAGGCAAAGGTTATGGCAGCTTTCAAAGAACAGCAGGGAAAGTTCTTGGCTAACCAGGAGTTTGATTGGGGCGAAGACGACTTCAGCGATCTAGAAGATGAGACAGGTGGACTCGTTGAACAGGAAAAGACTCTCAAATATCCCTCGGGCACGTGTATTTTGTGTCAGGAAGATTGCAACGAACAAAGACTATACGGTTCGTTCGGATACATTTCCGAAAGCAGGATCATGCGGCAAACTCCTCTGCACGATGAGGAGTGGGTGGACGAAATCGTACAAACGCCGAGCAGTCTTGACCGGTCAGCTGAAGATATGCGACCTTTCGGCGTGGCTGGAAGGAACCGTCGCACTGTGGAGAAGGTCACCGCATCAGGCGAGCGCGTCACCAGTGAACGTCAAGAATTGGGAAAAGGATTTCCTCCTCTTTCCGTGACGCCTGGTCCGGTAACTACTGGATGCGGACACATCATGCATTTTGCGTGCTTTGAAGTGTACCTGAATGCTACCCAGAGACGCCACGTCAGTCAAATTGCGCGAAATCACCCTGAGCGGCCCGAGTTGAAGGAATTCATGTGTCCACTCTGCAAAGCTCTTGGTAACATCTTCTTGCCAATCATTTGGAAAGCAAAGAAGGTCTCTAGCACGGGCGTTCTTGAAACGAAACAACCTTTCGAGGAGTGGCTAGAATCGCAACTAGTTGCGATCCACAAGAGCCTTGAAAAAGGTTTAAAGGCCCCTGCGGACTTATCTCATGATCAGAAGATGCTCTATGAATATGCGGAACGAGACTTTATCCAGCCTATATCTAGTCGCTTGCCTGATCTGCTCAAGCCATCGCTACCTTCAACTGGCCTTGCTCTATCCCAACCAGGACAGCTCGCACCTCGGTTCCAGGTCCCGGCGTTCTTAGGTGTACAGCCTCCGGAGGTCGCCGAAGCTGGATTAGGGTCCTCTCAGAACAGCCCAGCTTTGACGCAAGATGTTCCAATGGGAGAACTGATCAAGATATACCATAGGTTGAGAGAGACGTTGAAGGTCAACAACGTTCACTCCTCGTTTGCGTATGCGCATACACCCGCCATGACGAACGATTTCACACATACAGATGCGCTTGCTCAGGCTCTTGGTTATTCTATTACTGCCGCCGAGATCGCGCAGCGAGGTGTGCAATCTGAGTCGGTGCGTGGTACTCTGATCGATAAGATCTCTCCACAAGCCGTGACCCATCTCCGCGTGTTTTCTGAGACAGTCTCTTCGTACATTGCCATCGGAAGCTTGCGAGGCCAGGGCCCAAATAAGACTATGGATGAGTTTTCAGAGACCCAGCGTCGTCAATTCCGCCAGCTATTAGTTGGACATCCAGGTATCTCTGATCCAGAAGTGTTGAGCTTCGACCTGAAAGGTATCGCACCGCTACTGTGCCAAGACCCGTTCATCTTCCTCTCAGAATGCGCTGTTGGAGTTGTGCCAGCCACCAATCTCGACATCCATCATATTATGCGACTCTGTTACCTTGCTGAGATCGTCCGAGTAGTCTTCGTCTTCGCGCTCGGTGTGAAGAACCAGTCGGCTGAGGATATGTCGAATCGAGAACTTCTCTTTCCCCATCCGGAACAGTTCATCAACACAAATGTAGTCGCTACCGGCATGTCTGAAGAACAGATGAGCAATTTACTTTGCTTTGTCTGCGTGATCTCCAACGTCACTAGTCAGGGCGACTCTCCCGCCTCATTTGACATCAACAACCTGCCCATTCCAGATCGTTACAAGGACCCCAACTTCCTTTACTTCATACATACTATGGTCTCGACGTACGCTCTACCGTTCGTCCGCAAAGCCGCTATCCTCATGCACGTGCGATACGGTGTCGACCTTCCACATGTCGCCGCCGAACGCGCCGACGAGCCTGAACTTGCGCGCCTTTCTTCGATCCTCCGGCTGCCATCACTCTCCGAAATATTCGCATCCTTCGCAGCGCCTACATCGGCAGGCAACACAACACGCTCTATCGTCGGAGGCTGGATCCGACATCTCCTCTGGGTAAGCAAAATTTGTGCCCGAATTGTACATGAGGCAAGCACTGACTATATGCACCAATTTCTAGGCACAAGCAGGCAATAATCCACTCAAGCCGACCGTATCACTGTCGCATCCAGCAATCTTTGAACTTGTCGGCCTACCAAAGAACTATGATACCCTGACTGATGAGGCAATACGTCGCCGCTGCCCGACAACAGGCAAGGAATTGACCGACCCTGCGCTCTGTCTCTTCTGCGGTGAGATCATGTGTAGTCAAGCCGTATGCTGCATGACCAACAAGAATCGTGGAGGATGTAATCAACACTTAGCCAAGTACGTCATTTCATTCCATCTCCACCAGAAGACAGCTCATTGTGCGGGTGGTCAGTGTCTACACGCACAGCGCGTGAAGCTGTAAAAGTCAGCAAATGACATCACGCTCAGCCATGACTATTCTCCTATATTATGTAGGACTTCATACTGACAATTTCCACAGATGCGGCGGCCAGATCGGCCTCTTTATACATATCCGCAAATGCATGATTCTCTTCCTCAACCTTGACCACGGTACCTGGCATGTCGCTCCTTACCTCGATAAGCATGGTGAGGTCGACCCAGCGTTACGCCGCCATCACCAACTGTTCCTGAACCAGAAGCGGTACGATGCGCTGCTAAGGAAAGTCTGGCTTGAGGGCGGTGTGCAGAGTCTCATTGCTAGGAGGCTGGAGGGTGACGTGAATAATGGAGGGTGGGAGAGTTTGTAGATTTGGATTCTCGCGAGAAGGCGAATCATACTTCACGTGGGTGGGAGCTTGTCCTTTTCATGATTGTATGAATAGCTAGTGGGCGTTATGGAGACCGACACTTGAAGAATTGACGAGATCTTTTGTATGTTACACACTGTTTTATAAATGATGGTGCTACAACAAGACTTTCGCACGTTTGTTATGATCGTGTTCGGTATGCTCATTGCCTGTGCGTGAATGCTGGTCATTGTCTTCACTCGCTGAATCTCTTTGTTCCAATAATATAGTATCCTCGCCGTTTTCTGCAGAAGCTGTTGCTGCGGAAGTTCCACCCGCTTCCGAATTCACACCTTCGACGAGTGGTATATCTTCTGACGTGATCTGTTCCGAGTGGGCTCCAGACGTTTGTGTATCCGCGGCTTCCCCCTGCGACTCGGTGTCTCTCCAAGCTCTCTTCTCCGGTGGAAGCATCCTTCTAGCAAGCGTATTGTTCGTTCTCTTCTCTTCGCCCTTGATACCTAGTCTCTGCGCAATGATATCTCTCCACGTAGCGAGCTTCTGTAGACCATCAACAAACATTTCCATGCCGTATACTAGCGACATCTCTTTTCCTAATTCAGCTCTTCTTGCTTGATTGTGTTCTTTAATTATGGCATTCAGGAGCCCCAGAATATCTGTATCAAATTCAATGGCATTGTCATCCATTTCGGTGAGCAGCGTATTGATGGCGGTGTAAGAGGATTGCTGAATCCATGCTGCGCGTATGAGATGTTTGTATAGCGTCGTCGTAGCGCCGAGAGCGTGGGAAGAGCGACCTAGTTTCTTGATCGTGGGTAGGATGGAGAAGGGTAAGGGTGAAGACGGGAAGTCGGTACGAAGAGTCGAGATGGCGGTTATGAGATGATGTGGATAGTTCTGGAAGAGAATGCGCGCATCGGTGGAGGGAGGGCCGGGTTTGGGGCCACCCTTCGGTTTGGAGGCTGATCCTTTGACGCCTCCGTTGCTGGCGTTATCGAGGTCTAGCTCACGCACTTTGTCGAAGACTTCGCGCTCGAGGGTTTGCCAGAGGGCGCGATCGGTAGAGGCGTTGCGTATGAGTGCATCGATACGTTCTCGTTCGGCTAGGCGCATTTCCTTGAATTTTGCCGCGTCCACATTGGTACCTTTCCTCTTGCCAACCCGCACCTTGGCCAACTCGGTGTGTGGGGTGTTTTCCTTTGCCGGCTGAGGCCTCGTCTTGGACCTTTGGAGGACTGTACGCGATGCACGCATGCGCGCTTCGCCTTTCAAGACTTGGTCGAAGACGTCGTCCAGAGACGGCTTGGAATTATCTTCATCATCTTCATAGTACTCGTCTGCTATCTGATCAAGTTCTACGACATGATCCTTCTCCTTCTGCTGACGCCCTTCAGTATTGAATTTTCTGTACAACTTCTGGAACGCGGCTCGCTCGGTGTTCGTTATAGTCGTCTTCCTGGGAGGTTCTTGATCGATAGCAGGGGGCAAATTTTCATCTTCGAAGGGAACGTCCTCTGTGTCGTACGGGCGCGATGGTGAGGTGATGTTGCGGCGAGCAATTGATCGCGTGGCGGCCTGCCATTGCTGGATCGTGGGTGTTTGGTAAAGAAACGGAAGGAGCGTCTTAGTTGCTGGAAGGCGAGAGCGTGACAATGCTCTGGCTGAATTGGAGCATATAGACATGGACGAAATGGCCGCACAACCGTTGCAAGCCGCAGACAACACGAAAATGACCACGAACACACGATGATGCAGCCCGCCGTCCGAGTCCCAAATCTTTTGAGATCGCCGCGGCCTAGTGGTGGTCTGAGCTCAGCTTACCGCATTAGGCAACTTACAAAATCCATCGAAAACCGTGGCACGCAGTGTGAAAGCAACGAAACCTCAAAGTACTGACAACAATAAGATGAATGCTCATTGGCGGAGCTCAACATCCTACTGTATCGGGCAGGAAATGAGGTCCGTGGATTGCAGCACGTGCGAAGGCCACCCAAATTCCAAGTCAAAGAGGGATACTTCATTGGTTCAACACGCAACACTCCACTTCCGGTAAGAAAATACAGAATCATCGATCACATTAGCAGGCAGCCCATTGCTGGGAACTGGCACCAGATAAGCGTGCCAGTGTGGCTGAGCTCGATATGTCGTATAGGGTAAGAGCTTGGAAACCCGTCAAAGGCAGCAGGATTAGGAATCTCAGTGTCAATCACTGCCGAGCGACGAAGACCAACATACCGTATCTGGTAAGTCGCAGAAATCCCGTCGAAAGCGGTGATTACTAGGAACCAATCCCTAAGGGACAACGCTCACTGGCGGAGTTTTGAGCTGAGTGACAAGGCATGAATCTGCAATGAATAGAAGAGATTGCGCCCCACTCGTTCAGTACATACTCGGTGCTGCCCATGAGCCGCTGTGAAAGTCCTCGTGCCAGCGATCGTTAGTGTCGTTATACTTTTGCGCAATATATGGGCAGCCAGATATGTAGTGTCATCTCAAAAAACTTCCTTCTTCCGTGTCTGACGCATAAGATGTGCTAGTATCAGCGATCACTTGTTGCGTATCACTTTGTCATTTGCAGTAATTCTATAGTATTGTATGTAGCGCACAGAAGTCTAAATGAACATGAACAAACTTCAGAAGAAATTCACTCCGCTATGCGAAAGGCGATTGGCCAGATCAACAAGTCCAACAAAAGAAAATAACAACGACCCACGTTTCCAAAGCGATCTCATGACGTCGTAGGGGGTGCCCGTGTTGGCAATCCTTTACCGATGCGACCAATCTGTTCTGAGTAGAAAGCACTCTCAGCTCCAGCCCCTATGGCTTTGATTGGAATCTTGCTGACCAACCAACTCGGCTTCACAGCGTCCAGCCTCAGGACTACATCACCACCCGCGGCCTCCTCTTTCAACAGTTTGTTTGCCCAGTTCGCATCCACAGCAGCCGGTCGCGCCACACCGATCAAGTCACAGGCGTTCTCCTCGAGCGCTGCGTGCATACCAGACAAACTGCGGAAACCACCTGTGACCATCAGGACCACATCTGGGAACCTCTGCCTGACTATCCTCGCGAAATCAAGGAAAAAGGCTTCACGTTTTGCCGTGCGTTCTGAGACTGGCTTCTCACCCGGTGCAGGCTCGTCACCCTTCATCATTCTTGGGTTCTCATACGATCCACCGCTAATCTCGAGGAAATCAATGCCGGTGGCCCTGAGGCGTTCGATTTGTTGCATGAGCTCTTCGATATCGCTCTTTTGTGCAAGATCCGCCGAGTTGAGCTTGATGCCAACGGTGAAAGTAGACGGAACGACAGCGCGGATTGCTTGGATAATGTCGAGAACGATACGAACGCGGTTGAATGCCGAACCGCCATAATCGTCTGTACGTTTGTTGGTGTTTGGGGCCATGAAGATGCTCAGCAGATATCCATGTGCAGCGTGTAGTTCTACGCCATCGAATCCGTTCTCACTCAGGAACTTGGCTGCTTCGGCATGCTTCGTTACGACATCTTCAATCTCTGCAACTGTCATCTCTCGCGGAGTACCGAAGAGGATCTTTTGTGCAGTACGTGCCCAGATGTTGTCCTCGAACTTCAATGGAATGGGGCTGGGTGCAATATTCTTCTCGAAAAGACCTTTGCTACCAGCTCCAAGAGGGCTTTGGCGGCCGGGGTGATTTAGTTGAACGATAGCTGGGGCACCTTCGACACGGCATGCCTCTGCGTATCTGCGCCATTGGGCAATGACTTTCGGATCAGTAGTGGGATTGATTGAGACGTCGAGGGCGTTTCCAAGCCAGCGCTCATCGATCATCACATTGCCTTTGAGAGTAAGTATTGAAACCGGTCATTTGGTAGAGGTAAATCTGTACCTGTTATAATACCACCCCATCCTCCTTTTCCCCATGCTTTGTAGGCAGACAGGAGTGGGTCTGTTGGATCGTGAGACTTTGACATGTTCTCTGCCATCGCTGCCTGTAAGAGTGTCAGGAACATCATCGCACTGCGCTTGGTCTGTCGTTACTGACCTTGAGTAGCCGGTTTTTGAAGACCAGACCGGATGGCAATGTTACCGGATCACGTAGTTGGCGGCTATTCTGCATCTTGGATGTGTATATGGGAGACTGTCAGAAGGCGTGTTGCATAAACTTGAGTTTTCGTCTGATGTTGGTGTTGAGTGATGTGATCTCTGAATTCGACTTTGATCTGGATATCTTGGTAACTCCAATATTGGTTCTTGTACTTTTTCTGTAGTTATGCCTATGATGTTGGTGTCGGTGTTGAAGGTGATATCATTCTTTACTTTCGAGCACCTGTAGACTAATATACAAGTACATTCCTCTACTCAAAGCTGCGGTATAACATACAGCCCTTCGGGATGAAGTTCAAAGGGTTTACTGATCGCGGACGACTTTCGGCGGGAGGACCTAGGCTAATTTCAAAGTATAGGAAACGAATTGCTAGGCCGCCTTGGTCCACTAAAAGGTAGGCGACGTTTCGGTCCGATAATCAAGGAAAGCTCGAGGCTCGACGAGCTCGGGACATTTCGAGAGAATTGGCCGTACGCTGACGCGACCTTCTTTTTCGGCACGTTCTTTTCTGGCTCGACGGCTGATGAGTGTGATTTCCTGCGACTTGATCTGGCTGCCATGTGACTGTTGGAAGGCGAAATCCGCACGCCTTTGACAGGCGGACGAGGTCCGTGCTAGGGAAAACCAGTACTTGATCGGAGCAATGTTCCTTCGGTGGATTACTCAACACAGGAAAACAGAGACGCGACTACAAACTCAAACAACACGACACAAAAAAGACTAGAGCTTTCTTATCAAATTAGCCATCAAGGAAGACTGATGCAGCGACCAGGAACCAGAGCGAACGTGCCTGAACAGCGCTGAGTAAGGGGAAGCTAGTCGGTCTGGAGCTGTCGCCCTTCTTAAAGCAGGCATGCGCCTCGCCTGGCTGTCGAAGGTACGGTATCACCACAACCACCGCCGACGGAGAACACACAAATGATCAGTTACGGTTCATGGTTCATGGAGAGCGAGTGCGCAGCTGAGGCCGCAAGTAGTACGAGCATCATAATGCCAATGCCTGGATAATATCACAAGAGAGAGCGGGAGTTTTAGAGGCTGCGCTTCAACAGGCTTCGGCGCCTTCTATGTACCAGCACCTCAGCTGGACAGCCACGTCTAACAACCAGCTCGGCTTCCGACGCCACCTGTTCCCTTACTCCGCGTCGGCACACCTACCCACACGCAGACCTGTATCACAGCTTACAACACCGAGCTGTTGCTGACGCCATGAGAAGACATGCATCAACGCTACCCAGATACCTGCACAAGGGACTCTACGTTCTACTATATAGTTCAGATATGCCTGTACGCCATTGCTCGATCATTATAACGGTATGAATGTATCTAGCAGTAATTCGATGTTGCAGTTGATACAGTGCTGGCCAGAACCCTCAGCTCGTTCAGCCTCACGCCCCCTTACTCATTTGTGGATCACCAATCGGTGTAAGATAAGCGGGACCATCCTACCAACAATACACTCAGCTTACGCAGGATCTCAATATAATGGCTTTCTTCCCACCTTCAGAGACAGGCTGCAGTAAGCTAAGCTCACGCAACTACTTACATCTCCATTCGAAGCCGAATATGATGGTAGGTATTAATGCCGCAAGGCTGTTGTCTTTAGATTCCTCTCCAACACCTGCTACGCGCTTCGCAAACATGTTCACAAATCGCATTAGAAACGACAATCGGATGACGGAACACGATGCGATGCAACTGGGGTTTACCCAATCTACAGCGCCGACGTCTTCGTTCAACCGTCTACCCAGCGAAATCGTCCTGGACATTTGCAACCGCTTATCCCCATCTGAGCTCTGGTTCAATGCGCGCCCTATTTCCCGTCAATTCTATAGCTGCGCTAATGAGGTGCTACTACGGAAATGCTTCTATCAAGAGCAGGTCCGCTTTTCTTGGTGCTGTTTTTGGTGCAGCCTTGGACGCTCCCCCTTGGATGCCACAACGAGGACCATCGCTTCACTGTTTGGCGACGCAAGGAAGCTGCGCATACAGTGTATCAGCGACCAAGCTTTGCTCGCCAAGCTGGCCTTTGGGGAACTGTGCAGCACGGTTGTGAGGGCAGAGCAAAAGATCTATGTGTCTATTGGTAATGGCAGCGATGAGGTTGCGATGACTGCTATGGAATGGCAGAGACGCATGGAATGTCTGCCCAAGGATCTACAAGAGCGCCGGTATGACTTTCTGGTATTCTATTTTGCTCGACTGGGGAGGAAATCAAAGACTTGGCATATCGCAGCAGGCCTTTCATCTGTTGTGCATGTGCTGGGCTTCATTGTGGTGGGTGTGGTCATCACGGTCGTCATGGCCGTCGCCCTGTTTGTTTTCTGCATCATCTGGGAAACGGTGAAAGTGGTCAAGAGCTTTTGGGCATTCCTGGATGGACTGATAGATATGTGCTTGCCGGATCGATTCATGCGAGACTAACCAGCACAACGACGATCCGATTACGCGACCATGTATAAGAGCTCAAGCACTTCTTGGTCTATTTACTTGACTATAGCTTCTAAACACCAAGTGATTGAGTGCTGGAGTGGTTGAGAGGGGATCTGGCTGGCTAGATGATCAGGAACATGGTACTCCTGCCCCGTTCCGTGTAACCAACCCACGGCTCGTCGCAACAGGCGTCAGCGTTCTCCAGAGACCCAGTTGGACAAGGCAGCGCAGAAACATCATTATCGGCCCCTCCTGCAGAGCGGATCAGGACAGTGTTGCTATGAGAACGTTGGTTGATGATTGAGCCGTTTATTTGCCTCGAGAGCATCTTCCACGAATATTCTCACAAGCGGCCACGTTTTACAATTTCGAACCAACACCTTACCTAAGACGACCTTGCGAGTCAGTATTGTCAGCCTTTACCTCAACCATGGCCGTGGATAAGCGCGAAACTCGGCTTCGTCGCTGGGCGAGGAAACTCGGCGGCTGTATGCGAATCCACCATCCGCATCGCAAGTACAAATCTGCTAGTTATATAGATATGGAGAAAATACTTCCATCACCTGTACACCACATCGAATTCCAGCACACGCAACGCAATGGGCTCATCGGTCGAAGAGAACAACCTCCGAAGAACGAGATCAATAGGGGCTCCAGGACATGGGATGCACACCCTAAACGGGCTTTGCCTTCGCCAGGAAGACTCAGAGTAGACACGCTGCAAGACCATCCGGTTGACGAGACGATTCGAATAGTAAACCCGAGCGTAAGCTCGCTTGTGGCAGGACGACATGATATTCAGACACCAAGGTTTGCCGGAAAGGTATCCAAGCAACCTCTCAGCGAGCCACAGACCCATGTGGCAAACGAGCGGTTCCAGCTCCAGGGTCCCCCCACCGTCCTGACATGGCGAGAGTCATTTGAGATCCAGCGGGTTTTGAGACGAGAATTGCCTCAACCTCCCTCTGACAGATATGACTCTGCAGTAAACGTGACCATTCGACCCCTAAACGCTCGCAAACATCAAGCCCAAAAGCCATACTGTCCTTCTGGGCTGGGAAAACCGGCCGCAGTGCCTGTCCAGCCCAAACCGACAAACGATGTCCGGACTTACTACCGACCGTCAGGCCATTCTATAACCACCATATCTACAAAAGACAAGGAGGCGATTCGAGATTGGAAGCACGACTGGGACAAGCCTCTTCAGCACCGCGCTGGAGGCTCGAAGGCCATCTGGAAGACAGCCTCAGAGCGGCTTCTGCTGCGTAACAAAGACAGTATACGACGCTTGGATGCCGAGAGAGCGATAATGGAGCAGATGGCTGCGAGGATGGAACTGGAGAAGAGGCAACAACCCCAGATGAGAAGCATTCAGAGCATTGAAGAAATGGCCGAAGAAGATAAGAGAGTGAACGAGGAATGGAACGGTAAGTCTAACACGGCCACGTCAGACTAGTTCAACTAGTGTGAGGAATGATGATGCTAACCTCGTGTGTGTTCCAGGTATTGCAACCCAACTTGCCTCTGATGCGCGGAGCCCTGGTGTCCAGGAAGTCAGGTCCATCTCATTCCGCCACCAACGACATCCAATTGCAAGTGGTCGGCGATAGACTGCTGCGGATTACGGGAGGCAGCCAGACAACTCGCGAGAAGCTACAAACCCCACCTAAACTTGTTGACAAAGAACAACAACCGACTCCAAGGTCAACAAGAGTACTGCAGGCACACAGGACATTGGTATGGTCAAAGGGCCGCACTCGACTGGATCGGGCATGGCAATGTAAAGTTTTACATGGCGGTCAAGAAGGCAGCTAACTCTGCCAAGCAGATTGAGGGATCAGAGAAGTGGTGTGGGAACTCTTGGTATCATGCGTTGTTGAAGGGAGTTTGCGAGCGATTGTTACAATCTGTGCGATCCTTATGCGCACGAACATTGTCGGTCCATACACAACTCCAATGCTTTTTTGGTCTAGTGAATAGTAATCAGTTACGAGATAACGGTGTGTTGAAGCTCGTTTTCTTTGGAGAGGGTATGTCCACGCTAGCTCTGGTATGACCGAATATTCCAAAAAGAAAACATGCATGCGGCTTTTCCTTACTTGCCGGCCTCGAGAGGCCCTGCCTTAGTCCGCGGAGGGCGACCGAAGAGGAGGACCACGAGATCTGTTACCATGGTACGGTGAGGAGTAGTCGGGCACGTACCTGGGAGTGGCACCTAAACAAGGTATCGTAATTGTTGTGTTTTAAGGAGAGTTTGGTCGCCCGCTGGAAGAAGCAAAACCTGCATGGCATTATCTGCACTGCATCGAGATTTATGGCGTGTTGGCCATCTTCAAAGCCAACATCGCCTCTCTTATGCGAACTTTCGCATCCAGTTTCAGCATGCTCTGCCATTCATTCTTGAAGACTTTCAGCTCTAATGGAGCCGACCACGAATTTCCAGATCATTTCTGCAACATGTGCCGACGCACCACGGAATCAACCCCGTCACAAACCTCCAATGCTTGCGGATCAGGAACGGCAACATCATATGGAAGTCCAATGTGTCATCTGCCTCACACGGTTGTGAACTCGAACCTTGGTTCTCGACATGATACTTTTCGACTACAATTCAACCGATTCTTGGTCGAGGACCCGTCCATTGCAGTTTTTTCGGTCGGGCAAGAAGCACCCATCTCTGGTTTTTGGCAGGACGAGGACCGCAGAGGCTGCTACGGGCTCAGTCTTGCATATGGGTGGGCGCAAATCTTCGCCGCGCCGCGTTCTCGATGCAACGTGACAATGAGTGTTGGACGTCACTGGACACTTGGGGTGTCGAGCGAGGCGATCCGGTATTGGAGCGTTCAAGACGGGGTCATACTAGTGGATTGGGGTCAGCTCTACGAAAGTTACTTTAAGCAAGTGGAGAAGACAAAGGACCGGCAAAGACCCGGAAGATTCCCAGGACGGAGTAGTGGACATGATGAAGAGACTCTGCCCGACCGGCCTAGGGAACGAGTAACACGAGTCCGTTCCGATCCTGCGACAGCGCGATCAACAGCTCACGAGATTGGCGCACGTTTCAGCAACGGCTTAAGGGTTGTGCGAGATGCAATTAGAAGTCGTGTTGGTGAAGGAGGATCGAAGACATCAGGGTCGGAGAGAATCGCGCTTGCGCGTGTTCCCATACTGTGGACAAACCCAAGTTATCAAAGGCTACGATAACGTATAATTGAGCACCGGTAGATATGATAGAGTTCAGGAATGAGAATGTCGCTGATGTTATCGCGAGATTGATGACGTCTGTGTAAACTGAGACGCGTGACGCGTGAACGTCGTCCCGTTTTAGCGACAAAAAAAGTACAAACCCCGCTGCTGCCCCGCCGAGCATTTCACAACACTTCACTACCAAATTCATTTTCCCAAAATCGCCAATATGTCAGTCTGTGTAATTTGCGAAAAGCCCTTGGAAGTAGAAATCGAGCGCGACGAGGACGAAGAATATGAGGGTGGAGCGTCATCATCTGGCAAAGGCCCTGCGGCGGCACCAGAAACATACCCCGATGACGTCCAATTAACCTGTGGATGCCACTTCCACTGGTATGCAGCTTTCCTATCAGTCGATGGTGTGCTGCCACTGACGCGCATTGCATAGGGATTGTCTTCTCTCCGCCTACGAAATAACCTCGTGTCCACACTGCGGCAAAGAAATCTCCACCACAGGCGACGGCACGCAAAAGGTTCTCTGCAGACTCAACAACGAAGGCGGAATTCAAGAGAACCTCGATATCTTACCCCTTCTTACCGAAGAGTCATACCTAAAAGCCTATCCCGAAGACAGGAAAGCCCGCGCATTCCTTGAGTTCTGTCGCGAAGGCGACTACAAAGCTGTGGTCGATCTACTGCTTGACGATTCGGAAGACGACGATGAGGATGAAGAGGGCGACGTCGAAATGAGCACCACAGACAATGCAGAGAAGGAGGTGGGTATCGATAGGATGTTGAGGTATCAAGATCCGATTGGGGATATGCAGTCGGGTCTACATGCGGCGGTACATGCGCAGAGTAGGGAAGTGGCTTGGTTGTTACTGCTTCTCGCGAGTAACTACCCGTTGTTGGACTTCCCCACGCAGGTTTTCCAGGAGGCAGAAGCTATGGGCATCATGAGGGGGCTTACAGAGGACAAGGTCGACATTCGGAGTTTGAGGGATGCGAATGGCAGGACTGCGGAAGACATCGCAAAGGAGGTTGGTGGGGTGTGGGTAGGATGGACCGACAACAACCGGTTGGCGATTTGAGGTTCATGACAGGGCGTACAACCCACAAGCGGTAGTATAATCTCGGTTCTTGTATGGAGGATTACATCTTTCTAGAGAAGGAGCGCACAGCAAAGCCCTTGGAGAAGTCGAGAAGCAGTTGGCCGGCCTGCGTCACCGGATCCAACTCATACGACATTCAGGTGCTCAAAAAGAGAAAGCCGCAGATTTGAGAGACGCGTCTATTCGGCCATAGAGGCTCGTTCAATCTTATCTGCTAGGGCATGTTCACCTTTTCATGTTTGCGACCAAGCACAACAGCATTTCACACAAAAGAGAGAGAATTTACACGATCTGCACGTCATTCTATGCGTACTTCTTATGACACATTCACAAGAAGAATCATCCTTGATGCTCATTCGAAGCTACCGCCACCACCACAGCGACAAAAAGAATGCGCTGAAGACGTTTGCCAGAGCACAAACGTGCAAAAAGAATGGTTCGAAGAATCCCGAGCAAGCTCAGGCACGTTGTCCCCTTCGTGGATCGAACACGATACCTCCAGATTTAGTGACTGAGACTTCAGTCTGGCGCTCTCCCAATTGAGCTAAGGAGACGGTTGTGGGATTTGTTGGAAGGATTTTCTGTCAAGCTATTTAAGTACTCTGTAGCCATACCAGTCACGGCAACTGCCTGACCACATTGAAAAGGTGAAATCCAAGGTGTCGCTGCGTCTTGAAAATCTTGTCCAAGAGTAGAGTGCGTTGGTGGGGTGAAAGCGGGGTTGGTTTTGAGGGCTAGACTCTGCCAGACTTGAGGGCATGGCACTTAATATACCAGAACAGGCACTTAGAAAGTGGGGGCATTGAATCCCCGTTTTGCTACAATTGACGATTGTCTTCCAGTCTACTGTAGTGGTCCAGTGAATGTGCGCCTGTAATCAATAGTCGCAGGTTGAAGATGCACATTACGGGCTTTTGCCAATAGGTGTAAAACAACTTCCAACTAATTCGGAAGATGTATTTCTAGGCTCGTGGGTTTTGACGTGTTCAGTACTAGATTGCACTTTTGTTAGTCCGCAGAATAGATGATCACGCCTCATAAATGAACATGAGCGGTACAAGTATGTGAGTATCCCAGAGTCGGATCGTCGATATATCACTCATCTACGCCTGTGTATCATGTACTATCAACTCGCCCTGAATCGCCATCCCCGTTGCCAACTCCTCACTCCTCGCTCGTGGTATCTCATGCTCATGTAAATAGCAAACTTCGTCGCATCGGCCGTTATCCTTCTTCGCTCGTTGATCCGCTCGTTCGCTCGAAGGTTGGATGACTTATTTTACAACACCCTCGTCTTCGTTGAAGCAGACAGCAAAATCCTTGCTGTGCTTGTTGGTTGCGTGGTCGGTAAGCATCTTACGGCTCGTAGTGCCCTGGAAGGTCTGGAAGCAGGTCTTGCACTTGATTGTCTGGGCAGCAGCGTTCTAGCGTTACGTTAGCAACTTGACTTGTAACCGTCGGTCAAATGTGAAGTCGCAAAGTTGCAAGATCGCGCAAGCAGGTGGGGTTACATACGGCTTTCAGTTGGCTCTTTGCCTCCTTTGGGCCGGCATCGCCTGCAGTTTTGGAGCACAAAATTAGTGTCTGTCTCACATGTCGTTGGCACATACTAGAATGCTAACCCTTCCTGTCGCGTTTCTGCTGTGCTCTGGCAAGAATGTTAGCAAATGTTCGCGCGCATGAAGGCACATGTGGAATTGCTTACTTGGCTCCGTTACCCATCTTGTAGTTTGCTGGTAATCAGTTGCTGAGTGTGAGCGGATATGTGTATGTCGAAAGCGATCAAAGTTTTTGATTTACTTAAGTGAAGGCTGACGGTCCTGAGAGATTATTTGCGGCAGCGGGGAGGGTCCAGGCCGTTGGTTGGAAAGGCGGTGTTGGCATCTCCGGCGTTAAGCGATAAAGGGTTAGCTTTCCGCGCAATCATGTGAATGAATCTTCCACGCCACTAAGTTCTTCTCAACAACAACCCAGCGATGGAACCATTGTCGCTCGCGTCAATTGATTCAGAGCGTGTCCACGCTGATGTGATTCGGTGGCAGCGAATTGCGAAGCTACGCTTTGTGACGCGTGAAAACTCGTCACACGCTTCGTGTTTCGGCAACAGACGCGTGCTGTGGAGTGTTGTGCCCTGCAAAACCAGCAGCCGAAAATGGTGACTATCCAGATAGTCACCATGAACGTTGGGTGTTGCGAACAGGTAGCACGTCCTGTCTCGCCTGTGCAGTACATATGTCTGAAAGACCCAGCAACATAGGTAGTATATTTCGTAAGATCTATGTACTATTCTTCTTCACTGTGTCGGCTTTCCGTCCCAAGGTCCCACGTCTTCCGTTCTTTTCCTTGAGCATCGCACAACCTTTCGTTCGCGATCCAGCCAGGTGCTCGGTATTACCCTCGTCCTCTAGTCCTAGTCCTGCCTTCTTTATCGTAACTTCTTTCCCGAATACCTCCTATCACCTACGCTGTCATTCCATCCTCAACGTCATGGCTCATAGCCACAACAACGACGAGTCGGCACGTGACCACAAGCATAGTCGCTTCCAAGTCCACCGAAAGACCCGTCTTAGAGCTGTCATAGCCATATCCTTCTGCTTCTTCGCGGCTGAAATATCTGTGGGCTTCTACACCAAATCATTGGCTCTCGTTGCTGATGCATTCCACTATGTGCGTCTTGCGTCACTTCATATACCCGCGTTACACTTTCCTTGCAACCAAGCACTAACACCTATCGTAGCTGAATGACCTTATCGGCTTCATCGTAGCCTTAGTGGCCGTTCAGGTGACGGACCGCAAGACCTCGCCTCCGGATCTATCCTTCGGCTGGGCGCGGGCTTCACTTCTCGGTGCCTTCTTCAACGGCTCTTTTTTATTTGCCTTGGGAATCAGCATTGCTCTCCAATCGATCGAACGCTTCATCTCCATTGAGCGAGTCCAAAATCCCAAGCTAGTGTTGATTATAGGATGCGTAGGATTGTTTCTCAATATCGTCAGCGCGTTGTTCCTGCATGAGCATGATCACGACCATGGCTCTGCGGGTAACGGCGACGAAGAGAGCATATCAACTACACCCACACATGAGAACCACTTGCATTTGACCGCGACGCCAAAAAGGCATGGCATGGATCTGGGTATCCTTGGTGTTCTCATTCATGTTATTGGCGACGCGATCAACAACATTGGTGTTATCATCTCAGCAGTGATTATTTGGGTTGTCAAATCACCCAACCGTTTCTACATCGATCCAGCAGTTAGCATGTGGATCGCCATCATGATTCTGCTCACCGCCGTTCCCCTCACAAAACGCAGTGGTAAGATATTGCTCCAATCTGCTCCTTTGGGCGTCAAGATTGAGGACGTCAAGCACGACCTGGAGGCCATACCTGGTGTGCTGAGTGTGCACGAACTCCACGTCTGGCGCCTGGACCAGAAGAAGGCTGTGGCGTCTGCTCATATCGTGGTCACTGACCCGGATATCGCGAGTTTCATGAAGAAGGCCAAGGTCTTTTCTCAATGTCTACATGCATATGGCATTCACTCAGCAACGCTCCAACCTGAGCTTGCTGTCCCTCCTGAGGAGCTCCATGGTGTCAAGAGTACGGATAGGGAGGCAGCTTCAGGTCCCACCAGCGGTACAAACACAGCACGGATAAGTACTGAGAAGTGTGGCGTGCCCTGCGGTGTACTCTGCGAAGAGTTAAAATGCTGTAACTAAGCTCCTAATTTAAAGTAATAGCGGAAGCAGTTCCGCGGTCCCTGCATAAGCTTATTGAGTGTGGCGTCAGATTACCCCACCATGACCACTATGGACGTGCCATAGTTAAGCACCAGCTTCATAGCATATAACAACAAGCATAACAATTCGTAGACAAACGGCTGGAGACTCTCTTTGTTTAATCCCCTTTTCTCTGATAGCCACTACCCGTCTTTCCTCGATTCAAAGTTCATCGATTGATCTCGTTGCTGTAGAATGTCGGGTAAAGAAATCCACAACTACGGAACCGACGATGGCTGGCATGGTGTCATAAAAGAGGGTGGAGAATTCCCACCAGAGAAAGACAGATACCATCTCTATATTGGTAAGCCGAACTAGCAATGCATACCGCGTCAGTAAGGCAAGTATGCTGAAGTATTCTCAGGCCTCTTCTGTCCTTTTGCCCACCGTCCAAACTTGGTCCGACATCTCAAGCACCTCCAGACCTACCTCCCTGTTTCCATTGTGCGCCCTTATCCGAAAGGTGAACCAGGCTGGCGTTTCGATGCTACTTACCCCAATGCAACACCCGACCACCTCTTCAACAGCCAGTTCATGCACCAGCTCTACTTTCGCGACGATCCAGCCTACAAAGGAAAATACAGCGTTCCTCTCCTTTGGGACAAGAAGAGTAATCGGATTGTAAACAACGAAAGTGCTGAAATGTTGAAATGGCTGCCTAGTGCGTTCAACTCTGTGCAAGAGAACAGTATTGAGGCAGAAGTGGATTTCTACCCTCAAGAACTCCGCCAGAAGATTGACGAGATAAGCCCCTGGCTCCAGTCCTTGATTTGCGCCGGAGTCTACAAAGCTGGTTTCGCACCGAACCAAGAGGGCTACGAGAAAGGCGTTATTCCTCTGTTCGCGGCACTGAACCGGCTAGAAGAACTAGTACACAGTAATGGCGGCCCGTATATCCTTGGTACCAAGCTCACTGAACTCGATATCCTGGCTTATCCGACGATAGTTCGCTTCGACACTGTTTACTCGCAGCACTTCAAAACCAACTTGGGGTCGATACGACATGATTACCCTGTGCTCAACAACTGGCTGAAAAACTTATATCACAACGTGGAGGGTTTCAGGGAAAGTACAGACTTTAAGCATATAAAGGAGAATGTAAGTTTGGTTGTGAAGCTCAGTAGTGGGTGATGGCTGACATGGATTGCACATTTGTAGTACACCAAGAGTCACAAGGACATCAATCCGCTGAGTATCACGCCGCTAGGACCTTATCCGGACGTGGAAGAAGGGTACGAGGATGGCTGGGGTAAATTAAAGCCTGGGAAGGTATCGCATCCGAGAGTGTTAGAGGCGCAGAGCAAGTTGTGAAAGCAAGGCAACAAGAATAACGTTGAATGATGCTTGTAAGGCAAAGACGACAACAATGCACAAGAAGAAACACATGTGGTAATATTTCATGTTCCATTCGCATCTAAATTTTTGGGTCATTCCAATGCCCATTATCCATAATGTACATACCACACATCGCCGACGGAGCATATCGTCTACCCGTACATGGCTCACCTAATTTCTCTTTTCAGAGTCCGCCATTCTACTGCGTCTTCTTTGCGCTCTTCTCGCTAGGCGCACTGTACAGCCAGACGGCAACAAAGGCCAACCAACCCAACACGGTGACCCAGATGCCTCCGATCCAGACCCACGCACCGCTGATCTCGAAACTCCTTGGGTATTCGTCATGCGCAAAGTGCCTGACGGTCACCTGCCTCTTCTCGTCGATGTTGGTGACGAAGGGGCGGCGGTAGTTGACGCGGAAGTTGAAAATTCCGTGCTGGTCAGGTGTCCTGAATGCGACGCCGAAAATGGTTGCGTTCGCGGTTTGTGCGATTGGGGAGAGGTTCAGGCGCTGGAAGGGAGAAAGCATGCTGAACTCAAGCTGGATGTTGTCTTTGGGGGAGGGGACGAAAGGAGCGAGGTGGTCGTTGGTGTACTCGGAGATCTCGACTTGGAAGTGCTGTGCAGTTTAGCAAAAGCTATGTAATAACGATTGACATGAACTTACGACGTCGGACTTGATGCGGTAGATGGTGGGGTTGTTCTCGGGGATTGCGACGCTGGTGTTCAACTTCTTGCTCGCACCCTCGTCCTGGTAGTGGAGGAGCTTGCCAACCTTCAAGACGCCCATCTCCTTGAATGTCCAAGCAGAAAGCTTCTGCGCAAAATCGCGGTTACCAGTGGTAACAGCCTTGTCGCCCAGTTTGACCTTCTCTGCAAACCACTTGTTCTGAAGCATCTCGGCTGAACCGATAACAGCCAGGCGCGCAGCGTTGTTCGCTTGCATAGCGGAGACGAGGTTCAGTTGTCCGCCAACCGCAAAAGGATCTTCAACGCCATCGGCCTCGTCCTTGGGATTGTAGCTGTAGGCGGTGGCTGGGGCGCGTAGGACAGGCGACGTGAGTGGTGACTCGTTTCCAAGAGCTTGACCGACGGCGCGTGGCACAGCAATGTAGCCCTCGCCAGCGAAGTAGTTCTTTACATTCGGCTTGAGCGCGTTAGGGAACGGAAGGAGCAGTACGTCGTGCTGTTCCTGTGCGGATGACGAATCATAGTTGAAATGGTCGACGACCAATGCGCCCTTGTCGGCTGGGATGTTGATGTCAAGTTCGGCGAGCATAGCCTGGACGGCCGTAGGTGTAGCGTGTTCGCTCGAGAGGGCGACGAGGATGTTTCCATCCTTCTTCATGAATTCCAGGAAGTTGTTTGCTGTGAGGGCAGGGCCGAGGCCTTTGGACTTGCCAGGCAGGAGGAGGACATGGTCGTATGCTCGTTCGCCGTGCTTCAGTAACGACAGCTTGCTCTCTTTGGGCGATTCTACAGACGTGGTAAATCCTCGGGCTGTACGTACTTGTCAGCACTGGTCCTCACTGCGATGAGGTTCAATCGAGCATCATCTGCGGCGCAAGGCCAAGTTGCATGTTCAATTGATCCGCATCGTTACCGATACCCCGTATTTGGATGCCATCTTGAGCCAACCGGAGACATGACAGTGTCCTGAAAGGGAATTGAAATAGTCAATCGACTTACACGTCAAGTCCTCAAGGAACACACTGTACTTCTCCCTCTCCGCCTGCTCTTCTAGCACAACCAGCAAGCGGTTGCCTGTGAAACTCTTGGCCTGCACCACCACCGACCACAGGAAGGCGACAGTAATAGAAAGTAACCACCTCATCTTGTGGCTGTTCGAAGTGGACTTGTCGAGTTGCGCCGCGTGGAGGGAGCTGTAACGGGAGCGATACGTATGCTTTTGCCAAGACCATCGGTCCCGGAAAATCGCTGCACGCCGATTGGAGTGGAGGTGGTGAGCTACGAGCAGCGACCTCACGACATCTACTCACGCCGTCAACTTGCGATTGCGACACCAGACCGAGGCATTGAGCCTTTTCACTACCGGACCCAAGACCGCGCCAAAACGAGTCATCTACGTACGCGCCCACGTGCACTGCCCGCCGAACCCACGCGCTCACATAGCAACAGCAACACAGCCATCATGTCCGGTGCTGGCCCCTCCCCTCGCTTCTTCCAGCAGCCGCTGCGATACATGAAGTGGGCCTCTATCAACAAGCCAGCATACTTCTACTCCATCATGGTCGGTTGCGCAGGACCCGCACTCGTCGTTACCGTTCCCCCGATTCGGAGATATATGGGCGAGGAGCCGATCCCTAAGATCCCCATGACATACCCAGGTACGTGGCGAGAATAGCAAGTGTCGATTGTGGAGGACGATGGGAATTGGGAGACTAGGCAAGCTTGGGCAGGGACACGATTTGCTGACTTGGAACAGTACCAAAGGGACCACGACCAAGGCCGACAGGTTTCGACGACGAATAGAGGACAGTAGCGGAGGCGGCTAAGAGAAGATGCATGAAATTATACCTCGGTCACCAAAGGCCAGATTCAGACGTGAGGCATGTAATAGAATCAGAACAGTGTACAAAGCACAATTTCATTTTCTCTAAAGTCCGTTTGACGCCGATATGGGAACCCAGATCGTACTTTCGTCTGACCGCACAACGTCCAGGAGGTTCTCACACTCTCTACCAAAGCTCACCGCCTACCTCATATTACCGTGTGGCAGATACGCCATAGTCGTAGCCTACTGAGTCCTGACACGCTTAGCCCTAGCATCCTCCACATCCTCCACATCCTCCATATCACTTTCAAACTCTCCTTCATCGCCACCGTTCTGCTCGTCCTCCACACTCAAGCCCTTATCCTGATACATCCTCGCTGTGTCCAAGTTCTTCCGCGCAATGTCATTACCTCCAGCCTTGTACGCCCGCTTAGCTGGCAGCACCCTGGGTCCTTCAGTCTCCTTCTCCCAAGGAATATCTTCCTTCTTGAACTCTGTGCAGGTCAAGTACTCAACCGGAAAACGATGAACGTCTAACTGGCACTTTGACTGGAGGATCTTGTGCTGCTCGACAATGGTCTTCATGCATTCCTTGATCTCGAGCAGATGGTTCTCCAGGACGTTCATCGCCTTCTTTGTCATAGGGAACTTGGTATGGAACTGGTTGATGACGGATTTGTCCATGTAGGACTCGCCTCCTGTACCTATTTGCTTATAGAGCTCGTACCCACAGTCTGCGCTGTGTCTACCCCTCTCCATGATGAGACGCTGGCCGATCCAATGGCGGAAGAAGGTCAGTGCCATCCAGACTAGAATGTCTTTGGCAAAGGCCTCGCGCTTGATAGGCAGGTCTTCAACAGGCAGGCGCATAGAACCTGGGTAGAGCGACATCACTGCTAGCTCGACAGACTTACACTGGCTGAGCATGGCTCGATGGTACTTTTCGATCAAGCCGCGTAGACCAGGGACTTCGCGTAGGTAGCCAAGTGCGTTAGGGGCGGATTTGATAGTTCTCCAGTTACCGACCAGGTGGACCATGCACTCGCGGAAGATAAGTTCGCTACGAATACGGTAGGACATTTCGACCCATGCGTGTGGCTTCTTTTGGATGGCACGGAAAAGATCTTGACCATGTTTGAGGAGAGCAATCTCAATGGGCTTGGATATCAGTCTAGTGCAGCCTAGATAATCCGCAATGCAAAGAAGTTGATAGCAATCTTGAAGCGCGGCGGACATGTCGGAGTCATCGATAGAGAATTCTTTGTTGTAGAAGGCGTAGAAAATGCCCTCATAGTGGTCGAAGATTTTGGTAGCTTGAGGGATGCGTCCGTTCTCGTTTACGATTAGGCCGTTCAGGCCGTCGGCTCGCTCAGCAGTTGGTCCAAGTTCCTATAGATGTTATTATCAGTGGCTAAGATACCGATGTAGGCAATGCGATAAATCTCTGATGTGTGATGGGGTTTCGTGTTCACATACTACAAGGCCGAGGCGACCGGCGGGGTGTTGCTCAGAAGGGAGTTCTTTCAACTCAATCATCCAACGGGTCTTGACACCAGCATTTTTGGCGCGGTTGTTCAGTTTTGCAGCGTTGGGTTCGGTTAACATGTCAGCGAAGAGGGTAGAGTTGCGCGCCAAAGTACCAGAGTGAAACTTGTAGCGACGCTTGTGGCCGAGAATAACCTCAACGTCCTCTGCTTGGTTCATGTCGGTGTAGTGAAGTGTTGTTGGCTATCGATAGTGTGGAATTTCTGTGAACGGAGTAGAGTGATAGAAGGTTTGAGGTGACAGGTGAGGAGATTTACCTAGGTATATATCTTGGTATATCGGGGAGAAACGCTTTGAGCTAGCAGCTAACTACATACGCTTAAAGGTAAAGATGGCCAAGTAAAAGAGAACAAGCGCGATATTGCAAAGTGGAGCAAAGCCTACGATGACCACAAAAGTGAGAGAGACTCAAGTATTTGAACTCCGACAGGCACTTCCGGGAATGTCAAACGAACCGCGAATGGATCACTGACTACCTCCAAGCAGAACTTCCGCTGTTCGGAGGTCGCTTGGAAGATACACGGAGTTTCCTACTGTGAAGACCCGCTGCATAGCTAGCTTGAGCAACACTGGTAGTATATCCAAACTACTCTGTTCCAGTAGGACTCCATGCTGAATTGAGATGGAGAAGCATCAGTCACTACACAACTTTCAATCAGGATGTGGATGTTGGGTGTTAGAAGTGAACCCGATTAAAATCTTATGGAATTACAATATACATGAATAAGAAAAAGAAATGCAATATGCTAGCCATGGGGACTTGGCCTTGTCGATTGATCACCGTTGGAAGACCAGGTGTTAGTCCCGCAAACATGGTGCATTAAATCATGTCCGTCCCTGCGACCTTAGAATTGTTGCCCATATTTAGACACCCCAGCATGAACTCCAACAAAATCAGTAGTGCTTCCATCTGCAAGGCGCTGCATATGCACCTCTCGCACATCGATTACGTCTTTGAAGCAGTATACCGGATGACAGAGGTTCAAGAGCAAGACTGCCGCAACAATGACTGCGCCTTCCAATCCAACGAAATATTTCTGTGTATTGGCAAGATGACCCTCCCATCCTTCACTCAGCTCAGCCACGCGGAATACGCACCTCGTGAATATACAGAGAGTCGAAAGAGATAGTGCAAGGAGAAAAGCCTTGAACGGCCAGGAGCGACGGAGAATAGCCGGCTGTTGGTCCGGAGAAATCTGGCCTCGGGAGGTACGACCGCAGTATGTACGCCACGCGAAGTCGGCGGCGAGGAGGATAAAGAGGAGCAGAGTTGCTACTTGGAAAGCCAATCCAGCAATCATGACGTTGTTGCCTTTCTCCGGGTCCTCACCATTGTGTGTCGAGACACTGGCCATGCCTCCACCAGCAGCCTGAAGCACAAGGGAGATGAAGTCGCAAGGAATGAAGATTTTGGGATAGGAGAGTGGCTTGATACGAGAGTGCTGGGGACCAACGGTAGTGACAATGCGTGAGAGGCAGAGATAGATGCCTGCGGCGAGGAATGCGGGCGCGATGGTCAAGCAGATGATCTGGATGAGGAACGGGTTCTGTGCCATGTCAGCTTGTTCACCTAGATACGAACAAACTCATGGTTCCAAGTTGTACCCTAGTGCTGTATAGCGTCGTGAAGGTACCCGATGTGCATTGCAGTCTACACGATATAGCGTGAAACATAGGGTATACCTTTATGATACATTCTACATATGCACGTACAACTTGTAACTAACGAAACACTTCAGGACCTTCTGAACGAGAACTCTTAGACATACCTCAGCGAACATGTCCTGGTGGGCTAGTATGCGCCCAACGTAACCGACGGCTTCGAGGGCGCAGCCAGAGGCCATGGCGATGGTGAAACCGAGCCATTTCTTGCTTGCGATACCCTGCGCAAGGAAAGCGATAGTAGATAGACCGAATAGTGCAGTGAAGGTAATGTTCGTGCTGAGTGAAGGTCGATAACCCCAGTACGCATACTCAATAGGGCATGCCTCGGTTACGTAGTAACAATGACTGCCATCGAAACCGATTATCATCTTTGCGAATGCCGATAGTGTCGTCTGCTCGTAGGATAATATTGCAAGGTGCTTGTCAACGTGAGGTATGAGTAAGGGAAAGAGCTAGAACGCCTGTGATTCTATCAATATTACACCAAGAGGTCAAGGAGCGCCAAGGTGAAGAAAAGGCGGTATCAAATCAGGGAGTGGTTATTCGAAACCAACATAAGCGAGCAGCAAGACAGCAGAAGTAGCGAGTCTGGGCGGCGCCCCAGAAAAAAAAGATTGAATGTGTAGGGACTGTGAATGTATCGTAGTAAGACAGACGCGCTATTGCGCTGAAACAGAAAAAAAGAGTGACAGGAAACAGGACATCATACAAGCGGCTCGCAAGGCTGTGGGTGGGTCGATGTTTTAAACGCTCGCCCAACTACCCAGGCAGCATCAACACTCCAATTGTACGCTAAGATCTGAAGAGGAAGTGTACGAAGATGCGGTCCGTGCATACCATGTGAAGCCCGAGACCGCTTTTTGCTTTTGAGCCACTTACGCAACGCTAGTATCGAGAGCTTGATCTTTCAAAAGAACCGGGCATCTCTTAGAGCTGCCGTTTGTTGGGCTACCTACCAAACCTACACTGGTAAGCCAATAGCCCAAGGTCTGTCCTCCTCGTGGGATCCAATCGTACATTACATCTCCTCAAGGCAACGAAAGCCGGGGTTATAACGGCGTCGGCAATAAAAGCCCGACCCATTATTAGCGGGTAGAGTGTCACGATCGCTGATTGTAATATTGGGTTGTGTTGATAAGCCGAAATTCAGTACCATGGTCGCATTCGATCCGTGAATGAAATCAGCTTCCATGCAAGGAGATCATGTTCTGCACAGTCGGTTCATGCGAAGGATGACTTGGTAAGCCTCTTTAATCAGGCTCCCATTGAGCACACCATGTGCCGCCGTATGACTTCACCGTAGTCCACATTGCGACTCTATGCAACACCGATCCACTAGGCAAGCGGTAGCCAGTCTCGAGCTGAGCATTCTTAGCCATTGTTCATCTAAACGCAATGCTCACACCTTCGATGAAAGAGAGGAGGAGGGTGTAACGATAGCATGAATGCGCATGGTCGGGGCTAGGGCTTCACTCCGTGCCGCTATAGCGCTGTGAATGCAGGAACTTCCGACGATGGTATGTCATGGAATTTCCTTTTTCTTCTGCAAAGATATCAGCATGTGTTTAGCCTTTCGTCATCATTTAGATTCTTCGGTAAGCCAGAGAGAGAGAGAGAGAGAGGAGCCTCCGCGCCTGATGCCTTCCACAACACAATCGAGGCTGCGGAAGAGTCCGCTCCATGCCCTAGCAGTACCATCAAAGATAGGAGTTGGAGCTTCGAGCGCGACGACAATATCGATGCGTCATTCGCATATGGTGAGTTGAAGCTATTGCAAGGTACCGGAGCCCCTTAACGCCACGCCAAAACTGCCCCTCCGAGACGGCCGAATGACGTAGCCCGCAGCCAGCAATCGATAGGATTCACCCCCACACAGAATGCTGCGCGGAAGTCACCAGGCGCGGGGTTTTGGAATCTGGTGCATGTTTATTGTGGAGTAGAGTACTGCTTGGAAATGGTCCTTTTGCCATGTGCTTGCAGGGTCGGCCACTCTCACAAATGCAGGTACGACAGAATGCGGCCATTAGTTGTAGGGCTGTCTAACAAGACCGTCTTCGGCGCTGTTTCGATGGCCGGATCGTGGTAGACTTTGTACGATAGGTTTCGTCTTGGTATCGAAGGCATGTGTAGGACAAAGACTGCCACGACGTTCTTGGACCGAGAGATTCGGCGGCCTCGGATGTACGCAAGAGACGGAAGGAGTTGCATAAATTCTATGCGTGTGGTCTTTGCTCATCACTGTGCAGCATGGACGGTGCCAGTGCGGATGGCCGAGGCTCCGATGCCGTAGAGATGTTCCGAGTGTCGGGCAGCAGCCGGAAGCCTGAGGTACGAGGGGTGAGGACGTCTAGATATGTGTCGAGGAGCTTGGAAGGTACAGAATGACGAGGGAAAAGGAGAGAAGGGCAGCCCTGATTATCATTTGCTGATCAGGTCCAGGGACAATTACCAATCCCCTGCGGATCCTACCTGGTAGCGCCACCAGCACGGTCACTGCAAGACGATATGCATGCAAGCCAACGTCGACGTGCTCCGACAGCTGTGCATACACGCATACATGTGCTCTGTTGAATCCTGTCGTCGCCGTCCACATTGCATTTCCATTGCGGCCTGGCCTCTTGATCGCTGTATACACTAGTAGAGACCCTGCTTTGGCGAGCTCAAGGCCACATCACTGAGCCCAAGTGCCTGAGTATTGTCTTGGCGGCGGGCGAACCCCAATCCCACGTCTTCGGCATTACCGCATCATCAGCTGTCACTCGTTCCGAACACGCTCGCGACGCGGTCTTGACCTTCTGGCTTGTTGGCTGCTGGACGTATTGGAGCTGCCACCAGCTGCATCCTGTCAGTACTGATTCCAACGAGTAAATAGAGGGGTCCTCCGCTAACTGGCCACCAGTACCGTCCCTCACACAAACCCCTCGAAAAAGGTGCGTCAAGCTCCCGATCCCGCCACACCCCGTTCCGACCTTTTCTGCAAGAGACGCTCCCTTCCCAAAGCAGCTGTGTATCGGAAGCGCACACTGTTGGCGATGGCGTGGCTAATGCGGGCATGACAGCACGATAGCAGACCGACTTGGACATTGTAGAATTGTTCTGCAAGTCACAACCACCCTGCTGCTTGGGTGACAAACGTCGGAGGAAGGATTGCCACCATGGCAGCGGCGACTGCGGGTAAGTAAAGCAAGTCGTTGTGGCCAGCCCGCAACGCTCTTCACCCATTTCCTACTAGCACCATAATGCACCAACATGCCTCGTCCGAGCCTACTCCCTGGTCTCTCCAAATATCTGACATCGCTTCTTCCCTTCGCAGGCTACGAGTGGAACCGCTCTTCGCCGCTGCGCTCTTCGCCCGACACATCATCCTCCATGTACCCCGATCGGCCCATTCGCCCTCTGCCGGCTCGTTCCCTGCGCGCCCGCTTGTCTCCTGAGCAAGCCGAGACGATAGTGTTCCCTCACAACCCGCCTTCGACAGGGCCGCTCTTCAACTATCCGCCCTACACAGCCGACGAGCGCGTCAGACCTCACAGGACTGGAGCCAACGACCACCATGCATGTCACTGTGGCCACACGCACTCTGAGGTTGAGAGTGAGGAGGAAGAGGACGACCGGAGCGGCCCGCTGCCCTCTTCCCCGAGCTATCAATACAGCAGGCACGCGACTGGCAAGCCGGTGGCGGGCGTGACTGGTGCCTATCGCAAACCAGGCTCGCCTGCGTCTTCGGTAGATGGCTACGAGTCGTTTGAGAATACGAACAACAAGAAGAAGCGCAAAATTCCCAACATGGGCAGTAACGGATCACATCATGCCAGTCTCTCGGCGGATCTGACTGGCATGGGCATCGCGCAAGCTCACGAAGCAGGTGCCACAGACGACGGTGACAGCATTGCGCGTTACTATGGCTCGGCACCTTCGACACCGCAACACGCGACCAATTCTGGAACAGGCATCTCAGGCGCAGGCAGAGGGCGTTTCGGCCGATCTGGCTCGGGACGGTCAGAACGGCGAGTGTTGGCCAATTCGACCAATCTCGCCAACGCCAAAGCGAACAGCAAACGTACGGTGTCACCTCGGGAAATGATTCGTCTTGACTACTAAAAAAAGTCCGTGCGCTAACGATTTGTTTTCTAGGACCTCCGGAGCAAAGCGGCATCATCTCGACTGCCATTGCCAACGCAAACGCGACCCCGCCACCCCCTGGCAACGAGAACGTGAGCCTCCTGCAGCAGGAAGCTGCCAAGCATACCGCCAGCAAGACACAGTTTACTTTCACCTGCGGCTCCGACTCGGCCAACAAAATGGTCTGGCCGGGCCAGGAGAACGGCCAGTATCCCCAACCGCCTGGCGCATACCCCAACGCCGCCTCTCCCACACCCCACCATCAAGCTGCCCGTGCACGCCCTCCCGTCCGCCCAGATGCCCCAATGGTGTCTACCCAGGGTACCCAGACCAGCCCCAACATGAATGGTGCGGGTGCATACCCCCCTCCACCCCTTCCCAATGGGACTGCACGACGTCCAACGGGCCCCCCACCACCACAACAGGCCCCGCCACCTCGAAAGCCACGGCGTAGTGCCTCCAAACTGTACGAGTACGCTGCTCGCAAGCGTCGCATCCAGCAAGAGTACGCCAACTTCCACAATCCACCCACCCAGCCATGGATATGCGAATTCTGCGAGTACGAAGACATATTTGGTCATCCTCCCATGGCTCTGATCCGCCAATATGAGATCAAAGATAGGAAAGAGCGCAAGCGTCTGGCGGAAAAACGACGTCTGTTGGAGAAGGCTAGGATGAAGGGACGCAAGGGCAAGAAGGCGAGCAAGAAGGCACAGAACAACGCCAATAATACTCAGCACAACCAAAATCCTCCTCCTCCTGGTGGCTATGATCGTCGCGATGATGAAGGTTCTCTAGACCCACAGGACGAGTACTATGACGACGATTACGACGAACCAATAGCTACTTGTCCACACGGTTGCCAGCACCATCCGCACCCTCCCCATCCACACCCGCAAAAGGTTCCAGGTTTGCCTCCTGAAGACCCTCGGGTGGGCGGGCCGCCTGTTGCCAACGGCACCTAACAAACGGACGAGACGGGGTGGGCCGTCTGCGTTCTTGCATTATGTCTTCTTTTACTGTCTTTCCGCGTTGCCTTTATGGTTGGAGTCGTTGCAGCTGTTGCCCGGGTATCCAGACGTGGTGTCAAAAGAATCTTTGAGATGACAGGAGGTCAACACATTTGATCGAGCACGTCCTCTTTTAAGTTCACGATACCACGCTGTTACCGACTGCACTCTACTTCTCCAGCCTAAGGTATATCTTTCTATGTTATTTTGCAGCGTTCAAGCATTGTTTTAAGCATTTACACGGAGTCCCTGTATATTCGGTCGTTTCCGATTTCACACTACCCGATTACGACTCACTCGTTCTCAAAGCCCTATATTCACGACACAACACGAAACAACAACAACAATCATACACCCCACTCTAAACCAAAAAAAAAGCTCTCAACTTCAACACTCGAGACGGACTGCGTCATTTCATGAGTGTCCCACCGGCAGTGTACGAAGTGTAAATAACAACAGACCGGATGGCGGTCTTCAAGTTCAACAGCTGCTCGATCCGGTTGGTTCAAACGGATTTGTATGCTACGTTGAACAGTCACCTGTTGATACATCATTATATTACATATTGTACAAGTTGGTAAAATCTAGCCAGAAAACTCCACGTATGTAACACCAAGTAATCGATGAAGCATCCATCCGAGCTCGCCATATCCCTTGGTTCCGACCAGTGCTATCAAAGTGCAAATTCGTATAGATTTGTAGCATTGTAGTTTGATAAAATTTCATGCCTCATGTCTTGTGTTGATGCAGTAAACGTTGACTTTTTTTGTTACGTCATACGACAACTCGTCGTTCGTCTGAGCCAAGCTCGCCTACCTGATGACCTCCCCGTTTACATCCTCTCTACGGGACTCAGTCCCAGCACCCTCATTCCATTATACAACACCTGCCTAGCAGCAACATATAGCGCCAACCTAGCAATCATGACGTTCTTCTCCGAACCTACTACCTGCAAGTGGTCGTAACTGCTGCTAAGGGCATGTGCCATCTTGAACAGGTATGTAAGCACGGTGGTGGGTTCTTGCGTCTTGATCGTGTTAAGGAAAGTATCGGGCCAAGATGCCAATTGGCGAACCAACTCGACAGCCTTGTCTTCTTGAAGCAAGCTCAGATCAGCGGATGTGAGGTCGAGGTCAGCAAGGCTAGGGTCGGCGTCTACGGCCTTGCGGTAAATAGAGCAGAGACGGGCGTGGGCGTATTGCAAGTATGGGCCTGTGTCGCCTTCGAAGGAACACATACGGTCCATGTCGAAGGTGTAGTTGTTGATACGCTTGCCCTTCATGTCTTGGACCATGACGGCTGAGATACCGAGTGTGTCTGCAGTTTGCTCTGGGTCTTTGACTTGGGCATATTTTGTCTCGTTGGTCTTCATGACCTCATGCATCTTGTCACCGACGTCGCGGAGGATATCGTCGAGGAACTTGGCTGTGCCTTTTCGTGTCGACATACCTGTGTGATGTTAGTGATCTGATTGAACAATAAGGAATTCTAGGTTGAATCGTACCAAGGACCATGCCGAAGTTGATGTGCTGGCACTTGTCGGAAATGTCTTTCCTGCCCATGAGCTCTTCTATCTTGAAGAGTTGGGCCAAGTGCAGGTCTTGTTGCGAGGCGACAACGTAGATCATGCGGCTGCAAAGGTATTAGCAATGCATGTTGATATATGGAGACGATCGAACATACTCAAAGTGGTACTTCTCAACACGCTCAATGGCGGCGCCAATATCTCGGGTCAGATACAGTGATGTACCGTCCTTCTTCTTGACGACAGCCTTGCCAAGCTTCTTGGAATGCTTTGTGAGGTCGACAATGACGGCACCTTCTGAATCCTCACAGACCTTCTTCTCCCACATGATCTTGGCAGCGAGGTCCATACTCTCGTCCTTGACTTGGGACTCTCCGCTGTAGTCGTCGTAGTGAATGTTGAGTCGTGCGTATGTCTGCTTATACTTCTCGATAGACAGGTCCTGCATAAGTCAGTATACGGCACTTGACGATGTGCGATCTGCCTCGACTCACCCTGAAGCGCTTCCAGATACCGAGCGCTTTAGGCTCACCATCAACCATACCCTTGAAGTATTTCCTAGCCTGCTCATCGATGCCCTCAGCCTCGATTTTCTTGACCTCGGCCTCCTGCTCAGATGCGTCCTTGCCCTCGTCTTTCAGCTTGGCAGCTTCGGCCTTGAGAGCCTTCATTTTCTCCGCCTCGTCGTGCTGGACGTTGCTGACCCTGACATAGATGTCATACAAGTGTCCAATGGGGTTCTTAACGAGCTCCTCCTCGTTACCGTAGAGGTCGAAACCGATAGCCAAGACACCGTATTGCTTGCCCCAGTCTCCGAGGTAGTTCATACGAACGACGTCCCATCCTGCGCCCTCATACAAGTTGGCGAGGAAACCACCAATGATTGTACTTCGCAAGTGTCCGGCATGGAAAGGCTTTGCGATGTTGGGTGAACTGAACTCGACAATCATCTTCTTTGCGCCGGAGGAGGGATCAAGCGGGTTCTTGAGACCAAGGTTCTTGTTGAAGCCATATGCCTCCTTGGACTTGAGAACCATGGGCAGCACGAGTGATGTGAGCGTCTCTGGCTTGAAGAAGAAGCCGATGGACGTGTTTGTGACAATGGGCTTCTTGACCAGCGGCGACTCGGGGAAGGCATCTGCCAGTTCCTGTGCAAAGGCCTTCATGTCCTTCTTCTTTTGTCGGAGCGCGGGAACAGCCAACTGCAAGTCTCCATGCTCAGGCTTTGCAGTCCATGCCAGTGTAGGGTATATGATGTGCTTGTCTACACCAGACACGGATGACAGCAACTCAGTGATGTGACTCCGGTAGATGTCGAATGGGTTCAGGGCGGGGTATGTGTTTGGCTCCTGCGGGACCTTGTCCAGGCCGAGCGTCGCGAGCGTGTTTGTGAGGTCCTCCATGCTGACTGATGAGCGCGCCGACGCGTCGAGGTTTCTGAAGGGCTCGAAGGGTGTCGAGTCAATCTGGGAGCAAGGTCGCAGTGAATTGGACGTCGCTATCGCTCTGACGTTGTGGTCTTGGTACGGCCGCGGGCCTGTGTGCGGTCGGAATTGGGAGGGCAATGTGTGAAGGGAAGACAGGCGCGGGGTGCTGGGCTTGAGGGTAGCGTGTGCTGCTCTGACTGCGCTACGGATAGATTTCTGAGTCAAGCAAGAAGAATGAGTCGCCAGCGGCCTCGTCAAACAAACGTTGGTACAAGGAAAAAGTCTGGCGCGACAAATATTTACCAGACTTTGCTGCATACCAGATGTGGGGTACCTGCGATGCGTCAATGGTTCGGGAGAGATGCGAGCATTCGCGCTAGTACAAAATTTTGGAGGGGCAGGGAGCACCGTGAGAATGCTCCCAATCTGTCCCTTCTCCTGCACATTCTCCTGCACCTCGCCGCCGTCAATCAGGCACAACATGTGACATGGATGATTCGGATACACGTTGAGTCAGATGCACTTCTGTTGACGCAGTCGGGCGAATCAGTCTGAGGAATGTGCCATGATATTCTTGGACAAAGTATGGTCTAGCTAGAAACACCTCGACGAATCTACTTCTAGGAAGTAATGTATCAACATCTCACTTCTCAGATGTGCGTCCTTTGGACATTTAACCATCAAGCTATTACCCCTTGCGCAAGTGACACCATCCATACATCACCCGGCATGTGCGGCCCTAATTTTATCGTAGTATGACGACTGCCTACATCAATATAGGTGCGATGGATCCATCAAGTCGGAGTGTTGTGCTGCGTGTCGCGATCTTATGTCCTACGTGATACCCAGAAGCCGCTGAACGCCACCAATACATATCCTTACATCTTGTCATATATGGTAGTATCTCAAATAGCAGATAAATTCTCAGGTAAACTATCTAGTCGTCATGGCGTGAATGTGAATTGGAACTTTGGAGACCAAGGCCTCATTCGGGGTTCACGTCGCCTAAAGATGGCCAGGACGTATCCATATCTGCAGCCAAATCATGGGACTTGCAGCTCTCAAGCTCCGAAATACTTGTCAACTTATCTGTGCATGATTCGATGTGTTTGACGCCGACAACGAGCCGATCGCCTAGCGTCAGGATGGCATGCTGAAGCCGGCGCCAAACTGTTGCAGTATTCAAGTCTTCGCTCAATAGCTGCATCCGAAGGACCTTTGGTTGGTGATACGTCAGATAGACTGACGATGATGGTACGTTAGTAGTTTCGAAAGTGACGTTCTTAGAGGCTAAACTAATCGTAGTCGAACGAGACAGCTGTAGGTGATGCGTGTCACTTGTGCGGCGCATGTCGTAGAGAGTTAATGTCGCTTCCCATGTGTCAAGCTCACTTGATGGATGGACGAGAATCTGCGGCTTAGAAAATCCGATCGGGACTGACTACTGTCTATATGTGGCTTTGACATTTCTTAGTTGTTGCGCGTGGCAAAAGCCGGTGGCAGAATTTGACTGCGCTACTGACTGCGTGAATGTACTTCATCTCAGACCCTTTCCTGTAGGGGAAGGGTCGTGGCGTACCTGCAAGGAAAGCGATTCGCACAACGTCTTACCAGCGATGAATTTCCGCGCTCCACGACTTTTTGGGGATGTTTCGCATGGACAGACCCCGCCATCCCTGAAGTGGCGTTGGGCGCTTCCAACAGTGTGGTCAAACATATGCTTGGATACGGAAGCAGATCTGACGCATATTAAATCGAGTACTCCGGTAGTCATTTGAGGCGTGTATCCCGATGCGAGCAGTATGCATCCTTCTCATGGACGAATGTGTGATCTGTAATGGTCAAGCCGGGTGGTTCTAGCTTGTCTGGTCTAGCATTGGGATGGGCAATATCGGAGAATGTGTTTGGTAATACGTTTAGAGACTTTCTGTCCGGGTTGGTAGGAAGATGTGCTGCCCGAGCGAGTACTTGATGACCAGGATTATTGATCGAATGTCGATGGAACCATACATCGAGGTCTGATTGCCACGCGGCAACCGTGATCGATGTATTGAGAAGCATTCGTTGAGTGGCTGTCCTAGACCTAGAACTCTGAGAAGCGCATTGGACTAAAAGAAGCGCAGTACATCTGAAGAGGATGGGTGTAAGGGTGATATGGGCGAAATTTCTGCGAGGTTTCCAATCTAGCGGTCAAGACGATGGCCCAAGGTCGCTGATCAGTAGATCTCGTGAAAGGCACGGCTACCTAGTTGTACGGCATCGGTTGCTGCGATTTACTTCCGCAAAAGCATCTCATTCTTTCCAGCTTCCAAGATTCGACACATCGGCTCTTGAGCAGACGGCAAGCCTCGGCGAACTAGGAATATCCTTGCTGATCATCCCTTCCAAGCCCACTTGCATATTGCCAGATCGGATTCGGCAACTAAGAAGCGGGATAAGGTACGTGATGTGGGCCCCCTGTCAAGCGACTCGACGAGCGTGGGAAACCTCAAGACCTGAGCTGAACGCCCGAGCTTGGATTAGGGTCTCATTCATGGCTTCTACAGCCTTCCATTACAAGCAACGCTGAGATGACACAAGCGAGCAAGATCTAGAAAAGTATTCCAGAGGACTATAGACAGAATGTGAGAAATGGGTAGAAATAGACCCTGTGCAGAATGCCGAACATGGTGAGGATGCGGCAAATTTCTCTTAGAACCTTGCAGGACCAGCGTGCGTAACAACGTCCGGAAGACAGACTGGGAAGATGGCAGAATCGAGGATAAAGCGTGTTACACCATTCTGGTAAAGCTAGTCGAACGGCTTGCGATGGAGCTGACAGATGTCCAACATGCGGTACAAGATCTGTATGTAGCCGCCTGTAGCAGTAGAATTCGCCTCTAGTAATGCAGTTCTGGCATGGAATGGCTTGCGGAGAAGTTCGGAGGACGCAAGTGAAGGAATGGAGAATAAGATCAAGCTCCTTTGCACCGGTAAGGGGCAGGCGCACATGATTGTCCATGGCGGTGGATGAAAGTGGCTACCACCAGGGCGGAACGGCGTACGGGGAGGATGTTACTGCAGAGTCCTGATGTAAATAATATTTCTTTTGTGAGATTGATGGCGATAGCGCAAGGTGCAGCCGTGTGTGCCACAAAGGCTTATTCCAGGACGACGGCTCGGTAATTGGTGCTCTCGCGCAGGCCACGCAGCTATACCATGTAGTCGGGTCAGTAGTTGTGCCTTGATCGGCAATCTTGCAATGTTAGCCGTAAGACAGGCGGACGCTACTGGCTAAAGATGCTCCTCAAGAACGCCGACTCTCAAGCTCCACGGGCGACATGTCAATGGCGGCAACGCTAGGCCGATGCGCAACAAGCACGGTCATGGCTGGATTGACTATGCCAGAAGAAATGGAAGCAGGCGGACGCGCTTTGGAAATGGGGGAGGCTCAGCTCAGGCCAATAGCGGAGGGCGGCAAGCCATGAAATGCAGCCCACTGCAACAGGTAAGAGTCGTTTAGATGCTTGTAGCTTGACGGCTCTGTATAAGACGGCGTACTCACCGTCTCCGAGAAGGCCAGTTGATTACAGGAAGCAAACCGCCGCTCAAAGCCCAAAGGCATTGGCTCCAGACTCCTTCGTCAAGTGAGACATTCCGCATCTCTTCCATCATTGACGGTTCAAAACGTCCCGATACTGCATCTGGGTCTGCTTCCGCTGGTGTGCATTGTATACCCGTCGACGTCGGGCACAGCAGCCAAGAAGAGGTACGTCGGATAAGCTTGGTTCATTGCAGAGGGTGTGGTTCATGGCGGATGACGCTCCGTTGGCGGTACTGCCGTCAATGCGAGCAGAGATGAGATGGTGGATGAGGAAAGGCACATCTGACTGTGTGGGCAAAGCATGGCTGATATACAACAGCAGCATAGAGCGTCACAGAACTCTGACAAAGCCGGCGCCTTCTAGAGGCCCCGAAGAAGCCCCTTCCCAGTCCATGGCAATATCGCGATAGAGCGCATTCAGTATTGGCATTGCCATTGTCAAATCGCATCAAGTATCACAACCACGGCGGAGACCCGCAGCGGTTTTGTATAACTTCTGGGGCAAAGGGCAAAACCACACCCTCCACACGCTCGAGGAACAGGCGGGCAGGTGTGACAAGCCAGAAGGTGAGCAGTTCATCTCGCTTGGTTACGCGTTCATCCCGTCTTGATTCATTATCCCTGTCGCCACATGGCCTGCCGGGTTCCTGTGACGCATCACATTCGTCAATTTCCCTGCAACACCGTGTGCTGCATCTCTACCACATACTCCGCGCTATCGTCTTCTTTTGTTGCCGCCTGCCGTCTGCCTCTACACATTTCTTCTCATCTTCGATGCATGGACGAACGTTCGCTCTTTAGCCGAAGGGCTGCATGAAGAGCGCCAATTACAGGCGCAAAAGGCGGACCCTCCACTGGAGAATCGCGCCGAGATGTGGGGTGGCGCTGGGGGGCCTAGGCGGACTGGTGAGGGACTTCCAAACCTCACCTCTGCCTATATCCTTCGAGATATTGCTCGCTGCTGCATTCTTGCTCTTCACTAGGCGGCTATGAGATTAAAGGGTCCTAGTATTGGATTCAACTGCACAGAACGAACATTCGTCATCCTAATGGAGGCGCGGCCCCATGTGCACCAAGCGAGTTTAGATGACGAGTCTGACTCGTGGCTTGACTTCATTTCCTATATCTTCGTTATCCAACATCGCATAATCCTGCTCCAAGGCTTCGTCTTACACCAGAGTCTTTCTTCTGTCTTTCCTGTCCTCCGTTCACCCATATTTTGCATGCTTCTCTTGTTTCGCCGTCTTCTTATACATCGACAGCACAAGTGGACCCTCAACACCCTAACAGCTGGGTTGCTATCTGCCTGACTCAAGTCATTCCATGAAACTCTACTAAGAAAAACAGGTTCAGCCTTCATCAGATGCGAAGAGGCCCCCGAGGTGGAAGAGGTAGAGATCAAAATCCCAACCGGGGCGCGTCTTCTAGGAGAGACACATCAAATCCACCATCAACTTCTCAAACCAGATTCACTTCACGACAGACCACTGCACGAAACAGTCGCAGTCACGCATCGCTCAGGCGTTCAGCTCGTATTGCGAGATTACTCAACGGAGAATCAGATCATCAATCAACCAACGCCACATCCTCGATGGCTGACGTTGCAAGGCCAAGAGCGCTAGGAAGCAGATCTGTTTGCCCGAGGCATCAATCTGGAAACCATCATACTTCAGGACGATCAAGATCGGGTCAGCATTCTCCATCACCGGAAGAGATTCGATACGCCATGGATATCGTAGTGCAGCCGCCACGAACTGCCCGAGTTGGCCAGACAATGCCTGGATCGATCGTGGTGCGATTACGAACCATCAACGCGGATATTGATGATGCTGTTGCAGACTCGACAAATCTTGTTGCAGTCGCCGCTCTGGTTCCGGGCCCAAACACTCCGGCCTCAGTGGATCCGAACGCTCTCAATGCGGCACTCGCCGGGCGGATTTTTGACTCTATTCACCCATTCAACGACGATGAAGCAGATGGATCCATTGCCTCCATGGAGATGGCCGACCCCCACGGTGTAGGCTATATGCGCTTCCCTGAGCTCATCATTCGCCAAGCTGGTACCTATCGAATACGCATCACTCTCATCCGCATCCGCAACTCTGCTACAGATCCACCAGTCACGTCTGCAGGCAATGGCTTGGCTGTGCATGTCGTCGATAGTAACCCCATCATTGTCAATGGGGGCGGATCTTCGTCAAATATGGCTGCATACAATGGTAAGTATCTAGTGGCAACCTATTAAGTTTCTTCAGCTTCCTGATCATTTCTTGTCGCGAACCACAGGGGACGGGGATATAGATGATGGTGGTTGGCTTGATGTTTTGCGATCCATCCAGGACCGACGCAGATCGCAGGGTTGATTGGTGTTTTGTACGATTAGGGGATTTGATTTCGGCAAAGTTATCATTTCTGGTGAAGCAGAAATTTGGTTACAAATGAGAACGTAACGTTACAGAACAAGATGGCCAAGGCTGTGGTGAGGCTTGGACTTACTTGTACATGGACTATATGCCCTTGTAGGCCTAGCGCAACGAACGCATGGTTGCCGATTCTTCTATTGATGCATTGCATACTCACTTTTGTATTGTTGATTTCATTGCTCGTTGTACAGGCAAGGTGATGAATAGTCTGCCTACTTTCCTCTTGTGTGTTGTGAAGTTGAGAAATCAATCACTAACCATTGAACAACCATGCATACGAAGAAACTGATTTCGACATTCGTGACTAAATAGAAACATCGCGACTGACTATTTACATGTTCAACCCGATCAACATGCCCCCTCGACCGTCATCTGAACTACTTACTGACCAAAGGTGGTCTCCGAACTGGGGTTGTTGATTCCAATAGTGTCGGCACCACCAGAGCCCGACCCAGAACCAGGCGTGCACGCCCTCCACGCAACATGAAGCTGCTGGGTGAAAGCAACAGTAGCATCATCGTTGCTCATCTCACCCGCCTGGTCGGACTTCTTGTTCGTGAGCGCAATCCTGTTGTTGATGTTGAGAATGCCGTTCTGGCCACAGGGAGACCAGATGGTTGCCGTCGTCTCTACACTATCTTGCTTGGTATAGACTTGACCGTTGAGAAGGGCACCGCCGCCGACGGCTGACATGCGCGTGGTTTGCGTTTTTCCGGCATCTTGCGAGAAGTAGTAGGTTGTGATGAAGCTTCCGGTCACACCTTCATCAAGACGTGCCCATCCATGATAGGTGGCGTCAACAACAGCGTACTGGAAGCCTCCTGGGTACTTCAAGTTGAGGTGAAGTTGACAGTTCTTGCTTCGGTCTGTTGGAGGGCTGTTAATATCACCTTTTCCCCAGGACATACGACTTGGAACTTGCCTGCTGGGGTGGTACCGGGGCCGATGTACGTCTGGAATTGGTCGAATCCATAGGTCACGACCTGTTAGTGTGAGCTGAAGTTCCTACTAAGTAGATCATCCATAGTTTTAGAGGGCGTAGTGCAAAAAGTTGCCGTAGACGAGATGATGAAGTAGGATTGCATCATCCCCTCAAGCTCAAATGGGATGTATCGGGGTGGTACGTACAGTCTTGTCGGTTGAGGTACTGGTGGAGACAGAGCCTTGAGGGCAGCCATTACCAGAGTACGTCGTGTCAACAATAGTGATCTGTTCTGGAGAAGGAGCATCACCAGTAGTTGTCTGAGGGACTGGGTTGGCCAAAGCGAGGACCGGAAGGAGGAGGGCGATTTTGGCATGCATGTTTGCTATTGCTGGGACAGAGATCTCTCGGAGTGATCAGGCGTTGTAGTAAATGCTAATAGCGAAGGCTGTTGATCGATGATGGTACTCGGCATGATGGGGAATGAAGCATTCTTATACTTCTTGACCAACGATACTCGCATGCAATTTCGCAGTTGTAGACCCACACACTGTCCAGAACCTTACCATGTCGCCTAACATACATTGCAAGATGATCGAAATGATGGCTTGAGGGTATAGTATCTAGGTAATCCTGATGCAGCTAGTCTGGCTTCCAAATTTAGTCCCAGCAGAAGTTCTCCGGTAATAAGACCACGGTATCTAAATACTGGCCTAGGGTTCTCAAGATGCTGATTAAATTGCTTCCGTCAAAAACACGACTTGATGGTATGGCAAATACGAAATCATGGCCAAGAGCATCCGAAGACAGAGTAGCTGAGCACTTTACACAGGTGGTGATCTGCATTGCAGCAGGAAGTCTGCAGTGGCACTGACCCTGCGTTGGTAGCGTATCATAAGGATTCAAGAAAACTGAGAAGCATTATAGTGAGAATACGAAAAGCTTGGATGGCATATTGATTGACATGTTGCTTCCGAGGAGGCTCTGGACCTGCATGACAAGGCTCCGTTGCTGTTTAACGCGCTTAAAATAGTCGTCGACAATGTCGAGATTGCCTTGCCGCGACCAGGGTGCAATCGAGGATCAGGCGATGCGTGACCGGCAACAAGACGGACAAGATCGGATAGTATAGCCATATCCAGGTCCCGAGATTCTGGGGTATTGTGCTTACAGAACATGGTCTCGACTAGTATGCCATAATTTAACCTGCAATATGTATACTCGGTAAGCGGGTCGCGTAATTGGGTAATATACGATCTGGTAAATCCACGCTCTGCTTTCCCGATCAATATGCAGGGTTTACCCGGGATCACTGGCCACAAGGTGACCTGGACTTGCGATTTCAAGAGGAAATGCGTATGCAGGCCGAGTAGAGAAACCTCCACTTGCTCTGGTTTTCTCCAATCTCATTTCAAATGAACGTACATTAATCGACCTTTCGTGTATTACACCTCGCCTCATACCTCGGTTTGTTGTCAAGACTTCGCCTCCGGTTAATTCGGTATACGAAGTCACAACGCTTGTCCACACGGCTGTGTTATGAAGCTGCTTAGGTATGGGTACAAGTCCATATGTCTTCCCCCCACCGATTACATATTGACAACTTTGGAGACAAAACGAACAAGTGTCGAGAATCCAGATAATTGCCAGAGCTAGGTGGTCATTCAAACTTCTGCGTGGATATGCAAGAATAGTCACTGGAGTAAGACTTTCCAAAACATCGAGCAGAGGATGGTGTATGGTTCCCAAGAAATGGATTAAGTAAAAGAACCTAGAACATCCTGCTCAAGTCTTCGCTAACATTCCCAAGCAACCCAGAAGTCTGGAGTGTTATTAAGCTTACCTTTGGCCCATGAACAACAAGAGATGGAACTTACAAGATTTGCTTGGGCGTGTATTGCGACGTGGTAACAAGTCTTTCTTCAAAAGTTGGCTGCGTGATCCAGGAGAAACGATCGAACCAACCTAATCGTCGAAAGAGCTCAATTTGCGTATTATACCTAACGTCGACCCTATTGCGAAAATGTGCACTTTTTTCTAGCTCGTCGACCTAGAAATCGAGACGTATATATTGTGAAGATGTACAAATCGCTGCATTTCAATGGTCTTTGGTTTCAGAAAATGGCGAACATCTTCAAAGCATGCTCATCCTTGCTTCGCTACCGGGCGATGGTTGCGGTCGCTGGCTCACCTCGAATGAGTAGTTGGATGCATCTACTGACACTAATCGGATCTCGGATGTAACCCCTGACCGAGGTGGCTTGGAGTGGCTCAGGTGGCTCAGATGGGTTCAGCTCTCGGAGTTATTTTCGACATTTCAAGGGCGAATAGCTCGATTTAGGATGGCGTCTTGTCTCAAACACTGCAAAGGTCTAAATCCTAACCGACCAAGCACATACGACTTCGCGACATGAGTCGCAAAGCCCACACAAGATCAATGACGAGCAAATGCGTGGTACCCTATGATCTGACCGATGTGCTCAGCAGCACATCTGAAAAGTGACGAAGTCGCAAGCCAAGATGGTAAGCAGACGGACTGACGTCAAGCGACAGGTGACGGCGAGCGGAGATGAGGGGTGTAAACATTGGCAATACACCTGTGACATGCGAGTGATGTTAGTCCGAGGTAGTGACGGAGAACAGCCGTTGTTGACGCTCAGTAGCGGTGGCAGATGAGGGTAATGATGAGGCTGAGCGATGCTAGTCAAACCTTGTGGCGCTAGCAAGATCGACCGAGCCGTTTAGTCTCCACTCCGCAGGTTCCGGAGCGATTCCGCACCAGTTTTTCCTTCGCCTCCTGGAACTGACACTACAGGATTAGCAACAGTTGTGCCGGATCGTCGATGATTCTGCCAATGCACAACGACTCTCTGTCTTGAGGAGGGCTTATCGAAGGCTTGCGACTAGCATCTCTCGAAGGCGTTGTGGGGTAGACCGACGCCTTACGTCGCCTTGGATAGGCGCGTGGGTAAGACCCGTCGTGCCACAACCCACAAAGACAGACCAAGCTTTGAGACGATGAAGTTCGCCGTACATCGTCGATTCTACATACCGGCCCATGAGACTGGGATGCATCGCACGTAGACCGGTGTGTATGCGGGTGCGCGAGATCTGCCGGGCACCAGTCAAGGAGATTCGGGCCCCTGAGGGTCCCATGGTACGCAGTCTCTCCCTGCATGATCTCTGCGACGGCCATGGCGAGCATCTTTACGCGAGCACCCACATCGTCACAACTCCAGGAAAAGCCACACGCTAGCCTGGCTATCTAACCCCTGGCCGAGAAAACTCACTTTGCTGCTCGCACGTATCTGTCGCGTATCCACAGACACCGGGCGGCGTGGTAGTCGCGACCACAAGACTCCACTTGAGGAGCCACAGAATGCTCGCGTCATTAATCGCCATGTAGCACCCATGTGCAAATCAAGCGTTGCAATGCAAGTACCAATGCTTAGCTGAAGATCTGGAGGCTTACATCACCCCATATCGGTGTGCAGTGCTGCGACAGTCTTCGTCGTAGGCAACTCAGTCTGCGGATCTTTCTTCAACCTCGTTGTGGAATGTTCCTTAACGGGCGCGAACACATCAATAGACAAACAATCGGGCCAAGTAGGGCTGGAGCTTCAACACCGCTCAAACGTTTGCGCAGACGGTGTACCCCTAATGAGCTGATCGGTCCCTTTGCGAGCGCAAGTCTGCTTCCCTGAAGGTGACTATTGACATAGTAAACCGCGGACGCCAAAGCTAACGAGATAAGTGGGGCTCTAGAACATCTTCGACTGATCAAAAATAACCTAAGCTTTCGGTTACAGACCCGCCTTGACGATGCCACAAATCCTCAGGTTGCCGATACTTGGAGCAGCGGAATCGAAGGTCTGTTGGTCTACAATGGAGTATCGTCAT